ATCACTATATATATATATATATATATATATATATATATATATATATATATATATATATATATATATATATATATATATATAATAATATATATTTTTTGCCATAATTTATTTGATAAAAAAACTTCTTAAAATGATCAAATATTTGCTAAATTAATTTCCATTAAAAAATCTTAATAAAATTTTTAATTTCAGCGTTTGCAGTTCAAATTCTAATGAAAGACGGAATAGCGTCAACCTTTGAAAAAACTTTTCTCTGCATCGGATACACACCTAACTTAAAACTAAAAGTTTTATTAGAATGCCTGAAACATTTCACAAGCAATCGTAATTATAAAGTTTTATCATAAAAATTTATAATGTATTTATTACCTTAAATAATTTATTGTTCTTCAAGGAGTTTGCTGTGCGAAATTTGTGAAAGGAAATTTAGTGCACATGCTGATGCGCGTTTTCGATCGCTGGGACAGGTGGGACGGGCAACTGAGACAAAAAGTCGCCAACTACGGACTTTGCACTCTCCATCACTTGTGCCTGATAAGTAAGCATTGGATTAACAATATAAATTGATTTAAAAAAATGATATTCCATCACCGTTTTTGTGAGGGAGTGGCCAAAAAAAAAATTATTTTTTATATTTATTATCATTTATATTTCATCTCCGGTATTAGATGCATCAACCCGGGTATGTTTGGAGCTAGTTGATGCTATGAATTATTCATAATACCTTTGTTCGTCATATCAAAAACCTTTATACACTTACATTTATAATACATAATACAAAACATCTAAATTCAACATTAACCACCGAGCTTAAAAAGTATCTTCATTTTATTTCTAACAATAAAATGTTTTGATCTTTGTCAGTATGTTATTTTATTTTTGCCCTTGACTAAAAAAAATTTCATGCTGACTCAGCTATGTAGAACCAGTTATTGTCACTATACTATTTAATGTACCATAAATCTATTTGTAAGTCAAATTAACAATACTATAAATTTATATATATATTTCTGAATATTACTTATGATTTATGATCTAGAATCTGGGAGAAAAGCACTGAAAGCCAACAATGGTCTACAACAACTTTACCGCTTCTGCAGCAATTGTCCTGAAACAAAAGCTTACGACTTTTTGCTTTCGCGTATCTGTGGAATTATGAGCCAGTGTTTAGAGAAGAAAGAGCTGCCAGTACCTGAAATGTCACCTGCTAAGTACGATATTAATCATATAAATGTAGCAATAGCAACAAATTAGCATGATGCGTGTAGCATCCAATTAAATTTATTATTCAAATATTTGACATCTAATCTAGGTTCAATCTACCAAATGGTAATGGGAAAAGAGCCAACAGTGTCGACAGTTACAGTGACGTTGAAAGTCAGGTTCGCATCATTTTTTGTAATTAATCCAATAATAATAATAATAATAATAATAATAATAATAATACATATCAAAATCAAAAATTTAGATTAATAATTTTATCACTGTAGGTCAATTCTGTTGGGCGAGTTTGCAGTGACGCAGACTCAGTTGATGACGACGATGATGATAATGATGATGATGAGGATGATGATAGCGGAGATCAGAGTGCCTTGAAAATAGATAAAAATAAATTGGAACAATTTAATGATATAAATGTTGACGAGGGGCAATATTTTGCTAGTGTTATTACATCTCAACGGTCTATTGAAGATCTTCTCGGGTAAATATGTTTATTTTTATTTTTTTATCGTAAATTAATTGCACGTCTCATAACGCGAAGCGTTTGAGTAGTGCTTTACTATTACTCTCTCAAGGTCAAGCAATTATCTCGGCTTAAATTGCTTTTATCCAATTTTTTTTTGCACTTTGAGTATTAAATTAGTTGGAAAATATCAACAAGAACACTTTTTTATGACAGTAGAAACTTTAAAAAACACTATTTTTTTTAGATAGTATAAAAAAAAACATTTTGAAAAAATATTTCGGTGGACGTCGGGTTGTCTGTATGTGCGGATGATGTATGTGGTTACAATAACGACCAAAAAACTTCACTTTTTGAGTTCATTTTTTTTTTTTTTCATTATTCGCTTCAGTATCATTCTGAGTAATAGCCTATTGAAAATTACCGTCTAATTCAATGTAATTTAATTAAAAAATGAATAAATTCATTAATAGTAAATAGTCTTTTTTTGTATATCTACACTGAAAGAAAAATTAACTTGATTCGAGAAAAAAATTCTTGAACCAAGAAAATAATTTTGAAGAGGGTAATTGTCGTCAATCAAGACGAAAAATCCTTGAATCGAGTAAAATTTTCTTAAATCAAGAAAAATTTATTAGTTCAAGAATTTTTCTACTCAAATTAAGAAGATTAAGTTCTTCAAAATTATATACTTGATTCAAGAACATTTTTTTTCTGTGTATATATTAGGGTATGCTAAAATGTAACTTTCGGGAAGAACCTTTTAAAATTGGAATTTTTTGAGTTCTGCTTTTAACAGCAGCTGTGTTTAGGCATTTCCTGAGATATTTCGGGGTGAGAGAATTTATTTGATTTTCATAGAACTTTTAACAGGAGATTCAATTGGGCACTTCTGGCCAAATTTTAAATTTTCAGCGGAAATGCCCAAACTAAGCTCTTGTTAAAAAATTATATGAAAATCAAACATATCGTCTCACCCCAAAATATCTTAGGAAACGCCCAAACAGCCCCTGTTAAAAGCGGAACTCAAAATTCCAATTTTAAAAGGTTCTTCACGGGTTACATTTTGACACACCCGACTATATAAGTAGCGCTCAAAAGTATTTTGACAAATATATTTAATGGTTTAATTAAAAATAAATATGAAACACAATAATCATTTATTTATTTTTTTAACAGCTTTTAAATAATCTATAGAATAGTGTCAAAGTGGTCCTAGTTCGTAACAAAAGAAAGTTTAATTTTTAAAATATTAGGAAAATGGTGGCTCCAAAGTATTTTGATATTATTGAAAAAAACTAACGCATAATGTTGTCAAAATACTTTTGAGCGCTACTGGATCTCAGTTTTATCTTATTTTTTTTTTTTTTTTTGTGATGAATGAACGTTATGAGACGTGCACTTTTGGATTTTCCAAACTTTTTTTATAAATATTTTATATTTTTTAGGTATAATGTTCTTTTTCGAGAACTAGGTAATTTAAAAACCCAATTACAGATGGAAAGTCTATCAAATTCAGAAGAAAACATTGAGTCTGTAATGAGCAAAGAAACAAAACGTACTAGCTTGTTAAATCATGTTACCAAATTCTGGGATTTAAGTAATTTGACAGGTGTTTATACGCACATGACAGATGAAGAAGCTTTACCGTACAGTGGATATTCGAGAAAATTGCGTATTTTGGACGGCATCCCGTTGAACACACAAGACAAATCAGTTTATTGTACCTGTGCCAGTCGAGTAAGAAGTGTAATATCTTTTGTGAAGGTTGCGTATCCCGATCTTATAGGTGGCTGTTGTCGTGGAAATCCCGAGCCACTTAACGACAAAGATAGAAAAGTTTGCCGAGCTAAGTTGTTAAACAGCGTAGACCGTGGACTTCGACCAAACTTGCTCACTCAGGAAGTGATTTTTGACCTGGATGCCCTGGCGATGACTTGCCAAACCTCTGGAGGAGCATCTGAAAGACTAACGGATAGATTGGTTTTGAGTAATTCTGATGAATCACGAATCGGTAATCGTTGCGTCGATACTAAGAGTTTATTATTCGAATCTAGGTTCGAGAGCGGCAACTTACGAAAAGCTATTCAGGTAATATTACATTTTTTTTTTATTTTCTTTAAAAGTAAAGCTAACCAATACTGATATTAAGTATCACAGATAGGTCCAAGAGAGTACGATTTAATTCTGACGCCGGACGTGAACAGTGGATCGAGACACCAGTGGTTTTACTTCGAAGTTTCCAACATGGAAGCAAACATTCCTTATACTTTTAATATTGTCAACTGCGAGAAAGCCAATTCGCAGTTCAACTTCGGCATGAAGCCAATACTATTTAGTGTTACAGAAGCACAATTAGGTAGACCAGGCTGGGTGAGAACTGGCACTGATATCTGCTACTACAAAAATTGCTACAGGAGACCTTGTCGTGGGAAAAATTATCTGACCACTTCTTTTAATGTTGTCTTCCCTCACTCATACGATATTTGTTACCTGGCCTACCATTTCCCATACACCTACAGCCAGTTAATGACTCACATATGGAGGTGGTCGCGACGACTCGAAAAAGAACCGATTCATTTTTCCGCAGAGATGCTCTGCAATACTTTGAATAATAATGATTGTCCGCTCTTGACAATAACTTCTCCAGAATCAACGGCAAATCCAATTAGCGTGAGTATTTTTATCCTTAAACTGAATAAATAAATAAATTAATTATCATAAAAAAATATTATTTGTATTGTAGAAAAGAAAAGTTATTTTTTTAACATCACGGGTCCATCCTGGCGAGAGTAATTCATCCTGGATTATTCACGGTACTTTAGAAACTCTTCTTGGAGATAGTACTTACGCTAAAAGTCTTCGAGATGATTATATTTTTAAAATAATACCTATGCTGAACATAGAAGGTGTTATCAACGGTTGGTGAGTAAATATTTAGTATATTATTTTAATAAAATAAATAATTATAAGCAAAAAAAACTAATTATTAAATCACTCAACTGGATAAATAATTTTTTTCTATAAAATATTACCAAGAATCCATGATGTATATGTCCTTGTCTTTATTAATACTTTAATTCTTAGTAAGAAATAAGGACTCAATTTCTTGTGGACTATTTTTTATTTAATTGCCGACGTTTCGTCATTAATTCCTGACTTTTTTAGAGCTCAAAATTCAAAATTACTCTGACAATTGTAGAATAATTTTTAATTTTGTGCCCTGAAGAAATCGGCAATTACTGACGAAATCTTGGCGATGAAATAAAAAAGGCCATTCGGCAGCCGAAATGGAAGTAGATTTCATGATGAATAAAATTAAAAACAACTAGAATTGAATACAAGAAAAACTTAATAACGTTCAATAAAGAAAGAGAAGAATAATTGTACTTCAGTACTTTTCAATCAGTTTTATATAGACAAAACGACTGCAAAAGTAAAATTTCTTAAAAATGATCCTAAGATGGATATTTTTTGCTTTAGAAAAAAATGTTAGCACATAAATTGAAGCTTAATTTCTCAGCTTTCAGATGCATATAACCGGAATCGAATAACTCGACGCGTTCAGAAATTATTTGAAGGAGAAGTAGTAAAAGTATCAAATTTTCGAAATTTAAAAATTTTTCAATGCTGCAATTTCTAAACTATTCGACCGATTAAGCTTATATTTGAACTTGGCCTTCCTAATAGTCGATAGAATAAGTATGTTGAGTTTCATTGAGATCCCTTAAGAATAGTTGACGCTATCGTCGTGACAAGCCGCGTTATATCGTATGTATATATATATATATAAATTTTTAAACCATATGTATTTTCTGACTCAGTTCGTCGAGTTAGGTCAAAATATAGCAAAATTTATGAAAATTTACGTCATGAGGACAAATACAATAGTTAGATTTTTATAAAATCTACTAAAAATAATCCACAAAAAATTGAGTCCTTATTTCCCACTAAGAATTAAAGTATTAACAAGAATATAATTAAAATTTAAGCAATTAAAATTAAATAAAGCTTTTTAGGTCGGTCACCAAATAAAAAACACCAATCAATCATACGAAATAGTTCTTCATTCTCGCTCAATTATTACAATATCAATGGCATATATATAAAAAAAATTACTGATGTAAATTATTACAACTCAATTAAATTCAATTCTAATGATGAATACGAGTGGATGACGTAAACATTGCCGTAGACACAACAGCGTGATCAATTATTTTCGATATTTAAATCCGTACAACGTTTCGTCTTGCATTCGTATTCGATTTATGACATCAGCGGACATCCCTTGGCCCATCACCTACGAAGCTATATGCTTTCTCAAGTCCTCTGATGTCATTTTTACTGAAATATTATCATTAAATTTCAATAATAATAATAATAATAATAATAATAATAATATTAATAATAATAATAATTAATTATAATAATAATATTAATATTAAATTTTTATTACATCTATATCTATTAACTAATTACGAATTTATTCGAGTCGATAAGTTGATCTTATTAATGCCGCACTATTATCCCTCACGACTCTGTTGTGTGTAATTATCTAATTATTAATTCCTCAATTAATAACTCAACAAATTTAGTTTGAATAATAAAAAACGGAAGATGTTTATCATAAAACGCTAAATACTTAAAAAATAATTACTTAATTGGTGGATTACTTGGACGGAGGGTCTAATACTTTTCCGTTGGAGCGGACTTTAATGTTGTACCTATAAGCCGGTTCGGCATCGGGTAAAATAGTGCTTAAGTCTTCCTCTTGATCCTTCAACACATCACCACTGCCGCTGTTGGTGTTATCAGGGGCGTCGTTTGCGTAGTCCTGGTCGCTGTCGTACGGACCGATGGTTTTAGACTCGAGCGCGTTGTCAGGTTGACTCGCGGTCTTGTCGTAGGTCGGGGACTGCTGACTAGCACGCTGGAGTGATCTGATTTCGTGAGTCTCCAACCCGGCGAATACAGTATCGGTGCGGGATTTAATCGCCGGATTTCCAGTGAATAAACTCGTTATGTCAGGAATGTCCTCGGTTCTGCTGCGCTCCTTGATAACGTCTTCACGAGATTGAGTTTTGGTCAAAGGATCTGAGGAAGCGGTACTCATTAGTCGACCTACTACTGGATCCTCGGGTAGAGTTAACGTGTCAGGTGAATTTGAACTTTCTTCTATTTCTTCTTTATGGCTGTCGTTATCATTATTGTCGTTATTGCTATTATTAGTGCTAATGCTGTCGTAAATTTCAGTCTGATGCTCCTGGTTTGTGTTATTATCCTCGTGCTCCTCTTCTACATTCCTATCCGCGTCTGTTGTCTCGGTCTCCAATTTGTCCGCATTATCGTCGTTACTGTCGGTGTCCGGCAATGCCGTGGTCGTCGTCGATGAATATGGTCTACGATTTCTGTAACAAATGCACCAGCAATAAATGCCGTCGCAAATATTCAGACAGTGGTATTACTTATTATCGTTAGCAAGACTAACAATAAAAAATTTTTATTTTAAATAATAAGCATCAAGTATTTTATTCTTCAAAAAAATTTTTTTTTTAATTTATAATTTTTATTCATAATTTAAAAGAAAAATTATAAATTTTTTTAATAAAAGTAAAAAGTAACTTTTTGTTTAAATAAAATATCTTTTAGTTTTTTGTTTTAATTCGTCAAAAAAAAAAAAAAACAATTATTTTAAATATTAAAATTGAAACTTTTTAAAAAATTAGAATTTATTTTTTTTGCTGATTTATTTTTTAAATATTTTCTTGAAGTAAAATTATAATTTAAAATTCAATTACTAAAAAAAAAATACTAAATAAAATACCTTTTAGTTTTAATTCGTTAAAAAAAAAAAAAAAAAAAAAAAAAAAAAATTATTTTAAATCTTAAAATTGAAACTTTCTAAAAAATTAGAATTTTTTTTTTTGCTGGTTTATTTTTTAAAATTTTTTCTTGAAGTAAAATTATAATTTAAAATCCAATTATTAAAAAAAAATTTTTTTTATTTTTAAAATAATAATTGAAATATAAATTTGATTGTATTGTTAACTAATAATAAGTTAGTTTGTTAATAAAACTACAACTAAATTTTAAAAAAAGCCAATTGTTAATATTTTGTTAATAGTTAAACGTTGATGAAAAGTGCGCACCGCTGTGATTATTTAGAAGCCTCCAACTACTTTATTTAAAATACCTATGTTAAAACTAAATAATAATTAAACAGTTAATACTTAATAAATACCAAAAAATGAATGATTAATAAGAATTATAAATAATAAAAGTGATAATACTACTCAAGAACTTAAGTGGTACTTGTGCCCCATGAATTATTATTATTATTATTATTATTATGATTATCTATAGATAAAAAATAAAAATAAAGAGGCGCGCGACTTTTCATGTAACGTGATTAAATGTCTCACCTCTTACCCCTGAGTTGCCGAAACCGGTATGCTTCCGTAGTTGTAATAATAACATCTTGTCTGCTCGCAAATGAAATCCTTAACACGAGTACAATCTTGAGCATCCCAAGCTAATGACGGCGCTACCATTGCTACACAACCATCTGAACTTCCACTATCTCCACTAAAATAATATTTTAATTAATATCATCATCATTAAAACAATTTTATAGCTTGTCAATCTTATCAGAGAATAATTAAGTAATTTAATTTAATTAAAAAATTACCTTTCACGTGCTACCCTTTGTGGTTCAGTGCCAGGTGGAACATCGACAGCGCGATTTCCAGTACGTCTCAACATGTAGTCAAAAGTCGCGTTGAATGGCAATCCTGAGCTCATCCATAAGAACATATCCGTTCCCAATTTATTACCCGACGTCCAAAAGTCGTATTTAGTGTAGCCGGCATTTTTCAAGTACTGTGTCATGGTATCGGCTTTTTCTTTAGTTTCAAAAGACGCCAATTGAAGACCCAGTGAACGGCAATATTGATAGGCCAAAAAGTAATTTAATTCTGGGCTGTACGGGTTCATCCTTGAGACAAAGTATTGCACTCCATCGAGTTGTATTGTCGTTATCCTCTGACCTGAAAGAATTAATATATTTTTTTATATAAAAAATTCGACCGATATATTACAAAAAAAATTTTTCTTAAAAAATTTTATAATTATTTACAACTGGGGTCCATTATTTTAATTTTTATTTTTTTGAACGAAATTTCTATTTGATTTTATTGATGTATTTTTTTTTGAAAAATATATTTAAAAAATGAACAATTAAAAAAAAAAATTGATTATTACAATTTTAATAAATTTTCAAAAAAAAATTTCTAAATTTTTTAGAAAATTGTGATATTTAACTTTTTTTTTTTAATTGTTCGTTTTTTCATGTACTTTTAAAAAAATATATATCAAAAAAAGATAAAATACAAATTTTATCCAAAAACATGAGAACTAAAATTTTTTCCAACTTTTAAAGACAAAAAAGCTATCGAAATCTTTTTTTTTCCTTTCAAGACATTTTTTACCATAAATGCGATGTAAAAACAAGCAGATTAAAAAAAATTTTCAAATTAAATTTAACTTAAAGATTTTTATGTTAATTTTTTACCTAGATATAGCCAAAAATAGAGTGTAACTCAGTTATAAATAATTACCAAACATTTTTTCAGGTGTCCCATTTTACACCGGATACCCTGTTACAATTCAAAATTCTAAAAAAGAATTTTCAATAAAAAAGAAATTTTCCGAGGGGTCCGTCGAAATATTACAATTATAATATATAAATGAATGAATGAATGAAAAAAATTTGTCAGGCTTTTGGTGATCGTTCCCACCCGTTAAAAAAATTCATTGAACCTTAATAACTTATGCATAATGCATTATATTTTTTTATGTACATATTTAAAACGCACGTGGAATGTTTGGGTAGGTGTGGGTGAAGGTATGCACATGTCGTCTTTAGATATTAATATATTATGTACACATACATATAAAGGTTCCATTTCGTCTCGGCACGTTTCTTTCAGCCGCTTCCGAGCTAACGCGTATCCGTTAAATAAAATATATCGGCAAATCCTCGGACGTGACAAATTATTTCATTAATAAATAATTATGGACAAATGTCAGCAACTAAATTACCGTTATGCTTAAATTTTGACCGGTGTATGAAAAAAAATTTAGATATGAATATATTTCAATCATTTAATATACGGTTCAGTGAACCCGTTGATTAAATTAACTCATAAATTATCGTAGATTAAAATTAAATAGAAAAAAATTTTTTTTTTTAAATCAAATGGACCGTAATAATAAAAAAAATTTTTTTTGAAAATTAAAAAATAAATGCGGGTATTTCTATGCCGGCTAAAGATAAACTTGCAGGTGGGAAATGACCTGCAGACCTTGAGACATGCTGAGTACGTAATATATACAAGATGCAACCGATTGTCTACTTCACGCTGGTTCGTTTGATGATCTCTGATCAACTTAAAGATAAATCACCGGTATCTGCTATTTATTTGATCATTTATCAATTAATAAACACTGCAAGTGTCTAATGATTAATGATCTTGGTTGAAATTACGTAGCCGTGAGAAAATGATGAAAAATAAAATAAAATAAAATAAAATAAACTGGATCTAAAAAATTGGAGTAAAGTTTGGTGATAAATGATAATTGATAATTAATAGTAGAATAATAAAATAAAATGAAATAAAAATTACCTGAGGCAATGAATGTTGTGATGAGTAGCAACAGTACGATTTTCATGTTGCTCGCGTACAATATTATTGCTTCCGTTACACGTTTAGTTACGTTTAAAAAAAACCGGATGTCAGTGTTAGGGTCGCGTTCTCGGACTGGCCTCGCGCAGCCTCGTGAGCTCCCTTAAGAGTCTTCTGACGATGGGTATGCTGGCATGGAGGGGGATCGTTGTTGAAGATGATTCACTGAAAGGAGACCGACAGACCGTCGACTGTATATATCCCGACACCTATATATCCATCTCAACTGGGAGAGATACACCATACAATACAGCCAGAGATAGAGAGTTACTCCAAACAGACTGCTGGCACACACCAGAACTGAAAACAGAAAATAAGATAAAATACAACAATTAAATTAAATTGGGAACCGGTGAGTAAATAAAATAACGATTTTAAATAAAAAAATCCTTTTTGAGAGCTTTGCAGACACTAAAAATCTTCGGTCGGCTGATACTAAGCAAGACTTAGTGACTTATCCTGAGGATGGATTCCAACCAGACTCTTACCAGAGTCCTAGTCTGGACAAACAACAGCAGAAAGCCAGCCGGGTAAAAATAAAATAATAAAGTTATTTAAATAAATAAAAAAATCTCAAAGCGAAACTAATCATTCTCTGAGTTCCAACTCGACACTCAGCACGTCCGAGTGGAGATTTTATGGCTCTGGACTCAAAATAAAAAAAAAAAAGACGTGATATATTTACCTGGATACAACGAAATCCGTCTCGTTACCGAGAATTCCTGGGGACTTTACTCTTAAACAGGAATCGTTAGTTTATTTTTAGTTGGTCTAGTTTATTTTATTTAATTATATTTTATTTTTAGATCCTGGATAAAGAACGCCAATAAATAAAAGCGGAATTCTATTTACAAGGCCACTAGTAAGACCAATAATCTACTAGTTGTGCTATGTATAGCACATAGAAGTTGAGAGTTTATAAGTTGAGCCAGTGGAGAGTATATAGTACCGATCCCGTGGGAATGTAAGCGCATGAAGATTGTTACGATAAGCCATCAGAGAGATCAAATGGAAGTATAACTTGGATAAAAGTCATGTAGCAGAGGTATAAACGTTGGTTGCGCTCCAGGCTCTCTTCTTCTTCTTCTTCTTCTTCTTCTTCTTCTCCTGTACCATACCCTCAACTGGGTATAATAAGTAAAGAGAACTAAACAGGCGATCCTCCTTCGCATCAATCGTCTCATCCTTTATTTCTCTCTCAATCTTATATTACCTGGGGCCTACTACTGATGGTGATGCTGCTGCATTATTCGCCTTCAGCTCATTTTTCAGTCTCTCCTTACATTAACAACATCAGAGTTCTTCTCTTATACTTACACTGTAAACTGTGGTATAGTATTCAGCTCCAGGCAGCTGGATCACTGACTAGAAGCCACTTTTCAGCGTCCAAGTCTAACAGCAACATTTTTTCCGTAAAATTATTTTTTTATTTTATTTTATTTTATATATATATATTTAGTCTTTACTTTTTTGCGATCCAACGTATCTTTTTTTGCTGGCAGCCTTTTCAACCCAGCAAAAACAAAAGCTACTAAAGGATTCGTGATGCTGGACTATGCTACGGCTGCATGTTTTGTGGTGGTTTTTGATGGGAAGAAACAAGAGTAAGAAGAAACTGAGGAGAATGAGGATGAGAAAACGAAAGGGCTTATAGTGGTAGTAAGCTAAGGTAAGGAAGAGAAGAGAAGAAGAAGAAGAAGAAGAAAAAGGTTGAGGGAGGCTGACTTGAGAAGAAACACCGGCAGGTCTATTTCAAGATACACGGGGGGAACTCCATGTACGAACCTCCACCACTCAGGAGGTCTCGATTCTAGTCCGCGAACCGTCACGGACGAGACCACAAGGGTCTACCCTCACACCGGGACCTTCGACATTCTTCAACCATTTTTTGTTTTATTTTTTACACCTACGTCGGATGCATCGCTGATAATAGTATCCTATTTATATAATTATTTATTCAATTATAATACTTTCTATTATTATATAACTTAATAGCTATTATTTAGTTTTTTTTATAAATATTTACTATTGTTTGTTTTTACTATTATTTATGTGCTTAATTATTGACTCAAAGGGATTTATAAGGAATATGTTTATATTCGAAGGTCATCTTCTTGAGATGCTATTTATTTTATTTTATTTTATTTTATTTTAACATTTAAAAAAAAAAACATCCATAGACTCTATGGGTCATTAAAATGATCATTCACGAGATCGTATTTCAACGCGCAGATCCAGATTTTTTTGGTCGTTTATCATCGGAAAGTATAGAGAGTCGGCGTGATTGTATATAGAATTTTAATACAGCGAACCTGTAAATTATCCGTTAATTTATTCGATCATTTATATATATATATATATATATATATATATATATATATATATATTTTAAAGCGTTTAATTTTGAAAAATGTTTTTTACTAGACAGTTTAATATTAAGGGCTTATATTAATTTAATACATACTCATATTTATTATTATTTATACGGGATATTATTTTTTTATAATTCCAAGAAGCTAGCGATGGTAATTTCTGCTAACAAACCCGTCGGGTTATATCTCCGTACCGTCAATACAAGCATAACTAACTCAACTTGACATAACTTATAAAAAAACTATTTTTAAAAACGTCAAAACAATTTAAATAATTATTATTTAAATTCCAAAGACTCTTAAATCTTTGTTTCTATTATAAAAATAAATAATAAAAGAATCTTGTATTAAAATGTCCTCGATCCTCGCGTAAATCTTAACGCATAATTTAAAATACTTTAACACACGCAAACTTTATGTTACCCCTTCATTATATCACCTAGAGGGGCTTCAGTGATGTTATTATTATTTTTTAAATTTATAATTTAAAATTTTTCCCTAGCTTATGTCAGGCAAAGTGAGAAGAATCTTTATCAGTGGCAGAAGATTTAAAAATAAATAAAGTTTTTTAAAAAAATTCTTCACGCGATATCCTAAGCCACAACGCACACTTGGGTCTATATATCTCCACACATTTTATTCAAAAGCTTATTTTTAGCCAGTTATCTCTCGTAGATTTTTATTCCAAACATAAATAAATCAAATTCTCTTCCTCAATAAGACAAAGCTAATTTCATAACTAAAAAAAAAAAAATCAGAGTTATAATATGTAATATATAATATGAGAATAAAAATAATAAATCTATTACATTGCATTACATTCTTACTTTTTAGGAGTTTAAAAAAAAAAAAAAAAAAAAAAAAAACATGAAAGGTATCTTTAGTCTTAAATCGCAACTCATTTCTTCTTTCGAACAAAGCAATCCAATCCAGCGAATAGCCAACGTGCTTTGTACTGCACGACTCCAACAGTACAAACAACCAACAACCAGAGAAAGAAGTTGGCGGTCAAGGTTTCTTACATTAAAGTCATTGACATCGTACAGCATTTACGCCAGGATCTTTTTAGTCTTTAGTCTTTAATCTTTTGAACTATTACACCATACCAGTCTACGTTTTTTGTTTTAGCTTTTACCTCTTTGATGCTGAAAAAAAATAGCAAAAAAATTAACAACATCTCGCTAATACCAGTTAAATTTTAACTCTAAAGTTATAGTACCGGTATCGAAGCATCCTGCGCTATTATTGTTGAAATGAGTTTTCCTGTGAACAGATTCTTCCTGTAATATTATCTATGTACCTTACACCATACACCAAGCCGACAGTACAAGTAAATTATAAATAAATAAATAAATAAATAAATAAATATATAAAGAATAAAAAGATAAAAATATAAAAGCCTTGGTTGGATTGGACCGAGCCAAGTACCAAGTACCAAGAGCATTGACTCTGCTTCAACTCGCCAGCAGCTAAATCAATTTTCCACTCGACTCCTATCCTCAACGTTTTATTCCCTTATTCTTTAGCCCATTAGTTTGTCCATTCCAGATAGCACTTGAACATTAACTATAAGACTATTACTATTACTGTAGTTACATCTATCTATCTATCTATCAATCACTATAAAAATCTATGTACAAATATTAATACCTGTACCTCATCATCTTGATTCGTGTGAATATTATTATTTATGATTGGCATCTATCATAAAATGTAGCATCAAAATTAATTTTATTAATCTCAGCAGCGAGCCAATAGATCTTGACAATCATCAGGATGCCTTGCCAAGATGAGATCATAATTTACTCTAGACTCTAGACTTTATTGACTCTTGGACTGATGGGTAATTGCTGAAGTAGCTCCTATAAAATATAAACTCATGGCTTAGACGATAGTTACCTTGAAATTATTATACTTTATATACTATATTTTATTTTAAAAATCTTACCGATATAACTATATTGCTATGCGACGCAGGAAGATCATTTCCTTTGAGTACGACTTCCGGCCGCCGGAAACGTCTTTCTAACTGCGACTGAATCCTTAAATGATGTCTCAGTGATCCGTTGAATGATTCAATAATTAAAACTATTATTGAAATTTTTTTTTATCAAAATTAAGTTAGCTGACATTTCAAAATTTTTATAAATTTTATATTAAAAAACTTTTAATTAAAAAAACTTAAAAAAAAATTGTCATATGTAAAAAACTTAAAAATCTATAAGTGCAATTTTTTAGAAAATTTTTTTTAATTGTAATTTAATTAATAAAAAAAAAATCAAAAATTTTTAGACGTCTGCTAACTTCAGTGTCACTTTTTTATGAAAATTAAGTTAGCCGACATTTCAAAATTTTTATAAATTTTCTATTAAAAAACTTAAAAAAAAATTGTCATATGTAAAAAACTTAAAAATCTATAAATGTAATTTTTTAGAAAAATTTTTTTAGTTGTAATTTAATTAATAAAAAAAAATCAAAAATTTTTAGACGTCTGCTAACTTCAGTGTCATTTTTTTTTTATTATTTTTTTTTTCTAACTTTTACTATCATCATCTTCATACATCTATTCATTTATTCATTGAAATATATTTAATTTATCTGAAAAAAATAAAACAACAATTTAAAATAGCTTTGAAGCAACCAAAGATAAAATTAAACTGACAATTATTTTATTTTCTCAGCAACCGGTATGGACTTACTAACGAGGATCTTAACCGACGTTGGAGTAACCCGAACCGTGTATTACACCCCGTAATTTACCATGCAAAAGGTCTTATGGAGTATTGCAGCAGGGTGTTACACCGGCCAATCCATGTCTTCGTTGATTACCACGGACACTCCCGGAGGAAAAATGTTTTTCTTTTTGGTTGCTCAAGGTCGGGTTCATGGAGCGCCGCTGACCGCGACAAACCTGATCAGCCTGCACAGTATTTGGTAATTATTTATTTTATCTATTCTTCACTACACAAGTTTATTACTTACCTATATAATACTAAAAGTTATATTTATCCCTGTTTTTTTGTTGATCACAACCCAAACTGGGCATAACAAACTCACTGACTTGGCTGTTTATATCCAGTGGATAAGAAGTAATGTATGTATAAAATAAAAAAGTAATATATTTAATGGTTTTGTTATTTTAGATGCTTCCAAGACTCATGCAGAAAACATCGCCTGCTTTTGCACTGCCTCTGTGTTCATTCAAGGTCGAAAGGAACAAGGAATCCACGGCCAGGGTCGCCATATGGCGCCAGCTCGGCGTAGCCAGGTGAAGTATTTTTCTTCTTCTTCTTTTTTTTTTTTTTTTTTTTCATTTAATTGTATCAATATTCTTCATTAGCTTATTTATTTCTTCTTTAAAAATTTATCTCTGTTATATAATCTATGAATTTTTTAATTAATTCCAAACTTGAAGGATAATATATAGCTAATTTAAATTTATCGATAGATTGTTGGTTGGCTAATTGATTGATTGAATTTAATTGATTAATTAGAAGTTACACAATGGAGAGTAGCTTTTGTGGATGCGATCAAGGGCCTCTAGCTGGATTACACTTGGACACTGTCCACTTGAGAAACGTAGGTCGGGATTTTTGCCAAGCACTGGCTTTCCTCAAGGACATCAATGATAATTGGATTCTTGACAAGTATGTAATTTTATTTTATTTATTACTTATCATTCCTGGTCATTTAATGATCAATATTACTGAGGATTAAGATTAATATAATAAATTATTTATTACTATAAGAATTCATTAATTTACAACATTGTAAATATATTTAATTATGTAATTGATATTAAAACGAGTTTTTCGATTTAAATTTTAAAATAAATCCAATAGATCGACGAATAATCAAGAAGATTGCTGTCCGCTTGAGTGTGTAAGAAAAAAATCTATAAGACCTAAGTGTATTCAAGATAAACACGCGAGCCAACATATCAATGCGATTAGAAGAAATTCTATGATTTCCGGCAATTAAGGCGAGAATTATCATGCGTGATTTTTAATTAAAAGATTATTAATACACTAAAATAAATAATAAACAATGCATGTTATTTTTGTGGTAATTTATAATATAAATTTAATTCATTTCACGCTTATAACGAACGTCTAATTGGCGCATTTTTTTTTTTTTTATAAAATTAACATATTTTAATTAATTACTTAATAAGAAATTATAAAAAATAAAATTTGTTTTTTTAATTTACAGATTTATTGCCGATGAAAGCAACGAAGAAAACACTGATGACTTATCATCGACTTGTGACTCTGAAGATTCAAGTTCCGCAGATTGAATAATATTTATTGTTATAATAAATATATTAAATTAAATATTGAAATAAAAAATTGATCTCTTTGAAGCTTTAAAAATAATAATAATAATAAATATTACATGTTAATTATAATATATATTTATCAGATCTACAAGTAAATTACATTACAATTGACTTAAAAAATTACTCTGATGGCTTACAAACTTTATCTTCCAGACAAATATCGTAGCAACATTTTGAATTAGTGTCACAATTATTATCGTGCTCGCACAACTCCGGAGGATCGCTCCAAAAAAAACTTCTTGGACAATAGTGTCTCAAAGGTGGACATTTTTTATTTATAATTTTTTTATTCACGTGAAAAGGTACGTTCCACCCAAAGGATTTTAAAATTGCGACAAAAAACACAGGTGAGTTAGGCCAAGATTCAAATTCATTGTCTTCAACTTGATCGTCAATTGGTTGTCCCTCAGGACAGCAGTAAAATGAATTTTTTTGAGTTTTGCACCAATAACGACATGGTTTACCATCAATCAATACAATCACATTAATTATGAGTATAAAACTAATTATTGTAGTTAATAATGAACAATTACAAGAAAACATATTGAAATAGATGTAAACGTGTTGACGTGCTTGGTGTCAATACTACAAAACTCAACAATCATCTTCCTTTTAAACTACCCAAGTACATTGAGACAAAAATAAAAAAAAACCTATTTTCTTATGAATATATTATCACTTAACTAAATCATTCTCTAAATATTTTTTTCTACCCTTTTCTTAAAAATTAAAACCTCTTATTGTTTCAACAAATTTTCATTTTAATGAATCATTTATTATTTAGTCTCATAAATATACCTATTTTATTACTTAAAATTATTTAATTATTATTCATAAGCTCATTTGACTGTCCACTGTTCAATTTCGTATTTATAATTTACGATTGTAAGAAAAAAAAATGCAAACCTTGGACGGTCGTAGATCTTATTAAACTTTTTATAATTAGGACACTTAATAAAATAATATTAGTGCCATTAATTGAAAATTGTATCACAATTAAATTTGTAACACGCTAATAATTAATTAAATTCATTATTCTCTAAAAACTTGTACATATTCTTCAATAATATTGTTTGACAATCTAGGCCACGCTAAGCTAATGTGAATAATTTTATAGTTAAAATATATATTTGTATACATGATTAATTAATATATTTTATATAAGTATATTATAAAATAGCTGCACAGTGGGCGGTGTTTTTTACGATATTGTCAATACATTAGCAATAAGCTATCGTAATTAAAACATCAACAATTTTAATTGTCGTATACAGACATTTTACAATCATTATATGATTGATTAGATCAATTAAATAGTTAATAGACTCTTATGAGGCGGGTGTAGGAGACAAGGGTGTTCCCATAGCGGCGGCTTGTTTCGCTCGTCGACGTTTAATCAACAATGGATTATTTGAATTGTCTAATTGTTTTAAATTGGCGGCATCATAATCGACACGCATTGTCGCGAGGGATCGTGTCATTTCTTCTTGTACTTCAGGCCAAAGTTCCTCTCCTTCGCGCAATACTCTCCCGGTATGCAGCGGCGTTGGCGGTACTTCAGTATGTTTCTATAATTTATTAAATAAATGAATAAAAAATTAAAAAGTAAAAAGTGAAATTAAAATTTAAAATACATACACAAATCCAATTATTTCTCATAACATCTTCGATGGTAAATCGTTCGGCTGGATCTGTACGCAACATTCCTTTAATTAGATCTCGCGCTTCAGTGCTTACGTGCTCCCATTCTGGAGCTGGAAAATCATACTGTCCCAGACGTATTCTCTTCTTCATTCCCGGTGAAATCGCTAACCCGTGGTTGCTGTAGAACGGCGGAAAACCGCACAATAAAATGTACATTATCACTCCCAACGACCAAATATCACAGCTTTTGTCGTACTTTTCTGCTCCCAGCACTTCAGGAGCTAAAAATTTTCGTAAATTTTTAAATAAATAAAATTACTTGATACACCGAAAGAACAATATTACACTGGATATAATCCCAGATTATACTCAGTAATATGTGATGAAAAAAAATTTTAAATAGCTAAAAAAAATCCAGATTATACTGCGTGATATCTGGATTATACTAGCTACTATCTAATATTTGATCGCCGACGATTCTATTGTTATTAATTATTAATTTCTGAAGAAAAAAACATCAATATTTATCTTTGGATAGTAAATAAACAAAAGAATACCTTTATTTAAATTAAGTAAAAATTATTTCAATCAATTTAACAATTTCTTGAGCTAAGAATATATATTCTTGAAAATTTTCAAGAACATAAATTCTTGTATCAAGAAAATTTTCTTAATCAAAGTATTTTTTTTCTCAGTGTAATCTGGATTATACTATCTACTATCTGAAATTTTTTTTCACTCAGTATAATCTGGAATGATATCCAGTGTCATCTTGTTCTTCCCGCGTAGTGCTAAAGAGAAAATATTTTTTTTTTTCAATGTAATTATTTTTTCCACTGACCGACATAATAAGGTGTATAGCATGGCGTTTGTAATGTGTTTTTAATATTAGTCTCTTTGGCAAAACCAAAGTCTGTTAATTTCAGTACTCCTGAGCTATCTAAAAAAAAAAAAAATAAAATAAAATTTTATATACAGAGTAAACAAAAAATTTCTAAGTAAAAAATTCCATTATTTTTTTTTATTATTATTATCATTGTATTTACCTAACTTTGAGTACAAAAGATTTTCAGGTTTAAGATCTCTGTGAGCAATGTTAATGTCGTGGAGATGCTTCACTGCAAGACAAATTCCGTACATTATTTGTGCAGCTTCTATAATACATAATAAGAAAAGTAAATAAAATAACATACTGATATTATGCAAAGATAATATTTTTTTTACCTCTTTCAGTAAAGGCACCGTCTTGCCGATCTTGTATCCGTTGAAAAAGTTCACCACCCTCCATGCTGATAAATATTTATTTGATAATAATTTTATTGAACATAAAATAAAAAAAGTATTTATAGAATATATTAATATTACCATTCCATTACTACAAGCAGACATTTATTTCCCCCGTAAGTATTTTCATAAACATCTTTAACTTGTACAATATGTTTACAATTAGAAGCTCTCCAGTGTAATTCAACTTCTCTCCTTGCTTTCATACAGTCATAAAGTACCTAGAATAAAAAAGTTGATCATGAATGAATAATCATGTATCAGAAGCATGATATTGAAATTATCAACATAGAAAATGAAATTTTTCTTTGAAGCTGTTTTATAGTATCAATATTAAAAATTGTTAAATGAAAAAAAAAATTTTTTTTTTATTTATCATCTTATCGCTCTTGTCGATTCGTTTCATTGAACCATGAGCTTTATTTTCCGGTTAACACCGAACCATTCAAAGGAAAATCACTTATATTAGTGTATAAAAATAGACGATGACGGGAGACCAGCAGTCTCAATCCAACCAAACCCAACTTGATCAACTTTACGAATGTCGATGATGCGTAATTATACAAACATCTTAATTTCGTTTTATATTTACTAATGATCAATAAATCCGTCTGTCAGACAATTTGTCTCTCGATAAATACAAACAGTCAACTTTGACCTACTGATAATAAAATAAATAAACAATTACTAATTAGCTAATTACCTTTAGGGCATATTTTTCTCTAGTATTTTTATCATAGCACTCAACAACTTGTCCATTGATACCAAGCCCGAGTACATGATTACTTATTTCATAATCATCTGTAATAGGTGTTTCTTTAGGTACTCGATCTTCTAATCTTGATGTTGGAAAATCCATATTTTTTTTCAACACCTCTTGGGGTTTTTTTTCTTTACTGTTATTAACTTCTTCAGTTATTTTAATGTTAATGTTATTATTATTATTATTATTTTTACAGGTGTTATTATTATTAGTACTAGTGTGGCCTTCTTCTTTCTCAATGATGCTACCTGGTCGATCCACTTTCTTAGAGCGTTTTTTTTTTCCTTTTGGCTTTGTCGTAACGTCTAATCGTCCAACACGCCTTGGCTTTCTGTTAGAGACAAAAATATAAATTTAAATTAGTCATTTCTACTTTCATTTCAATGAGTCATCAATCAAATATTTGTAATACATAATAAATAATTAATTGTTATTTATTTATTTATTAATTAGCTCAGCATTTTTTGAATTAGTAAGCATTTATTGATTATTAGTCTCGCTAAAAATATTATTCTTTTTATGAAAAAAAATATATTTTATTTTTGACGAGATAATCTAAAGCAATTGTGACAATATATAAAATGCGGTCGATAAAATAAACAATGATGCGTTGTGAGATAGTTATTTTTATACCGATTTCTAATTGATAAGATAAATATGACATTACATTTAAGAGTAGGTATGTCATACATATAATAAGGTACACAAAGCGACACTGCGACACGGACATTAAAATATATATATATATCTATCTATCAACATGTATATTATTTTTAAATAAATTTTTAAAAATTAATAATTGACCTCCAAAAGGTCCAGCTAGACATTGACTTGGACATTGATGCTTGGATCCTTTTATTTATTTAAAAAAAATTGACTTTTTTTTTTATTGTGTGATTGTGTGAAAGATTAATAAACTTGAAGCTCCAAAAAATAATTCTTGCTTTTATTTTCTCCAAAATTAAACAAAATTCTAAACAACGTGGCGCTGAAAATAAATGAATTAAAAAAAAATTAATGATTATAAAAAATTTAATAAAACAAAATTATAGTAATATTTTTAAAATAAAATTAAAAACACTTGAGTGATTTGATGAATCAGCAGTATTAGAATTTTTTTAAAAATCATTAAATAAATAACGCTGATTTATAAGTATTACCGTATTAAATATTTGACGACACGATATCGTTTTAAGAATCTTAACTTTTTCTATCAAAAATCAAAGAAAAGAATTTGTGTACATATGTATAAAGTTATGTTGACGTAATGCGACTACCGCACAACCAAATATAGAATTTATATTAAAATGTGACAGGAACAAACAATTATTTGTAATGATAAGTTGTTATTATAACAAATATTAACTGTTTGTTTTATAAATTTTTTTTTATTGACAGTAAAGTAAGTTTTTAATTCAATGAACGAACAGTTTATAACCTCAGCAACCGAAGAAATTAATAAATATGATTGAAGTTTTATTATTCATTGTTCATTATTGTTATTTTTTTTAGATAACATAATTGTTATGTTACTTGATAAGTAAATAAATAATTATTTTATTAAATTTACCAAGTCTAATGAGAGGTTTATACGGTGTCGTCAAATTCTAAGAACTCGTTCATGGTCATACATCACTTAACTTGTTAAATTGCGGAGGTGTATAGCACCTGTCGATTATCATGGAAAATAATCCACAAAAGGCCTAATTATTGTCACAAAATCACACAATTATAATATAAGTATGCTCATTAAATAATTATATTTATTACTTTAATAATTAGCGCACTGTAGTTTAGTTATAAAAAAATAGAATAATTTAAATTATTTAAATGTTTTAAGATTTAAATATTGGCGTGAACCAACAAACTGAGTTCTGTGCATTTTAAAATCTCAGCTGACACTGAAACTCAATTGTAAAATAATTATTGAAAAGCGTAGACTTATTGTGTATGTTAGATATGTGTTAATATATATATATAAATAGGGATGTAAGTTGTGTGGGTACGATACCGCGTTTGCGCTGTTGGCTTGATGATCGTGATTCTTCGTTCTTGCTCTTCGTGTTCTTTGTTGGGGAATGCTTCAATTTCAAACTGACTGGGGTGTTCTCACTGGTACTTATTGATGATTTATAAAAATATTATTTTCAAATATGTCACTTGCAATATTTATGATTTTTTATTTAATTTATAAAGCTGCTGAGTTTTTAACACCTGTTCTACTGCACTTTGTTACCTCTTGATGACTTGGAACTAAAAAGAGTGTTAAATGTGAGTTGGAGATGATGTTGATGAAGAGGTGATGTACAATCTCTGACCAAGTATGCTGGAAAATCTAAAGATGACTCATCTTCAGGGCCGTCACTATACCTCTTTTATTTAAAAAAATACTTTCACTTTTTTTTGACTTAAAATTTTCATTACAAATTTTAAATTATATATTACTTTAAATAAATTTTAATTTCAAAGTGAACAGTTAAAAAAAAATTTTTTACTCCTAAAAATTGAGGGGTAAAATATGAAAAGAATAAAAAATTTTAATTTTTCAATTCAGGTTTTATTCAATAACTTGTAATTGGATAATTACAAAATTTAATCACATTTAATAATTATTATAAATAATTAATTAAATTTTTAGTAGGCACAATTTTTTTTTTTTTTTAATAATTTTCTGTACATAGTTATCAATATTTAATCATTTTTTTAATACCTTGACCGTAATTAGTTATTTCAACCTTCAGTTAAATTTACTTGTATTATTATCATTCACATAACAACAATAACAATTTGTAACTAAAGTCTTACACTTGATAGTTAAATATATCTGGAGCAAAGGAAGAGAAACGTATTCATCACCTTCATCATTATACATTTAAATTATGTCGACCAATAATTATATCTTAATAATTAAAGTAAATTCTAAATTATTAAATGATAATATACATTAACTGATGAAATGTACATATAAATAGCATGTACAATCTTTACATATTAGTTCATTATATCAAGTTATTCACAGTTATAATTATTTTGTTAATTTATATTTATGTAAAGAAACAAATTAATATATATATATATTATAATTGGACAATATTTTAATTAGAGTAAAAAGATTTTCAGTGTTAATGAAATGATTATTAATTATAGTTTTGTTTAAAATTTGGCATTCTCGAAATTCAATAGAATTTAAATTATCACTTGACTATAATTAAATGAGTTATAAACATGTCTAGATGCTTGCCTAATTATTATGTACGTATTGCTTGTCCAATTATTTTATCTTATAATAATAACTTACAAGGAAGTGTTAAAAAAAGGAACGTTCAATTCCTTTCTCGCAGAAAATTCTTTCGGGTATAACATGAGAAATATTAGATAATATAATAATAATAATAATAATAATATTAATAATAAATGACGTATAAGTATTACAATAATGAAACAAAATTAAATTCAACAGGTACAACACTAAATAAATTTAACTTTACTTTCTAACATATATACTTATTTTCTTTTCATTTTCCACCAAAAAAAATATATATATCACAATATATATATTTTTTACACTCTAAAATACTTACATCGAAGTTTAAATTCTTATCATTACAGTTATCATTATGATTATCATTAAACACAATCCAAAATGCATTTTTATAATTAGACATTAAAAAAATTTTCTTCAACTATTTATCAAAATATTTTTAATGCTCATATATACACATATAAAAGATTGAATAACTTTTAATGAATACACATTGAGCAACAGCACTGTGTATATCAATTATAATTTTAAAAAATATGAAATATATTTATTAAATTACTAATAATAAAGTCAACAATTCGTCAACAATTTTATTACAATGAAGATAATATTCTAAAGTTTAATTAAGTCTCTCAGTGAATTTGGAAAAAACGTTAATATTTAAGTCTACTTATCAACTCATCAACAATGCCTTCAGATAATTTAAAAAAAAAAAAATAAAAATACTCATAAAGTAAATTTAGTGTATAAAATAAATCCTCGATTATTAAATGTAATAACAATTAATCCTTACTCTTAGGTAACGATTGGCATTGCACAAATAATAATTGTCATACCATTTGGGCATCTGATTCTGTTTTACAATCCTGCATACCAAGTATATAAGGCACCACACTAGCTACGCTAACTCTGCCAATAAGACCCGCGAAAAATAAATCTTCTAAAACACGTGGGTTTATAGCACGAAGCGGAGCTAGTTTCATTAATAGTCGAGGTAGTCGATCTGATCCTATACGTTGCTGTAACTCAGTCCATGCTGCCTCCTGCAGCACTTCAACCTTTTTACGCCAAGCGTCAGCCAGGATATTATCTATTTCATAACATAAAAAAAAAATAATCAGTAATTATCGTTACATTATGAATGATATTCCTAATATGGTAATGGTAAACTAATCAATGCTATTAACCACTGACGTATATAATAACGTCACAGCGGATGACTTACCTGAACTGAAAAGCGTTAAAGCCTTGAGGTAGGCGTACTCCGTTGAGTCAACCTGCATTTTATGTAGAGAACTAACACAATCTTGTAGTCTACATATGTGTTCTGTTATCAATTTAACTTTGCTGGCTGTTATTTTTTCCTGAGCGATACTCGCCTGCAGATGATTGATAATTGACGTCAAAATACTGGGTAGTGACAAAGTGTATGCACATTGTGCAAGCCCTAAAGTAAACAACTGACCCCATGAACTCCGTACCAGGGAAGTCTGGACATCCGATCTATATAAAATACATGTATCCAATTACCAACACGATAAGCGGCTTACAAGAGATTAAAGGTATTATTTACATTTAAAAAATTCAACTAAAATCAATACTTACGGGAGGGCTTGAAAAGCGGGGATTCCTCGTGCCCAGTGTACGGACAAAAATAATAATCTCGCGGCGCTTTCACAAATATAGTGTATTGATAAGTATGCTGGAGCTGGGCTAGGTGCCCGTAATTCAAAGACTGTGTGCCGCTCGAATAAGAGCTGGCCAGTCCACTCCTCTTCTGGCTCATCGGATCCATTTACACTCTGTTTCAATAAATTAACCTTGGGTTAATACCACGAACTAATAAATAATTCATAATAACAAACAAACAAATGTAATTTTAATATACTATCTCTCTTACATCACCAATGAGTTTAGCCATTCCCTCGAGCGCATGTGAAATAAGCATACGGTCACGTGCCAATGTCAATGCATCACTCAAATCACTGTCACTACTTTGGTCTTCGGCACTTGGACTTTCTGGTGGTTCCCAAATAGGAGCGGTCTCGGGTGCAGATTGTTGAGGCTCTGGTTTAACTCTTGCACTCCGATTACTCAATTTTGTGGCTGCTGCTTCGCCTAGGACTGGTTTTCGCTCATGCTGTACCGCTGTAACACCCCAAGCTTGCTTATGTTTATTATATTCCGCAATTAAATCTCCCAATCATTTCAATTTATTCTCTAACTGCTTTTCAATGTATTTAAAAAAAAAAAAATTAGGACGACGATTGACCCTAAAGGCCAATCCCTGCAACTTCCCGCTCATTTTGTACTTAAGCGCTCAAAATTACACATTACGTTTTTGAGCTCTTCGAGCTGAAAAATATAGATTTTGTGTCATTTTGAGCTTTCCGAGCTCAAAAGTCTGATAGAAGTTTAATAAAACACTAGGGTAAAAGACCCCATTAGTGGTGGGGACCCCATTACTGACACTTTCTTTAATTTTGATACTTATTCAATTAATTAAATCACTAATTTTAATAATAAATATATTATTTATAATCTTTAAGACCTTTTCATCAAAAAAATTTGTAATTTTTATTCCAAGTAGAACATTTTTTCATTGAAAGAAAAAGTGCCACTAATGGGGGTTAAAGGTGCCACTAATGGGGTCTTTTACCTTATTTGAATTTTCAAACCGCAATAACTTTTGAATTAATGTACCGATTTTCACGCGGTTGGCGACATTCTACGCAGTTTTTCAAATTCTAATATATATTTACAAACACAAATTGATCAGACATGAAATTTCAGTGTAATTCGAAAAAAACACTTTTTTTCGATTTCTTTCGTCAACGATTACTCACGAACGAATCAACCGATTTTGACCGGCTTGGTGGCGATCGACGTGGTTTTTCAATGTCAAGAGCTGATTAATTTTTGGAATTGATCGGTCAAGTTGTTTGAAAGTTATTAAAAAAAAAAACTATATTTGAAAAATTTTTTTTTCGCAGTTTTTTAAAGATTTCTCAAAATTTATCCGTTTGAATCGGTCCAAATTGTATACAAAATTTAAGACCTCAAAACGTCGAGATCTGATGAAAACTGGATTTTCGAAAATCGGGGTAAAAACAATAACTTCCCAATTTTTGAAAATTTTCAATTTTTTTAGCAGGAAGTTAAAAATATTCAATATTTATAAAATGAAAAAAGTAACTCACAGTCACTTCTCATTCCCATTGCCAAGCATTTTTGAAGTCGACAGTATTGACAACGATTTCTGTGATGTTTAGTGACCTCGCAGGATTTACTTCCTCGACACTGATAACCCAGTTGTTTACGAATACTCCGTTTAAAAAATCCTTTGCATCCTTCACAACTTATCGCACCGTAATGTCGACCACTTGCACGATCGCCGCAAACAACACATATTTCTAACGATAACCCAAGGCCTAAAGAACCTCTAACATCTCTTGCTAGTTTTACCTGTCAATAAATAAATAAATAAATAAATAAATATAAAAATTATTACATTTTATTTATAGACAGATTGATGTCAAGAATAAAAATAAGTACCTCAACATCAGTATTATTCAAGTGCTCAATACCACTGTGTAAATGAACTATATTGCGATGGTGTCCTAAACTCCGGAAGTCTCTTACCATTTTGTAATCAACCTTCTCATCTAACATATCAGAATGATTGTTTTGATCGCGTTCACTATCTCTCTGTAAAATTAAATATAAAAAAATTTTAATAATAAATAAATACATCGATTTATTCTATGATAAAAAAAATAATTTGTATCAATTGAAAATAGTTTAAATAAACAAGTAAATATTATTACCTCGCTATCGGGATCAACAGAATAATCCATATTACGGCGATAGCTAAGGTCATGGAACTCAACTTCTCCTTTACGTTCGACCTCACCGTCATTCAAATTGTCACTGTCACATTTATCCAACTCTCTGTCCATATTGTTCTTCAGTCAAAAGTTGAGACAACAACACGTATGTACACACCTTTAATGATAAAAAATAAATACATTTATTATTAGAGTATCAAAGTGTGTTAATTGATAATGACAAGCGATTGACAAATCGATAAAAATTTGTTTTTATTCTACATCAATTTATTTAATCGCTCTGGTAATTTAAATTAAATTAAATATTATAATAATTTATAATTATTCTGTAATTTACAAGAAATACTTGTATTAATAAAAATATTCCCCTTCTTTTAGAAATATTAATAATAAAACCGTTCCCTTCGCTCTCATTTTCTCGCTTGGTTGGCGGCATTTTTTTCTTATTTTATTATTTTATTTTCTTACTTTTTACGGTAAGGAAAAGATGCCTCGACTTAAAACATTAACACAACCCAACTCCTACGTTTATATTAACGTGCTGTGAACTTTAATAATAAATGATAAAATCGTGCGTTTTTTTACAAATATTTTTTTTTTGTTAGCTCTTTTTTTTACGGATTATTTCAACACGAAATATCATACAGCATAAAAATGTCACGGCTAGTAATGATTCAGAAAAAAGAAAAAGGAGGGAGTTAAATAAACATATACATACAAATGTATATTAAACAAAGAGAAAAACATGTATATTGCATTAAGACATAATAAAAATGATAAGTGTGGGCGGGTCATACAACTTGACACGTATTATACCTGTGACGAGGTAACGTATCCATACACACCGCACCTAGGTAACACGAAAAGGTCACGGAGTTTAAAAAAACGTAAGTCTGAGTAGCCATTTCGTGTCTTTCCTTTCGGTGGCGTGCCAGATCAGCGTCTTTACTTACATTCTGCACATTATTCAACATATAATAGTTCACAGCAGTATGAATATAAATATATACCAATTATATATAAATTGAATAAAAACAACCAACCCACCTAATTATTAAATCAAAATAAATTCACTCTTACGGAAACCTATAACAATAAAATAATATTTGTTATTATATTTAATAATATAAAAAATTTTTAAATATAAAAATAAAAATAATACACTACCTGTTTGTAAAATTATTAGTGTCAGCGCATTTGAGTACTGTTTAGGTTTGTACGCGCAAATCAACAGCATCAAAATATAATAATTTTTTATCCTGGAGATTACAAGTCTAAAATTTGACTTGAGACGATGATTAAATAGAAGACTAGTAAGTGGGTGTAATGCACATCTGCCACAATATCACGTTTAAGTTTATTTATTGTCCGTGTAGTTGAACGTCGGTCAACTCTATATATATATATTGATGATGGTACTAATGTGTAGAGTAGAGTATGTATATATTAAATTAAATATATATAACACTGAAAGGAGACGAGACACTAATGTGAGTAAAGTAGACGACATCAGTTCAGGGAGTAGAAAGACACTTACATAAACGAACACATACACAGCAGAGCAAAATCGGCTCTGAATAGAATGCGGGGAGAGAGTTTAAAGGTAACAAAACAGGCAACCTTGCACACACAGGTGAACGCAACTCAACTTTATCTATCTACAGGTAACCTGTAGCACTCACCGTGGTGTGCCTCCACTGCTGCTGTTGCCGCTGCCAGTCCCCAGGTCAACTTCAGTCACTCGTACGCCCTTTGCTCTTCTCCTCTCTCGTCAGCCCAACACACGAGCCACACTCATTCCACTCTACTCTACTTAACTCTTTTCTACTCCTGTCTATTGTCGTGTTATCTCTCTCCTTGTTCCGTTTGCTGGAGATATAGTGACTGGTTCGTGGATCTAAAACCACACGGCCCAGGTGCATTAGTCGTGAGTGACTTCTCGTTCTATTCTGTTTCCAGGCTTGTCCTCTTGTCCGCCTTTACTTCTTCTAATTTCTATTACACTACAGATAAAACTCGTTCTCGCTCTCCTTCCTATGAAAACATGTGCATCCGAGAAAAGTTTTACAGAGACAAGGAAACTTTACATATACTTTCTTAAATATAATACTGCTCATGTACAGTAGTGGTATACATACAGTATAGTAGAGCTCAAAACTCGAGACGTCGTTTGATTGGCGCTCCAGTTATTGATTTAAAAGCCCGCGAGATTTTGAATTATTTTTTATACTAAATGAAAATTAATTATGACATTTAAGTTAGCAGTCGCTTGACCATTTTTTTATTTTTTTTTTTTAAAGAAGAAATTTGTTGCAAAAAATTATTTTAAAAAAATTGCATTTTTTATTTTTTTCAATTTCTACATGTCAATTTTTTTTTCTAATTTTTTTTGCAATAATTTATTTCTTAAAAAAATTATCAAAAATCTGCTAAATTAATTTTCATAAATTAATTTAGCATATGATTAATAATATTAAACAATAATTCTATAACAAATAAATTATGGCATAAATAAAATGCAATTTTTTAGAACAAATTTGTTTGTTAAAAAAATTTTTTTTAATTATAGTGACTGCTAACTTTAATCTTATAAATTAAATTAGCCGACATTTAAAAATTTTTAGAATTTTTTTTTTTTATTAAAAAAATAAAAAAAAAATTTCATTTGTAAAAAAAACTTTAAAAACTGTAAATTCAATTTTTTAAAAATATTTTTTTATTCTAATTTAATTATTAAAAAAAATTAAAAAATTAAAAACGTCGGCTAACTTTGGTATTATTAATACTAAAAGTTTTTGACTATTTAATTATTTTAAATAATATATATGTATAGGGTTATTTTTTTGAAATAAAAAACTTCCATAGGTACATTTTATCTATTTAGAATTTTTCATTGACATTTATGTAGACCATTTATACATATTTCATTCAATATATTTATTATTTACATATTCACGCAGATATAATAATAATGTATGCCCTATTATATAAATCCTGTTTTTTTTTTAATACACTTTGAAAAGTCATAAGTTATAAGTAAAAAAATTTACATAATATAATAAAAATAATTATATGAAATTGTCAGGTATCGAAAAGTTTGGCAAAAAAAAATAATCAGAGCCTCTTTGTGTATTTAATTTGCTTTTTGTTAACAGTATAATTTTTAATTATTGGTAAATAGATTTTTATATGAAAAATTATAAAAAAATGAAATCGATTTAATTGCTGGACGATTTCGTTTTTACTCTATGAGTTACAATTCATTTATTGTTTATTTATTTATTTATTTATTTATTTATAATTAATTGTAAATATTCATTATACTCTTTTGATCAATTAAAACCATCAATATATTTATTTGTTGTATTTATATATTAAATTTGTATATTATATATGTGATTAATTATTCTGTAGAGAAAGCATTAAATTGTTTCTATTGTGAATCACACTAGATCTTAATTATTTAATTGAGATTTATTTTTTCTTTATTATTCTAGTATCAGACTACCTTGCTAACTCTTATGAAGGTATTTTCAAGATCAATATTTGAATTTAATATTGTTATTATTAGTATTATTATATTAATATAATATATAATTATATATTACTAATGATAATAATGATGATGATGATGATGATGATGCTGATTGCAACCATATAAGTGTATTCGTGTTGATTAACCATGCACTCATTTTGAAATCCATTTACACGCCATTATTATTATTATTCTTCTTATCATTATCATTTTTTTTCAAAGAAAGCACCACAACAATTTTGTACCATAAAGAATTGAAAAAGTGAATTTTTTTCGCTTAAACATCTTCATTTATTATTTTTTATTTCTTTTTTATCTAACGATTAATTTATATTGGTTTTTAACAATAATATCACGTAAAATTGTCATGATCATCTGAAAATAATAATTATTAAATTTTTTTTCTAAAATACATTCAAGAGTTAGTATACAGAAAGAACAGGATGTCACTGGATATCATCCCAGATTATACTGAGTAAAAAAAAATTTCAGATAGTAGCTAGTATAATCCAGATATAATCTGGATTTTTTTAGCTACTATCTGAAATTTTGTTTCATCATAAATATCATTGAGTATAATCTGAGATGATATTCAGTGTCATCTTGTTCTTAGTGTGTACAGATAAAAACAAAAATTAATTAAATAAAATACCTTGATCAGTTAGAGTAATTTATAAAACTAACATCCAAAAACTTCTTGACTTGCATAAACCATATATAAAAATCCATCTTCATCCTTTTCTCGCTGATAAAGCTGGGCCATTGTCAAGCTACCACTTGCCATACTTCTTTGATTAACAAGCACAAAGAATGCTTGGGTTGGATGTAATTGTAATCTTCGCCTGTTAATAATCAATAATCAATACATGGACAAATTATTCTAATTTTAATTTTTTATTGATTTAAATTAGGCTAACTTAGCCAGTGAATGAACATTAGTGCTCCATTTAAAAAGATAAGATATGATCCTTAAATTATAGCAGAAATAAATAATGAAAATGTATCTCTTGAAAGCACCATAAAAATTCTATTTATTAAATAAAAAAAAACTTTTATACTAGTACCAAGGTTATATAAAAATTTTGAAACAAAATTTTAATTATTTTATTATATTTCAATGATGTTCATTCACTGAACCTATAATTATATTAAGAAAATTAATTTAGCAGATATTTAATAATTTTTTTCACAAATAAATTATGGCAAAAAAAAGTAGAAAAAAAAAAAATTGACATGTAAAAATTTTAAAAAATAAAAAATGCAATTTTTTAAAAATAATTTTTTGGAACAAATTTGTTTGTTAAAAAAAATTAAAAAATTGTCAAGTGACTGCTAAGTTTAATGTCATAATATATCTCAATAATAATAAATCAATACCTTATAATTTTAATCAACTCCGCAACTGTCAAATGATCTGGTACCAAAAATTTAGATTTATCCGGTGGTGGTAATTGTTTTTCACCGTAGTAACGTTCAACAATAATAGGTATTTTATTTGGATGACGTTCACGAATTAATTCCACATCAGATACTCGTTGTGCTAAAATAAAATCGTTAGAAAATAATATTTTAATAGCTATTAAAAATAGATATATTGATATTACTCCAATAAATCATTACAAATAAGCGTTTTATTATAATTTATCAAACAAAGAAAAAAAAGTAAAACCAATACAATAAATAATAGAAAAAAAAAGTATGATGAAATAAACTGAATATGTATATAATATATGTAAGCTGTGTCAAGTGGAAAGACTACGTTTTGTTATAAAATCAGTAATAAGAAAAAATCACTACTGTCATAACACTACTTATTATTGATGTTACCAAATAAAAATTGATAAATTATTAAGCATATTTTGATATTTAAATAAAGATATATTTACCAAATGATCGCTTTTCTTTAAACGATTTGGGTGTCAAGCTCATTTCGTTATTTCGTATTCTATTTATCAACTACTACGACGCACTTTGACACAAAGTCAGCTGTGAATTCACCAACACAGCTTTAACACAACAAACAAGTTCCTGAAGCTTGTCTCGTTTTGTTACGAACAGAAACTTACTGAAACGATAAAGAAAGACAGTGTTATCACTTTTAAATGTACCAAACAAAGACACTTTTAATATAATGGCGAATAAAAGATTTGTGCGCAGACGCAGAAATATACCCTATGTTATTATTGTTAGAAAAAAATATATAAGCTTATATTTTATTTTATTAGAACTTACAAAAGTCGCCTATGCGCTTGATAATTTAATTATACAAAAGTTGTAAATTTACCTTAATTTAGATTATCTCTAATTACTTATTTTAATTTATCTATAATATAAAATGTCAAAATTTATTAATTATTTCAACGTTTTAGGTCTAGAGTAATTCATCCGTAAAATTTTCTACAGATAAAATTTTTACAGTAAAAATACTTTTTATTATTTTGAAATTAAATTAAGTGGTTTTTATTTTTAGGATTATTATATTGAAATTTTACTGCCTAGTTTATTACAAACCTTAAATAAAATGTCAAAGCTTCGAGAGAGTTCTATTTTTATTAAAAATTACAATCTAAATTATTATTTTGGTATTCTTCACTTTTTTAAAAAAATTTTTATATGTAAATATTTTTTTACAGAATATTAAAATTTCAGCACGTAAAATTTTTTTTAGCTGTCCATTTTGTGCTGCTTGTTAATTTCCAAAAAAAGAATGACACTGAAGTTAGCAGACGTCTAAAAATTTTTAATTTTTTTTTTTTTTTTAATTAAACTACAACTAAAAAGATATTTATAAAAAATTGCACTTATAGTTTTTCAAGTTTTTAACATGTGATATTTTTTTTTTTTAATTGTTTAATTGATATTTTTTCGATAAAAAATTTCTAAAAATTTTGAAATGTCAGCTAACTTGATTTTCAAAAAAAAAATGGATGTAAGTGTTTGGAATTAGTGCGCCATTTAAGAATTAACTAGCGCCGTCTATTTACAAGTAGACGAACTGGCCCTGTAGTGATGGCGGAGATAACATCTGATGACGTGCGCATCTGTGTATTCAAAAGCCCAGGCCATCAAGCTGACTCCCTCCCTCTGTCTTTCTTTCAGCTCTCTCTCGCTTGCTCTCAACTTGAACTGCCATGTAGATATATAATATCCGACCGAGGTGTATACATATATATATATATATATATACATATATGATGTATAGAAGAGTGGATAATACTCTAGTGGTATATTTCTGTATGCCTTTGTATATGGACACAGTTGAACGCGTGATGGCGCGTGGGTGTGAAGTAGTTGATGCGTTATTATAATTTTCCACCTAAAAATTAGTGAATTTATCTATGAAAACTTGTATTAAACTCGAAGAGTGAAGTAGCTTAACTAAATATACTATTAATATAACAATATATTAAACAATATAAATACTACTACATTGTCGGGATTGAAGTTTTTTTTGTCACCCAAGGGATGATAGCATAAGGATACTGTTGAGCGTCACCTGTGTCACTCAGATGTATACAGTTAGACGAGACATTCGAGAGAAGGATTATTGTTGCAAAGTTTAAGAGACAAGAGATAACAACTAATTTAAATATCCGGCCTCGGAGACAACAGCTACTATGGAAAAAAAAAAAGGTATAAGCCACATCAGCTGTTTCGATTTATCATCAATTCATTAGCAACAACATAAATAAGCTAAATATATTAGTGTCAGTTCCTGTTTAAAGAGAAAGAGAGTATAATTATTAAAAATTACGTGTAACAAGTTGACTCATAAACCCTCATAAAAAAAAAAAAAAAAAAGGGGCGCACGATTACTGCGCGTCCGATCATTGTACTTGTCGACGTAGCAGTATAAACTGGATTATTATTCTTTTTATTTATTTTTTACTTACTCTGTTTTTCAACATTTATTTATTTGCATTTTATCAACTTAATACTTGAACAAGTGAATTACTTATGGGTTTATTGTTGTGTCAAGTTATAAGTAATTGTCAGTGGATTTTTCGAGCAGAAAAAATAAATTTTTTTTTGTTAAGAACAATTATTTTATTAGTAATTAAATGCACGTGTGTGTTGATACTAGAAGTAACAGCAACAGCAAGTGGAGGTCACTGATAAAGAAAGTTTACCGTGGGTGTTAATTTTGTTTTATTATCCTTTTACTTATTAATATTTTATATTAATTGGTACATGCCAAGTGATTTCTTTTTACCTTACCACGCCATTTAATTATTGGGGAAATTTCTACAACTAATTACTGAGGTGGTCAATTTCAATAAATTGTCTACGATTAATTACTTTGAGTGGTATAAAATCAGGTAAAATTATTGATATAAATAAAATAATTATCAATAAGTACTTATAAATATTTGTTTTTTTTTTTTTTTTTTTTTTTATTTTTATTTTCAGGTGGTACGTGACTAAATTTGTTCGGGTAAATGAATAATGAGCTGAGGATAAATTACATAAGAAGAAAAGATAATTTGAACCATTGATGATATAAATGATGTCCCTGATGGTGATAGAAATGGAGAATGAGACAAATTGTTGATTACAGTATGGCTACTGTCGACGTGAGGTATCAGTATCACGTGGTGGACAGTAGTAATAGGAGAATATCAATTACAATTACGGAGCAAGGATTAAAAGTTTGACAAGAATAACACTTTTAGGAAGTGTAGATATCATTTGAAGGTGTTTTTGGTAAGGATTGGTTTGGAAGCAGTAGAGTAGACCAGTACAGTAGGAAGTGAGCTGAATGAAATACGAATAAGTCATCAAACTTAGCCGGCTCAGTGCCAACAACCTACAACGAGCTAGACAGCTCATAATGTGTTTGCCCTCGTGCACGATAGATTATAAAATTAGACGTGCTAAACCACGCTCAACAAGAGTTAGAAGAATACAGCGGACAAAAGAAAAGATTGATAGTGAAGACGAAGCTAATCTATTCTCAATCATACGAGAATTATACCGGTGAGGATTATTCTAAACATTTATTATTATATATTATATATAAATAGTAAATAATATCAATACTCGACGTTAAGTGATGTTTAAATAATTTGAGTGATTTTTACCCTCTAGTCTTTCGCATTTAGACATTAAACAAAAAAAGATAATGTCTCACATTTAGCTCAAGAAAAAAATAATAAAATAAAATAGTAAACATCACTCTTTTGTGATCTCATGGCATGGCATTAAAGGTTTATACAATCATGACGCAATAAAGTTCAACTGATTAAATGAAAAAGTAAATCTTAATGGAAAAAAGATCAACGGAATTATTGAGTGATAAAAATTAATGAAAATTAAATTTTCCAGAACAAAAATATGAATCTAAATATTAAGAAGGTGCATTTAAATGACTGAGCCTTCTTACTGAAGAAGACTAAACATTAAATAATAATTGTGCAAGTACAAATGTCTAGCTTAACATTATCAGCTAGAACAATCGAGATGCCCTTGTCACTACCGACTCCGTTCGTGCCTATGAACGCAATCTCATCACAAACATATATAGGAACTAATGAAAATAATCATCTGCCACCGTTAAAATCGGGTAATTATGCACCCAAACAAGGCGAATCACCACCAAGTCATCTCACTCACTCGAGCCACAGTGGTAGCACTCATTTACCTAGTTTAGGATCCAGTGCTAATAACAGCTTACAGAATTTAACTAGTAATTCGGACAGCCTCAATTTGAGCCTTAGTTCTCATGTCAGTCACAACACCCACAACACAAGTCACAATAGCCATTCGCAGCAATCAAATAGCAGTCAGTCAAACAGCCCGATGATAAAAAACGGGCGTTCTGAAAGTAATTCCAACAAGACTATACCGAAAATGGCAGTCTCACCGGAGATTGTCGTGAAGCTTTATTTGAATAAATTAACGTCGTATGAACAGAATGAAATATTTGCGTATCCGCAGATTTATTTTATCGGGGCTAATGCTAAAAAACGTCCAGCAATATTGGGTTTACCCAACAATCATAATTATGACAATGAACAAGGTTCATATATTCATACGCCGCATGATCATGTGGCTTACAGGTATGAAGTCCTTAAAGTTATTGGTAAAGGATCATTTGGTCAAGTTGTAAAGGCTTATGATCACAAAAATCATGAGCACGTGGCCCTTAAAATGGTGAGAAATGAAAGGCGATTTCATCGACAGGCACAGGAGGAAATACGTATTCTTGCTAATTTAAGAAAACAAGATAAGGACAATACTATGAACATTATTCATATGTTCGATTCATTTACATTTAGAAATCATATGTGTATAACATTTGAGCTCCTTAGTATAAATCTTTACGAGCTTATTAAAAAAAATAAATTTCAAGGATTTAGCTTGCAACTAGTTAGAAAATTTTCGCACTCACTGCTTCAATGTTTGGATGCCCTATACAAAAATAAAATAATTCACTGTGACATGAAGCCAGAGAATGTATTGTTGAAACAACAGGGTCGAAGTGGTATTAAGGTAATGATATTAATCAAATTTTTATTTATCTCAGATTTAATTTATCAATACATTCTATTAACGTCTCTTTGTTTTTGTCGTTTTATTTTTTAGGTGATCGATTTTGGTTCAAGTTGCTATGAGGACCAACGAGTGTACACATACATTCAAAGTAGATTTTATCGAGCGCCAGAGGTAATTCTTGGCGCTAAATATGGAATGCCAATAGATATGTGGAGTTTGGGATGTATTCTTGCGGAATTATTAACGGGTTTTCCTTTGCTGCCTGGTGAGGATGAAGCTGACCAATTGGCGTGTATCATTGAGCTTCTGGGAATGCCACCAAGAAGATTGTTAGACAATGCCAAGCGTTCTCGCCAATTTTTTAGCTCTAAAGGCTATCCGAGATATTGCAAAGCAACGACCACTACTCACGGTACGACATTGTTACACGGAGGAGTCTCGCGACGTGGTAAAATTCGTGGCCCACCAGGATCTAAGGATCTAAAAGAGGCGCTCAAAAATTGTGAGGATCCACTGTTTTTGGATTTTATACGAAAGTGTTTGCAGTGGGATCCGGAACAGCGGATGACACCCAGCAAGGCACTTCGACACGCATGGCTAAGAAGAAGATTGCCCCGACCACCCGATGAGAAGGTAGATGTTGTTACTGGGCACTCGGTACAGCCAACGACAGCCGCAGTGACGACATCCGGTAGCCGTAGTTCTAGTAAAACAGCCCACGGCTCAGCTGGACTATCCAGCAAGTTACGTGAGCTGAATGACCAGAGATCCTCGACAATTCAATCACGACACCCTCAGCAGCCTTCATTGAGCCATCCAGTAGTGTCCTCAGTCAGTGGTGGTCACTCAATATCAGTATCCAATCATCCTTCATTAACGCAATCAAACCATCAGTCTCTAAACGCAGTTTCAGCGCACAAACATCAACAATTGCACTCACACAACGGCTCTTCGCACGACAGCCACAGTTCACATGGATCTTCTGGGTCAAGTAGATACGTGGTTAGTAAAGAGATAACATTGGTAGATCCTTGGCGGTAAATTAAGACTGCGAGTGTGTGTATGCGTGTTTATGTAAATGTACATGTGGATATTATGAGAAAAAATTAGCTATAGAGTTATATATATATATATATTGTTGTTATATCCAGCATAAAATTATAATTACAATGGTAATAGTAATAATACGTTTCGATTATTGGGAATAGATCTCAAGTGCCGTTAGATCATAAATCTATGCACAAGCTTTCGGTATTGATATCAAAGTCATACGGTTATGGTCAGGAAATTCTGCAAAGCCCATTGTTTGGAGATATAAATTATCATTATTATTATTATTATTATTATTCTTGGTTGTCTTCTAGGCGCTAGACGTTAATCAAGTGCCATTCACTAATGAATGGAGCAAGCTTTATAAGTAAATTCATTTTTAACAATTGTGCAAAAACTGAATTTTATTTTATCTTTAAAATTGACACTGAACAAAGAAATAATTAAAAATATAATGACGTCAGTATTAATTTTTATTACTGCAAAATCATGGCTAATTTAAATTATTATTACTAGTAACAAAGGATTGAACAACATTGGGCAAACGAAAATAATAGTTCATTATATAATGAAAATAAATTTCAAGACTTAGAAAAATTTAGCTTAGACATTATTATAAAATACAGAATGTCTTGTGATATAAAATTTAGGCGTTTATGGTTTATATATATGTAATAATTATAAGTAAGTTAGTAACTTAGTCGTATTTATCGTGTAATCTATACTGAAACTAATTTGATTACAATGATGACCCAGTGTATTTAAATATCACGCATTTTTGTGTTATTTTTTATTTTTTCTCTATTTTCTCTCTTTCATTAACACCAATGTATTTTTACTTTTTTCTGATTGCTCAGGTGCAATCTATAAAATCTAATATTATTATTATTATTATTATTAATATTATCATTATTATCTACGCATACATCTATTTATATTGTATTGGTATGCTTAACCAATAATTCATTTATATTTAAATTTAAATTTCTTCTCATTGTGATTATTTTTTAAGTATGTTCAATTACAAATCACTTCACTGCCAGTCTCAAAAATTTTATTAAAATAGAGACTACCGTGTTTTTCTTTTTATGTTATTACGCTGTTTGTACCCGATTGTTAAAATTATTTTGAGACAATGTATTTGTTTCTCAGTAATTTTTTTTTTTTTTGTAAATCAATTAATTTTCAATGTATTATTATAGTTAATATTATTTATATAATGTATGCATGCTCGTATAATAATCAATTAATTAATATGTCATTAGATATGCTGATAACGTACGTCATATCTTTTAATTTTAATTGAACGGTTTCAATACCAAATCATAGAAAGAATTTTTTTTCTGTTGTTGACCATGTGATTTTGTTGGTGAAATAGAATTCATACGGGCTAGTCAATTATATCAATTGTCATTGTAAAATTTACTTCATCCTAAAATAAAAAATCAGGCAGTCATTGATGTGATGAGCATTCGGTTAAAATAAATAGTAAAACCGAAGCAATTAAATTATGAACTTGATTAGAAATTAATTGTTCAACATTACATTAATTATTATCGAAGACATGTATAATTGACTTAATTATGTTCAGTATGAAAATTAACATACATAAAAAAAAAGCTTAAAGTATAGTTAATTAATAAATATATAAATATTATTAACATAATTGAACTGAATTAAAGAGACATTATCGTGTCTCAATGTACTATATGAGTGAATGTTTGTATTATAATATAATTATTGATGCATTTAGGACTTTATTCAGCATGAGTTATGAATAATAGAAAACATTACGTAATTATTTAAATCATTTCATCAAACTTTCTTTTAATATTTTTTTTGTTTTGTTTTGTATTTAATATCAAAGATAGTAGTCTCATCTACTTGCATCATGCGAATTTTTTGAAACATTGTATTGTGTAATTGATAATAATAGAAAAGGAAGATTAAATAATTGTTTTATTAATTATTTAATAATCATTGATAAAAAAATCATTTGATATAACGATTTGGCAACAAGTTTCTATTTAAAAAACATAAACCTTAATAAAAAAAAAAATTTTATACAAAACTATACATAATACAACAATTGAAAATAATAAACAAAAAAGCTAATGCGATATTAGATGAAATAAATATTAGTTATTATATTATTATTACTATTATGATTATTGTTATTATTAATTATTATGATTAATTATATAGTGAAAAAAATATGTGCACAAAGGTGAAAATTAGATTGATATAAATATTAAATAAAGTATAGACTGCCACTTATACCGTATTAAATCTAAATTGATAACAATTTATGCAGCCGACCAATTTTTACTTTGACGTAATGCCCATTTGGGCAACTGGCAACCAATAATGGGCATGATATTGTGACAATTGTATAAAGAAAACATTATATCAACTGTTGTGATTTTTAAACATTATTTGTCTTGAATAAATAAATATTTGCTTTCTATGTGCAAGTTAAATTAATATTGTGTAATTATATAAATGAAAATTTGAAAATATGTAATTGTAAAAGCTTATTTTAATTGATAAATGCATCTTTTAAAGATTGCGTTTTTAATTGATAATTATCGGTTTAATTAAATCCTTATCTTTAAGTGACAGTGAAAAAGTTTGATCTCTTATAATTATTATTATTATTATTACTATTATTGATTATTAATTTTAATACTTATGATTGTAAACAAAAAATAAAATAAAATAAATAATTACGAGCTGTCAAGTTTACACCAGATTAATTAATTACGGATTAATTATCGTATGCGTTGATAAGTAGATTAATAATTAAATTGTATAATTAATTGATTGATTATATAAATATGAAAAAATGGCAATACAACTATGGAATTTTTTTTAAATAAATAAAACCTCATTGCCACCAGTCAAAAAAAAAATAAATAAAATAATTAATTACTCCACTTTTTTTTTTATATTAAAAAACCTTATCCTTAAATTTCTAGTAATTTACTTAAAAAATAATTTCTGTATTAAAGTATTAATTTTTGTTTTTATTTATTAAAATCTTTTTTATACAAATTTTTTAAAATGAATATTATAAAGATCATTTGGATAATAGCGTTGAAATTAAATGCTGATGAAAATAATTATTTGTTTAATGTAATTGCAAACTGCTTTAATGTGATTGAAAATACTTAAATATTTAAAAAATTAATTATTCAACTAAATTAAAGTAACTATTAAAAATTGCAAGATAAATAATTAGAAAAATCAATTATTAATTAATGCAACATTAATGAAAAAATAAAAATATGATCTCGATGATCAAAATGCCATTATTTGATGCGTTTAAATCAGTCAGTAGTTAATTAAAACAACTGTTAATACAATTGCGAATGTATAAACGTAAAGTTAAGATAAAAATAGTGAATATAATCAGTCAGCTTTACGTGTTTTACGTTTACGCGCATTAGGACTATTTGCAGCAGAGCTCTTTTTACTGCTTTGCTTTTCAGAATCACTGGCCTCCTCATCAACTAAATCATCTTTTATGTTTTCATCCAATTCGTCTTCATCAGATCCTTTGTCTTGGGACGATTCACTCGAATCTTTGCGCTTCTTGTTAACAACAGCCTTGGCGTGCTTAGGGGGAGAGAAGAAGTCGATAACGCACACGATCACCTGTTAATGTTATTTTATAAATCAATAGGACATAAAAAAAAATATTACTAGCTAGAAGCACAACTTAATACAAAGCTCTATTACTAAGTTCGGGTAAATATTTACAAGTGGAGTCAACCATTTTTATTTTAATTTTTTTAAACGAAATTTCTATTTGATTTTATTGATATATTTTTTTTTAATACATAAAAAAATGAACAATTTAAAAAAAAAAGTTGATCATCACAATTTTAACAAATTTTCAAAAAAATTTATAAATTTTTTAGAAAATTGGGATATTTAACTGTTTTTTTTTTTTGATTTTATTGATATATTTTTTTTAATACATAAAAAAAATGAACAATTTAAAAAAAAAGTTGATCATCACAATTTTAACAAATTTTCAAAAAAATTTATAAATTTTTTAGAAAATTGGGATATTTAACTGTTTTTTTTTTTTTTTAATTTTTCGTTTTTTTTATATAGTTAAAAAAAAAATATATATACATCAAAAAAAGATAAAATCCAAATTTGATCCAAAAACATAAGAGTAAAAATTTTTTCCAACTTTTGTAGCCAAAAAAGCTATCGAAATCTTTATTTTTTTCTTTCGATATTTTTTATCACACAATAAAAAATTTCACGTCATAGCGTCAAAAAATGTTGTGTTAAAAATTTTTATGTTAAATATTTAACACAAAAATTTTTAACACTAAGATTTTTGACGCAAAATTTTTTACTGCGCACGAATGTGCCGTAAATAAGCAGAATAAAAAAAAAAAATTTGAAAATGTTAATTTTTCACCTAGTTACAGCCCAAAATAAGGTTGACCTCACTTGTAAATAATTACCCTAAGTTTGTTTGAATAGCTTGATAAAAAAAATTAAAATTACCAATCCTAAAAGAGCTCCCATGATAATAGTGGCGACAGCAAAAATAAAGTAACTTCCCCATGTTGGTAATCCGTAATCGTCCATTAATTGATTATGGATAGCCTTGAAAATAATGATTATAATATAATTATTTTGTCAATAAATTATAGATTAATTAAACAAGTTATGATAATTAAGTAAATTTACCCGCAAAACTTGAGATAATTTGAAGAATTTACTCATAAGAGTCATTTGAATAGACGTTGGGCTCTTCCAGCTTGATACGGGTTCAACTTTCATCCATGTTTTTGACTTTATGAAATCAACAAGCGATTCACGGTCTCTTGGACTCTTGTACTGACGGAATTCACCGTCTTTTACACTAAAAATATCAATTAAAATTTTTATTAATGACTATATAAAACTTACGTTGATAACAAATTTATCTTTTATATCTTACTGATAAATTGTTGGGAGTGCAGTAACCATAAATCTACCACTTAACCCAGGAGAGTCAGTGACATCGACTTTGCCCACGTTTATACCCAGACTCTTTTTCATGTCACCCAAGTACGACCATGTGGGCTCCATTTCTTTGCACGCCGGACACCAAGGAGCGTAGCTAAATGAATTAATTAGTTATTATTATTTTAAAGCCATTAATTATTTGTTTTAAAGCTTGGTAAAATTTTCTACTCACAATTCTACCATCCATTCTCCAGTTAGCATGAGATTCCAGTTGTCTTCGGTAAATTGATCAACAGAGGAAGTTTTTTTCGCAACAGCCGCATTAGAAAAGGCAATTAAACCAATACAGTACAATAATAATACTCCAATGGAACGAGACATCTTAATAATTATTGTAAAATCACCGGTACTTTATTATTATTGTCCTTGGATACCTTGATCTTGATTAATGGAACTAATACTAATCACGCACTCTCTGCTACCGCCTTTCATCAACGTGGTGTAATGTAATGGCACTTGGCAACGACTTAAGCATCACCTATGGCCAGAAATTGTACTACAAAATGTGTGATTGACAGCTGATAAAATAATTTTGTTACTCAGAAACTCAGATTTCAAAATTTTGAAGAAAATATAAATTGCAATTGCAATTAATTTAATTGCCAAATTAAGATTGCTTTTTATAAACTTTTATTAACATTTATATATAAAAATTTTTAAAATGTTCTTCAATTTTTATTATTCGCTACTACACTGTTTTTTTTTTTTTTTTTTATACATATCAATTTATAATACTAAAATTAGTTGACATTATTAGTTTTTTGATTTTTTTTCAATAATTAAATTAGAACAAAAAAATATTTTTAAAAAATTGCTCTTAAAGTTTTTCAAGTTTTTTACAAATGAAATTTTTTTATGAATATTAATTTAGGAGATATTTTATAATTTTAAGAATTTTTTTAACAAATAATTTAAGTCAAAGAAAATGAGAAAAAAAATTGACATTTAGAAAATTAAAAAAAAATAAAAAATTAAATTTTTTTGAAATAATTTTTTGGAGCAAATTTATTTATTAAAAAAAATTAAAAAATGGTCAAGTGACTGCTAACTAATGTCATAATTTTTTTTTTTTTATTTTTTTTTTGTAATAATTTTTTCAATGAAAAAAAATTCTTAAAATTTTTAGATGTCGGCTAACTCAATTTTCATAATCAATTTTGTTATGACATTTTAAAAATTAGCAATTACTTGACAATTTTTTCGTTTTTCTTGTAATATAAACTAGATCTAAAAAAATATTTTTAAAAAATTGCATTTACAATTTTTTAGAGCTTCCAAATATGGAATTTTTTAAATAAATTTTTCTCGCTATAATTCATATGACAAAAAAATTATCATGAAAATTAAAGTAGCAGATATTTAATAATTTTTAGAATTTCTTTTAGAAATAAATTAGTGTAAAAAAAATTGTAAAAAATTAAAAATGCAATTTTTAAAAATAATTTTTTGAAAGAAATTTTTTTGTTAAATAAAATTAAAAAATTGTGGTAATTTCTAATAAATTTAAATGTCATAAATTATCTGATGTCTTTTAATTTTAGTATCATTTCTTGTTTTATACAAATTGAAATAATAACTATCCAAAATTTCTATAATTGTTCTTTAAAAATAAAAAAAGATTGGTAATATGTTTATAAAAAGTAATAAAAAATAGTGAAATTTCAATGAGATAAATTATTAAAAAAAATTTTTCTATCAGCGATTGATCTGTTCTTCTGTACATGAGAAGGTCTATATAAACTTATTGATTACAAAGTTATATGTACAAATATATAATAATTGTTATTTCTGATAAACCACCCTATGTATTAAATTAAACAACACTATTAGAACTGCTCTATATATTTATAAGCCTATCAACTAGCACGCAAGCGCTCAAATCCATTTAGTATATATGAGGGTAAAATATTTTTGTACATTGTGATTTTGACATATCAATAGTTTCAGTCTTTTTCTAATTCTAAACTTTTTTATTTTTATCATCAATATCAATCAATTTATTTTTTATTCTTTACACTTTAACTATCTCCCAAAAAATTTTTGATAGCAAAAATTATAAAACACAATATCTAACTAATTATTTGCCATATTTTTTATACGTAAGTAACAAGCATCTAAAAAAGTAAATATTATAAAAATTATTTCTTTTATTTAATGCTGATGTTTATTTTAGATCAATCATGTCGACAATTTACCCAACTTTACCTCGTTTGTCAGTGAAAGAAAGCTTCGATGATGATGAGCTGACAGATATTGACGACGAAGTGTTTATAAGAGACGGAAAAACAGGTGGTGGATTCAAATCACAAGATGAAGGTGTCAAAAGACCGCTGATGGCACCAAGGAAGAAGCCTAAAACCAGTTTTGAGAGTCAAAAATTACCATTGCGAGCTCTATTACTGCCACTATGTTACGGCATTATGGCTTTGGTTCTTTTACTAGGACTGATAATGCTCTGCGTTGTTACAGTTAACATTTTTCCGGTACCATTTACGATGATAAAAAATTTATTTCCACCCAAAGAAAACACTGGGCTCAATTCAACTGATGAAGTTCTTCCTTGCACATCGTTGTCTTCGAGCATCATCTGGGTGAGGACGTTGCCGAAACTGACATCAGAAGCACCCTTAAGAAGTGTTGATGTCGATGGTGACGGTGTCGAGGACATAATCGTCGGCTTCAGCACAGGTTTATAAATATAATATCTAAAAATTCATAATAGTAAAGTATGAAAATAAAGTTAGCCGACATTCAAAAATTTTTATGATTTTTTTTTTTATTAAAGAATTATTACAAAAAAATTAAAAAAAAATTTTTTCATTTGTTAAAAACTTTAAAAACTATAAGTGCAATTTTTTAAAAATATTTTTTAGTTATAATTTAATTAAGCAAAATAAAAAAATCAAAAATATCGGCTAACTTTATTATTATTATTAGTAAAGTTAGCCGACATTTTTATAATTTTTGGAGTTATTTTTTAATTATTAAATTAGAATTAAATATTATTTTTAAAAAATTGCACTTATAGTTTTTAAAGTTTTTTAAAAGTGAATTTTTTTTTGTAATAATTTTGTTAATAAAAAAAATTCTAAAAAATTTTAGATGTCGGCTAACTTAATTTTCATAAAAATTTTTTATTATTATTTTATTTTTATTTCAGATTTAAAAACAAGTTAATTTTTTTCATATTTATTTAGAGGTATTTTATTTTATATTTTTATTTTATTTTGCAAATTCAACTGGACTAATTTTACTAATAATTTACTAAAAATACTATTTTTTTTTTTTAGGCTTGGATACTCTTGATGCACCAGAATTCCTTTGCAATCTTTATTTCAAGGGCCAGACTCCATGTCTGGGAGGCGTAAAAGCTCTGGATGGCAGAACAGGCGAAACAATGTGGACTCACTGGACCGAACACGCGATATTTTCAATAGATTGTGCGTTTGATATAACTGACGACAAAACTAAAGACTGCATAATAACAGGACGTGGTGGAATTCTCCACGCCGTTGACGGGCAAGACGGGGCTGCTATTTGGGAAGTCTCGAACAAAGAATTCCCTGCCAGTGTCATGGAACCGGAAATAATACTAAATGTTTATGATGCACGTTATATGACGGATATCGATGGTGATGGTATTGTTGATGTAATTGTCGCACACACTACTCAAACAGGTACCTTACGCTCCAGTGAAATCATCATGCTTTCTGGAAAAACTGGTACTGTCATAAAAACAATAGACTTTTCAAAAAATGAACAATTATTTATTGCGCCCCAGACTTTAGTACATCCGGATGGTGAAGTTATGTACTTGTTAGCTGCTTCTACACCAGAGCAGTCAGGTGGACTTTACATTGTCTCACATTCTAATTTATTGTATGGAAAAATGGTAAGCTATCATTTTTATTTATTCATTTTTAAATTAAAATATCCATGAAAATAATATCGAATACATAAAAAAAAATTAACTTGAATTAAGTAAATAATAATGAAGAACTTTATCTTCTTGATTTGAGTAGAAAAATTCTTAAACTAAGACTTTTTTCTTAGTTTAACTAAATTTTACTTGATTCAAGACAATGAAATTCTTTAAAATTATTTTCTTGGTTCAAGAATTTTTCTCTTGATTCAAATTAATTTTTTTTCTGTGTATAATAGTTTAAACTCGAATATTTGAAAATTTTTAAAAATCATGGATTTTTAACTTTATTATATAAAGTAAAAGACCCAGTTATTGACACTGGCCTAGTTGTTTGACACTTGCAATTTTATTCTAATTAAAAAACTAAAATGTTCTCAAAAAACCAATTATCTGAAAATTTATAAATCAAAAATTATCTATATTATTAAGAGAATAAGCAAAATTTTGTGGCCAGTATATTTATATGATAAAATGGGGTTTTATGGTTAAATTTGGTATCATTGGAAAACTCTTGACCTGGAGTTGTGCCTTTACAAGGTTTCATATCATTCTCACCAATAGTCAATTTATGATGATAAGTATTTAGGCTGCATTCGAAAATACTTTATCTCTAGATACATAATTAAGAAATTACCTTGTATCTCGTGAACTATTGACATTTTTACAGATATAAGCTCATCCCGATGCTACACTCATCGAGACCTTTCATTTGAGTACCCACACCAATTTTTCATATATTTATATATGAAAAATATATCAAAAATGCAAGTGGGTACTCAAGTGAAAGCTCTTGGTGATTGTAACATCGGAATGAGCTTATATCTTTAAAAATATCAATAATTAAGAAATGACCTTGTATCTTGTGAACTATCGACATTTTTAAAGATATAAGCTCATCCTGATGTTACACTCATCAAGAGCTTTCATTTGAGTACCCACATCAATTTTTCATATATTTATATATATATTATATATATGTATATATGAAAAATATATCAAAAATGCATGTGGGTACTCAAATGAAAGCCATTGATGATTGTAACATTAGGATGAGGTTATATCTTTAAAAACGTCAATATTTAAGAAAGTACAGTGCAATTTAACAAATCATTATTTAATAAAGCAAAATTTTAATTTTTTATAGTTCACAAGTCACGGCAGTCACATAGTGACTGCAATGTTGCTAGTATTCATTAATTTATTAGAGTTGATTTGTTTTTTTTAATTAAAATAAAATTGCAAGTGTCAATAACTGGGTCTTTTACCTCAGCATAAAAATGATTAATTAATAAAATAAAATTTTTACAGAATTTGAAAACATTGCAGTATGGAAAAGGCAAAGGAGTATTATTAGCACCAATATTAGTTGACATAACATTAGACGGTACTGCTGACATAATTGTATCGTCTCTGGATTCAAAAGTACGAGCATACAATGGTCGTACTTTTGAATTAATTTGGAACTACACAGTACCTGATTCTGAAATTATAAGTATACCAATTCCCGGTTACTACAACGATGATGAAGTTCCTGATATAATGATAAAACATCAAGTTGGGCCTGGTTTCCCAGTTTATTATTACTCAGTCTCGACAATTTTGGATGGAAAAACTGGCAAACCGCTCCTGGAACAACCTATTAAAGATAGCGGCAATGGACAAATGTCTGGCTTATCGTTATCCGTCGATGGCCCTGGTAATGACTGGTTTTTGTACTGGTCAGCAAACTGCGTAGACCACAATAATGTCGATGAGAAATATCGGTTCCTCAAGGGACAAACACTGTTATCACAAAGCCGGGCTAATTTATGCAAATTGCGATTTAACACAACATTAAATACACGGCTGTTGGCGATGAGCCAACACATAGGTCCTCCCGGTCAGTCGTTGTATTTTTCCGAGGACTGGAAATCTGTTGAATTAAATAATTCTATCGATGCAAGGCATGAAACAGAGGAGTATCTCAATAATTTACCTTCGCAAATGGAGATGAATAACGCCATGGAAAATGGACCTATGGTTTCACAGCGTTCTGCTAAACCTAGAGTAAATACACAAGAAAGAATTGAAGATGAGAGAATAATTAATAATTATCCGAATATGGAAAGTAATCTCGAAGGTAAAGGACCCAATGAAATAAATTATCTAGTGAATAACAACAATGATGATAATAGTAATAATAATAACAATAATAATAATAATAATAATAATAATAATAATAATAATAATAATAATGAGAAAGAAATAATTGAAAATTATCCAGCGTACAATGATTTGTCAGAATACAAGACAAAAGTATCTAATGACTTCCCGGGGGAAATGGAGTGGAGTAATTCTAACAATAACGACTGGAATAATTTACCAATGGAGATGCGATATGAACGCAATGACCCGAATTCTCAGCAATCAAAGCGACGACGTAAACGTAATAATAAAATTGCTGATTCTGCAAGAAGAAAACGTAACATTAATATTAATGTCAATAATAATAATAATAATAATAATAATAATAATGAAAATAAAAACTATGAAGGTATTGATCAAAGCATACAAAGACAACCACCAACAGGATTACTTTTGCCGTCTTTGATTAAAAATCCGAAGACTACGTCGATAGATCTTGTGTTCTCAACATATTGGTTACCACCGTCAGAAGTCTCTCTTGTTTTACTTCAGCAAGACCTCGAGTGTATCCATCTAAAAGAAGAGTCAGCTAGGCGTAAATTAGAACCATATGAACGGGAAAATATTATCGCTGATTGTTTATCCAACAGGGGAGTTAACTATAAACTATACCGCGAAGGCTTAGATCGTGAAAATGTTAAATTTGCTCTCGGGCAAATGACAATTTATAGAATGAAGCTCGAATGCGTTTGCCCGGAAGATTTATTACCTGGACAGAGATGTAATAATATTTCTAAGACACAAAGTTGGCCTGCACATTTAGGTCGCAATGGCGATGGATATTTTCGGCCGTTTGTTAAACCTAACACGTAAATTTTAAGATAATGCGTTTATATTTTAATTACATGCACAATTTTAAATTATATTCTTGATTTGTTTGTTGTATAATAAATTTTAATTATAAAATAATTAAAACAATCGAATATCAAATAATTAATCAAATATATCGTCATCAAAATATCTTTAAAATATTTAAGACAGTATATTTATTTAAAAAATTTATTTATTAAATATTTAATTGTTTTAATTAATAAATATTAAAATCTGTGGAGAATTCTAATTAAAAAATAAAGCAATCTCATTTGTGCTGTAATTGATTTTTTTTTCTTTATATAAATAGTTCCAACAATAATTTAAAAATATTTTTCCATTGGAATTTATTTCATCTGCGGTTGTCCTTGAACTGTTGTTTGATCAATATTGAATTATATTTCATCTGGTTATATCCTGGTATTTAAATCGTGAGGTTATTTAAATAAAAATAATAAAAAGTATGTATCTGTGTAATTTAACGCGTAAAAATGCGGACGATTTAATAATGCCGAATGTGCGAGTATTTGATTATGATTCTCGGGTCATGACTGCAAGAAATTTATTGTCCAAAGGAACTCAAACCGATTATAGAGATAGCGAAACTCAAACGATACCATGGGAGCCACCTTATAAACTTGCTTTAGGTATATAAAAAATTGTAATTAGAATTGTAAATTATTACTATTGAAAGTGCATAATATGATATTACATTGAATTAAAATAATTATTTTTTATTCAGGTAGTAAAGAACCTGAAGTTCTTGGTCTTGAAAATTTATCATGGGGTAGTGGATTACCAGTAGGTACAGATGAGTTAAAAATAATAAAGAGGATGAGAGTAAAAAAATCATGGGAGTCTTTATTACCTCCTCTTGATTGTAAGGTCAATGTACAAACACACAAAGCTATAATTACTATGATTGATAGAGACGAATGGTCGTTCCGTGACAAAGTAAGGCAATTGCCTTTTTTTACTCAACCTTTTTTCTTAAATCTATTTAAATAATTATCGTTAAAAATATTTTTATCGTCATTCAGGAGTTGGAAATGATGATGGATGAACGTCTGGAGTGGATTAACAAAGTGATAAAGACTAATAATTACCAGCGAAAAAAAAAAATAATACAACGGTTTGAAAAAGTCGGTAAATATTTAACTCAATTACGAAATAAACGGATTAATGAAATAAAACATGAATTAAATAGAGAAATTCGTAAAATAAGCGCCAAAAATCGTAATAAAAATTCGAAATTTATTAAAAATCCTGGGGGAAAAACTACAGATCTTAAAGACGAATGTCTATTTAGGTTTAAGCTTGACGATGAATCTTTTTATGATTCATTGTTGAACAGAAAAACGCTGCAGGGTGAGTTATATATGTTTATATATTAAGTGTAAGCTAGTCTAAGAAATAAATCATGTTTATGATCAACTTCACCTTGTATTTTGTTTAGATAAAAAAGATCCAATGAGCTATCTCACTCGGGTTAATCACATTAATCAACTAAGTGATAAAAAGACCGATGAACTTTGTTTACGCGAAACGAGATGGACTGATGATATGCTTAAAAATTTACATATCGACTTAAAAAACATACGATTGAATACAGCATCTAAGGTGAGCGTTCATATATATTCGATATGTACTTAATTTTTTTTTTTTTTTTAGCTAATTTTATAAATAACATTTTTTATAACTCAGTGGTTACTTTTTACAACATTCACATGCATGTAAAGTTTTTTTCCAATGAGCAAACGTGAAAGTGTTTTCTTATTTCAACATGCAATTAAGTATTAAATTTTTTTTTTTTATATATAATTTAAGTAAAAAAAAAAATTCTTATTGCTTTTCAATATCAGTCAATATAAAGCATGAAATTATAATATTTTGTATGATTAAAAAATAATTGATATCAATGAAAAATTTAATACTTAATTTGAATGATTTTTTTATAAATGATAATAAATTTATTACTATTCAAACGTTTTTAATTAAAGCCTTAAATTTATATCTACTACTCTTTTCGAGATTCACTCAGCAAATCGGACATAAATTTTTTAAATTTAATATCCGAAGCATCACATGAAGGCTTACGCTCAACGATAAGTTTACGTTTTTTTGAATTAGGTTTAGAGTTATCGCACGAATCTTTTTGAACAGTCGAAATACGACGTTTAATATTATCTGCCGTTAAAGACTCATCACGCGCGCGACTCAGCTCAGCGGTCAAATCACCCATTTTTTGTTCCCACTCCTCAAAATGCCTGCGTAAATCAGCAATTTGCAACTCTTGTTCATTCAACTTTTTAGCTTGTTCATGTAATTTATTGCTTTGTAAGCGCATTTGCGCGCCCTGGCGCTTCATGCGGAGACGCATTTTACTCAATTTACTTCTTATCGCCATAAATGACAATTTATTTTTACGTGTTTTGCAAACAAGTTTCTTAAACTGCTGTTCTAATTTGTCAGCAGTGTGAGGATGGTAGCGGCCCAAAATAATTGAAGGACTACGACTGGTGCCGTGAGATGATGTAGGGCTGTATGGAATCATCAAGCTTCCACCTGGCAAGTCATAACTGCTGACACTACTTATGCTTGATGAATTCATGCGTGACTTGAATGCTGGCATTATTTTTTCATCAAAGTGCTCCATTGCCATACTGCTTATGTCTCTCAATTCTTGGAGGATCTCGTGAGCTCGAGGCAAACTATTTGAGTCTTTCACCAAGTGAAGAATTCGAAATATTTCATCAATCACCTAATTAAATATTTCTTATTGATTTATATAGATCTTAAAGTTTCATCATTTTCAATTGTTTAATTATTGTAAATTTTCTGATAATTAAGGGGGATAGCCTCTGTGAAATTAAAAAAAAAAATTTTTTTTTTCTATTAAATCAAAGTTTATATACAATAAAAAATATGTAGGGTAGAAGTACCATTTGTGGTCACTGTATCGTTTATGGCTATTTATTGTTCAAATAAAAGATAGAAATGAATTTCTATTAATAAATCATTACAAAGTCAATTAGTTTTAATATAAATTTTTTAAAACTCAACAAAAATATGGTTATATTATAATTTTTTATAAATTAATTTAAATGTTAACTGGCAAAAAACGGTACTTCTACCCTATCTGGAGTTTCATATGAAAATTCCGAATATTTTTGGAGTTATGGTCATTTTTTTGGCAGCGTGTCGAATGACCATTGATTGCACCCGCGGCGTTCCGATAAAAACGCATTTTTTTCGAAACTACTTTTTTTGAACTGGTGGGAACTGTAATTTGCATAAATATGAACCGATTTGCAACTTTTTTTTCTCCGTATTTGTCTATTCAGTAGCTATCGTTGCACTTAGGGGATTTTGAAAATTTTTTAGAGCTGTTTGAATCCAAAAAAAATAAAAAAAAAAAAAACGAAAAAATTTTATGATTTTTTATATTAAAGAATTATTACAAAAAAATTTTTTTCATTTATTAAAAAGTTCAAAAACTATAAGTGCAATTTTTTAAAAATATTTTTTAGTTATAATCTAACAAATTAAAAAAAATCAAAAATGTCGGATAACTTTATTATTATCTACGTTCAACTATAACCACGTGCATGCAGATTACAACGCTGTTTCGTTTTTGTTTTAGATAATTCGTTTTTAAGTTAGAGATCACACCGTAGTGAGGAAATTTTTTTTGGTGCTCTACAAAAATGCTTATAACTTTGTAACATGATATTTTTAAATAAAAATTTAGGAGAATGATCTCCAATGTATACTTTGTTAAACAAAAAAACCCGATCCCCAAATTCCTTTATTATCCCAGTCAAAAAAATTCCCGAAAATCACCTATTTTTTCGATCCTCACAGTGGCTATTCCCCTTAATTAATTAAATAAATATAAAAGTAAATAAAATACCTTGCCAGGAATAAAACAGCAAAGGTTTTGATTAATATATTTCATAAATGTCATTGACAACATTGAAATACGGGTCTCAATGGCTGTTAAAACATCACAATGACGAGCTAATGAATGATTGCGTCTTTCAGATTCACGTCTTGGCAACTGGCTTTTTACTTCTCGGAGACATTGAGTGTGATAACGTTCCATGGACTGAAACCCGCGGTTCAATAATTTTTGGCATGTTAGGTCAAAATGTTTACAAACCTGTAAATAAAATTAAAAAAATGAATTATGCTGACAATAGAATTTTTTTTTCAATTAAAGAATGCGAAAAAACTCAATCTTTTGTCAACTTAAATCTAAAATTATATGAAAAAAAAGTAATAATAATATTAAAAGTAATATAAAAATAAAAAATTACCAATCGATTCCGAGCAATTTCATCATACGACAATTTGGATAAAATTGTTTCAAAGACAACATCGGGTAATTCAATCAGCAACATTTTGGTTTATTTTTTCTGCAATACAATCTTTGAAATTAATTGTCATTATTTTGTGATTATATTAATAAAATTAAAAATAATTAGCGGTGAATAAACTTACATATTTGTTTGTTATTTTGAATTGTTATTTTTATATGAACAATAACAAAACAAAACAAAACAATGCTGTTACTGATGTAATTACTAATTAAAAATGGCAACACTCCACTCTTCTACGTTCTTGCTTTGACTTTCTGTCTCTCTTTACTTGATGGCGCAGCACTCGGGACTCAGGTCACAGAACTTATGAATTTTAGCGAGAGATGGCGGGATAAATTTAAAAAATTATTTTTAATAGTCGATAAATAATAAATAAATAAAGACATGAACATTAAATAACCACAAAAAAAATTATTCATACATTATTTTGATCAAATAATTGAATAATTACGAACGAGTATTAAATAAAAATTTGTTTTTTATTAGTGAAAAAAAAAAAAATTCTTTAGCAATAGACAAAAGAGATAGTAAAAACTCCGGCAATAAAGTTACGTAGAAAAGTAACTGAAATTTAATATTATTTACGAATTTTATTACGCAATTTAAATGATAATATTTATGTTCCATCTCAAGTACAAGAAGTTTAATAAATAAATATAACCATAGATAAAAAGCCCACGAACTGGTTTAGAAAAAAAAATTTTCTATTTGCCTAAGGGGAAAAAATCAAGATGACAGCCGTCAAGTTATTTTACATGCAAATAATCACTTGGATGTTTGTATATATTCATTTGAACTTGATAAGTTAAATAGATGATTTTAAACAAAATAATTATCGAATAATAAGACAATATAATTATATGAACATTCGACCCGGATGTCCGTTCTTAATTGCTGAGCTTTAATTGGAGAGATATACACTTACAGCAAATCAATTATCCTCTGACTCTTCACTTGCATATTACTCAGTTTTAAAAGAATAATGCAAGAATTGTTCAATGCAGCGCTGATAGATTGATTTTTTTTGTTTCATTTTTGTCGCAAGGTCATATTTATTATATTTATTACATCACGTCCTAAAAAAATAATAATGAATAATATAACATTAAAAAAGAAAATCAATATATAAACATATTCTTCACTTAAAAAATGAAAACTTCTTTTTCCATCACTTATAAATTTTTTTTGTTTTTATAAGCTTAAAGAATTGTTTTTCAAATTTCTATTTTAAATTGAAGTTTTATCCCAAATTCAGAAATTTTATAAAATAAACTACGATATATGTTTATATAGAAAATCTAATTTATTGCAAAGAAAATCTTACCTAATTTTTTAACTTTTTTAATCTTTTACCCAAAATTCAAATTTACAATTTTTTTATTTATTTTTAGCACGCTCAAATCATTTTTTTTTATTATATACAGTCATATTTTTACAATAGTTGTAAAATTTTACATTTATTTATTTATTAAATTAAGTAGCCCTAGAACAAGTATTGGTAAAATTATTTACAAGTGGGGTCCACTATTTTTATTTTCATTTTTTTAAACGAAATTGTTTTTTGAAAATTTTCATTAATTTTTTTTTTTTTTGAAAAATACATGAAAAAATGTACAATTAAAAAAAAAAGTTGATTACCACAATTTTAAAAAAATTTACATATTTTTAAAAAAGTTTATAAATTTTTTTGAAAATTGTGATATTCAAAATTTTTTTTTTAATTGTTCGTTTTTTTATGTACTTTACAAAAAAAATATATCAAAAACATCAAAACTTTTTTCTCTTTATAAAATAGAAATTTTATACAAAAACATGAAAGCCAAAATTTTTTCTAACTTTTGAAGGCAAAAAAGCTGTCGAAATCTTTATTTTTTTCTTTCACGATATTTTTTATTGTAAAAACAAGCAGAATAAAAAAAAAAAGTTAATTTTTTACCTGGATATGGCCAAAAATAGAGTAGACCCCACTTGTAAATAATTACCTAAGTATTTTCTGAGGGCCGTCAGTATAATTTACATAGTGAATATTATAACATAAATAAATTAGAAATATTGTACACTTTTTTTTCATCCATGACCATAATATAGTAAAAAAAATGATGAAAATTAAAGAAAAGTTACAAAATAAGGAAAAACTATAAAATTAACGTAATAATATTGATATTGACATTGACTCTATATAATTAAAACATCCTTGCTATAAAACCAATTGTAACATATTAAGCCTTAAACAATAAAAAAGTTAATGGTGTAACTTTTCGTACCGTTAGTGTTCAACGTTTTCACACTTCACTGACGAGCAATCATTTTTTATAACATGGATAAAATTTATCCTTGCGGTTATTTTTTTAATATCATTTTTTATAATTATTACGCCAGTAAAAAAAAAATGGTAATAGTTTTGAGCTTTGTCAGAAATTAATAAAAATTTATATTTTTCCAGACTAGATCAGAACCAGTTATACCGTCGAGCGGTTAAAATATTAAATCATTCGCAATTAAATGAAATAAATCGAGGTATTATATATCTATGAATAGATAATACATTAGAAAATAACAGATATTAATTATAAAGAATTTAATTTATTATAAAAAAGGATTTCGAGCTTGTTAACACAAGCTTGTAGCAATAATACGCAGGGGGTCTATTCACAGGCTAAAATTTATCTTCTTACTTTGAATTACAATTTCCGCGATAATTAAACTTCCGTATATAATTTTTTTTCTTACCCAATTTAAGTAACAACTAAGTTATTTTTAATTATATTTGTAGTAGCTCGGCGAAAATTGTTATTTCTTCCCAACTTTTTAAGTATAAAATAATTCTTAAAATTTACTTAAGCGAGGACATTGCTGTAAAAAAAAAATTATAAGAAAATTTAATTAAAACACGCGAGGTATCGCTGGAGATGATGTTTACTTTTATCGAAGGTAAATCTAGGGAGCTTGGAACAATGGTACAAGTTTTGCAGAGCTTCCTCAAGAGTACTTGGTACTTGTTTGTCTATTATAAACAGCGAAGAATAAAAATGTTCACGACACCCTCGCAAGTGCCACAACAACTTCCACGCACTCACCCTTACTCTCAGCCGGTGTTTTATAAATTATTTTTATATTCAAATGAAGATTGTAAAATGTAATTGCGCTTTGAAACTCAAATGTAACCAATTCAAATGTCAATTATAAAAGATTTATTTACGATATATAATACTCAATATTCGGAGAATAATATTTGTATTCGTAGAAAAAGGATTTAACATTGGGACATTGACTCTCTCTTACAATATGTACTATAAGTTTGCACTTCTCCCTCTTGGAATTCTATTAACGCGTTCAATTGCTTATCGTATAAGATCAAAGCCGCTGCATTCCACGTGTATAAATGCTTTACGCCAACATTACCGTCATTTTTATTGATTTTTAAAAAAATTAACACGTCATACATTGATACATTGATTTTATCTGCCAAGTATGACTAGTTAATTCCATTAATTTTCCATTTTCTGATTTGTTGATTGAGCGTCAGAAAACATAAGCCAGGTGCAACCGAAGAATCTGCGGTAAAAAAATGATAATTATATTTAATGTTAAGTGAGGGAGGTTGAAGAAGTGTGATTCTTAGTGGGACTTATTCCTACTACTCTAGGAGCAGAGTAGTATCAATATAATGATCACGACACGCTCCATGTCCCCTTCCACCGTGGCGCCTTGGTGATTCTTTCTCGCGAATGCAAGAATAACACACACGTCCAGGAGAAGCAAGTCTTTATAAGTAGAAGCCATCCAAGTCCCTGGGACTTACTCCCTGTCAGAACGTGCCACGATCAGAGACTGATTTTCAGAATATACCCCAAGAACGCCGATTTAATCTTCCCTAAGTCTGCTGCGTCAGCTCTTGGTTGTCTTTACCTAAAATTTTCATTTTAATCAGTCCCAGTCATTTTTTAAATTAAATTTTAGTTTTTGTTATAATTAATAATTAATAATTAATAATAATATTAATAATAAAAATAACAATAATTAATTAATTAAATAAGTTTTAAATAATTTTTCCTTAGAAACGGAAAGATCGGTGATTGAAGTATTTACTCGATGGTGTCAAGTACAAGGACAACGCTCGGTTTATCATGATCACGCAAGGGTGAGTCTTGAAGCTATTATTACTATTTTATCCGACGTACAAATTACTACATTTTGATTCACTTTATAAATTTATCGATCAAACTAAAACTACTTATCACAAACTCAAACACTTTTAATAACAATAATTATCAATTAATTATTTCATTACCCGTCAATTGTCAGTGTCTATTTATTTACTAATCTGTAATTACTGCAACAAATTAAATATCTTATTAACACCTTTTAAAAAATTATTTAAAATAAATTTATGCAAAAAAAAAAAAAAATCATTCCCTTTAAAATAGTCCAAAGGTGACGTAAATTTGCGTCCTTCAATAATCGAGGTCATAAATTCATTTAATACAAACAATAGATTAGTATAATCACCCAAACGTTATTTAGCAACTAAATCGCTTAATTATTTAATAAATATAATACTAATCAAAATAAATAATAACAATAATCATTATTTTGTAATAGCACCGTATAATTTATCAGGTATCTTAATTGGTTTATCCATGATATCATTTGTAATGAAATATCCTGTACGCGCGCATGCTTTGAATATTATCACTGATAATTTTAAAGTAATGCTAATGATAACAATAAAAATAATTATAGTAATTAGATTCTTTAGACGATTTTTGCAGACGATTAAGTATTTGCTAATTGGTGATAATGAGTACTGGTATTCAATGTAACTTAGCATTGAACCTCACTACTGGGTAGTATGTACCGAAGATAAATATATATCTACTTCCACATATATAATACGGTGTGCTTTTATTGTTATTTATATTTTTATTTTTATTATCATCGGTATTATTATTATTTAGCAGTACCTTGGGCGTGTGTATAAGAAAAGCCATAAATGGTGAAGGATTCAAGTGCCGGAATGTACCGCACTTGCAAACAACCCCCCGTTTATTTATTCTCTCCATTCTCACACTATTAAAATACCATTGAAGAATATTTATTTGCCGATAATGGTTTATTATTATTTCATCTTATTATTAATATTTTTTTCGTCCTTTAAATATTCTTCGGGAGTATATATTTATCTGAAATAGGAAAAAAAAAATAATAATAAGAGTAAATGCACTGATAGAAGGATTTATTTGTCTTAAATAATATTTGTTAATAGAGTTAACAAATCATTTATTAGAGATCACTTTTTAGTATTAAACAAATAATTCTTAGTATTTAAAATGATTTGTTTGTATTTAATAAATCTGATATTTATTTATTAAATATTAATAAATCTTTTTAAATACTAAGAAATATTTATTAAGGACTAAAAAGTGGTAAGCCTGAATTTCTGATAAATCTTTTTGAAGAAGAACCTGCAGACATTAGAAGGTCAGAGAAAATAGCTGCTATAAATAACATTACGTTCAAAATTCAAAATTTCTCCTCAACATTTGAACACTCCTTTGTTATATCCGCAATCAGACTTTGGAAAGAACTACCTATTGAGATAATAAAATCGCTGAGCTATGATACTTTTAAAACTAGTGCTTATAATTTCTTCCTGAATCAGGAAAGAGATGGCTAACTAATAACTTCAAATATACACTCTGAACTTAGACCATAAATTTTACTTGTTATATGAAAACTGATATTAATATTGTTGCCATTTAAGGATTGTAAAATGAGCTGATTTGTTTGATTATTTGATTTTTATGATCTATATGAATTATATAATTTATATTGTTAATATTCTTTAAAATATTAATATTCTAATTTTGAATCTATTTTTGTATTAAATTAGAGTTAATGACTTATTATTATTATTATTATTATTATTATTATTAATTTACTTGTAACTCTTCGGCTGCCCAATTTCAAAACACAGTAACTAACATTTAAAAATTTTTTACAATTTTTCTTATTAAAAAAAAGTTTGCCCGCCAAATTAATGACAAATTTGATTTATAAATAGAAACTACTCAAATATAAATATTTTTAAGAAAAAATACTTGAAATTAAGGTTTAAAAGTTATAAAAAATACAGCAATACTAAAAAAAAAATCAGGTATAAAAATTTTGCAGTTACTGTGTTTTAAAATTGGGCAGCCGTATTTATTAAGGACTAAAAAGTGGTCTCTAATAAATGATTTGTTAAATATTAACAAATATTTTTAACTATAAACAAATCCTTCTATCAGTGTGGATAAATAAAAACTGGCTATTATAATTATTTTTTATAGTATTATTATAATAGTGTAAAGGTCATTAAATTGTTTAATCCAACATTACCATGATAGATAATAGCGGTAGTTGAGAGTAAAAAAGGTGAGAGATCGGAGGACACGTACGAGTAATTTCAGCTTGTCCCTTTAATTGCGAATACCTACATAGTGTGGATGAAATTAAAATAAAAAAAAATGAAAAAACAATGTGGATAATCGTCGAGTATCTTGGTACGACCTTCCGCGCTTGGATCGTCGCCGTCGTAGTCGTGGTCATTATCGTTATCTCGGGGTCTCGTCAACTAAAAAATAAATAACAAAATAAAAATAGAGACCAAATGCCGTACGTATAAAATACGTACATAGGTACTTACTTACTTACATAGACGCACGAGGACGACCTTGCAAGTAACCGCGTCAAGGTTATAGCTCTCTCATCCATTCGTATATATCGAACCTCTTTACTCAGTACTCAGTACTTACTCTCAGTACTGGTGTATATATATATATATATATTCCAGATATTGCAATAATAGCCAGCCAGGTTCAGTACCTCCTCATCACCTCTCAAGTTCGAGCTATTGGTAACAACTTTGTGAAGACTTGCTTTTCTTAATTTTATTTGTTTTGTTTTATTATTAAACCGCAATTGCCAGCAGCCCCTATTCTTGTGTCTCTTGACTTGTAGAGCAGCGTTGAAAAAAAAAGCGTTTCACAGAAATTATGTGGCTGAAAAAGCTCGTACATCATGTTCGCGATAGCAATCGTTTACTCTTACAGGAAATATTTTTTTATCTTCATCTTAGGTGGTACTTTTTTTTTGCTGTTTAGCGAAAAAATTTCAGCCAGTCAATCAGTTGTCACTGGGGTAATTTAATAATGACTTGTCTTGGAGAAAAAAATTCTGGTTGAGTTTTATTTTATCTGAAAGAAAAAATTGCCAATGAGCTTTAAAAAAATTAAAGTAAAAAATATAACGCAAGGTTAATAACCTCATTAATTATTAATATAATTTATTCATGACCTAAAGTCAAAAATATGTATTCCGTTTGTCGACATAAGTGACTCACTATGTATTTATTGTCAAGTGACCAGAGACCAGAAGTGTTTAACTTATTCTATAGTATTTTGAATATAAGACACAAGACCGTTAGTTGTTGGCGGAAGTTAAAACAAAATAAATAAAAATAAGGATCTTGAGGATCATTTATTAGCTACCTTGAGGTTGATATGATAAAAATTACAAAGGAAAAAAACGGCGAAGCTAATGAATCATTTGACAATTAAAATAAAAGTTAACCGATAGTCTATAAAGATATAAGAATATCAAGCAATGTTTATCGCTAGGGGTGACATTGAAAGTCAGTTGAAAGTAGAGTCAGTGACTTTACAGACTTTGCATTATATAATTTGCAGCGGCATTATGTCATCGTGACCGTGGTAAGCGGAATTCACCCTGATATTGCACAGCAGGAGCAATAGCCGTAAAGGAGAAAGGAGCTAGTTAACTAGTATGACGACTTCCTTAATGCAACTCCTCTGTATACGACTCTGTAATCTTTATATTTCTTCTTTCTATAGTCGGGCTGTAGGCTACGGACTATCGCCGAGTCACTGCCCATCCAATCATCCCCGATAACACGTTCCAAGGATTCGCATGTTTGCGCTATTCACACGTACACTTTACTTTACGTCGGTTTATTTACCCAATTAAATTCCATAAACGTTATTTCAAATGTCGGAATTAAACAGCTGCTTCACGAGGTGTCTTATAGTAAGGAATTTTACTATTGGATAAAAGCCAACTGGGCGATCGAGTAACTGTCGTATTGCGATTTGATCTCATCTGATTGATGTTTAATTCAGGAATTTCCATTACCACAACTGGATTGTTTATATTTTTTCGAACTGTGATCTGAAAGAAGATGATTGGCAGTTAATAAATGCGTTATGCATTGACATTGATATTTAAGTCAAATCTTCATTTTTTTAATGTTTAAATCCTAGACTGAAAAAAAATTTTTTGGTTTAAGGAAATTTTATTTAATTCTAAAATTTTTCATACACTCTGAGAAAAAAAAATTTCTTTTGGAAAAAATGAGCAATGTTAAAAAAAGAAATTAATTTGTTGAAAATTTTTAACAATTTTATTTTCTTAGCTGAAGAAATCAAAATTTTTCTCACAGTAACTTCTTTCTTAAATAAAATTTTTCTAAATTAAAAAAAAAAAAAATATTAAATAAAAATTCGTAAATTTTTTATCTAAAATTCTTTTTTTCCAAATCAAATAAATGAATTTCTTCACTAGAAATTTTTTTAACAATTTCTTGAGCTAAAAATATATATTCTTGAAAAATTTTTAAGAGCATAAATTCTTGTATCAAGAAAATTTTCTCAATAAAAGTATTTTTTTTCTCGGTGTAGTGTAGATTAAAAACAGTGAAAATCCTAAAAATTATTTTCTTGATTCAAGAATTTTTCTCTTAAATCAAGTTAGTTTTTTTTCAATCAAAATTATTGACAATATACCAAATTACATTTTTTAAAAATAATTATTTGAAATTTTCTGTAACCCTGATAGAGTTTTTTTTTTTTTTTTTTTTTTTTAATAATAATTCATGTTTCATCTAATTAACTAAATGAATAAAGATTGGTATAACCTTGCGATCTTTTATAAGGTATTATAACAAGTAAAATAAATCTCATAAATTATTCATTTAAATATTTAGCATTTATCACTAAAATCTTTTAATTACTTCTCCTTTTTTTGTGCTCTTTTTCTTCATACTCACCTGTCATTTTCTTTGATAATTCTTCCACCTCTAAACACAACAAATCTTTTTTCTTTAAAAAAATTCCTGAGCTTTTTTTTATTTAATTTTCACACAATTTTTCCACCTCTACGTGAGAAGTATATCTATATTTATATTAATGTCTTCTATTATCGCATCATAAATTTTTCTCGAGACATATACTTACATCTATATAATTACAATTTATGTTTACATTGAAAAGTATAGCCGATAAAACACAACTGCAGTGATGTAATTATTATTTTCCTTTGATGATAGACGAGACAAAAAGACAATAGTCTTGAGGCCAGGGGAGTCTCTTTGGCGCTGGAAGACGACGTTAATCTTAGCTTCGCTGATATATGGAGGTATGTAAATATATATAAGTGGGTATTGTGAAAAAATGTATTGGTTGCATGGTAAAATCTAAAAGACGATGCGAAAACGTGTAATGCAGATTGAAAAATAATGATCAATAGCACAAGCACGAGATGCACGCGAATTATATGTAGTATATATAAGTCTATTAAGATTACCTACCCGGGTACTATTTTTACCTTGCCCGATGGGTAGATCTCGAATAAAAATATTTTCTGCGGATGTTGTTGCCGTCAAACTGGTTTCACGAGGACATCTTAACAGCCTTCAATATCTGATGCTCCTGTTGCTGTTCTCGTGTGTAGTCTGCCGGTGCCGATGATGATGCCAAAGCCCTTTTGCCGTTTATATGTGCGCCCTGTACATTTTCATTCTCATCATTTATTATCTTTAGCTTTGGCTTTGGTTTATTGCCGTCTCTATGCACATATCTCCATATATATACCAGTATATTAATATATACACATGTACTTTTATTTTCTTCCTCATATCATATCAATTACCCACAGCCAGCCGTAGGATAATACAAACTCGTTTCATTAAACTACATACAGATATAATTAACTATGCAGTACACGTTTTCATCAAATGTAAATTAAGATAATTAGATTTGTCAAGACTTATTTACTATTTTTTTCCTTTGCTGTCTAGGAGATTATGCTACTGGGCAGGGGAATAACTTCAAATGCCAAGAAGAGGGCTACCAAGCTGATCCAAGAGAGTGTCAAGTCTATTACAGATGCGTAAGTTGGGGCAGTTCCGGTCCTTTGACGACCTTCAAGTTCGAGTGTGGTCCCGGAACGGTATTCTCTCACTCCAAGGGTAACATTTGTGTTCACCCAAGAGACAGTGAGAGATCAGAGTGCAGCGAAATGGGAAATGACGTGAACTCTGTCTATCAACCACAGCATCGTCCGCAGTATTCATCATCAAGACCTACCCAGCATTATCCTAGTTCTTCAACAGCATCCCGGCCTCAACATCGCCCGCAATATCCTACCAGTAGTTCACCGTCTCGTCCTCAGTATCCTAGTTCTTCAAGACCAACACGACCTCATCCCCCTCAATATCCTTCAACACCATCACGTCCTCGTCCACAACATCCTAGCACTCCAACGTCACGGCCGCAGTATATTCCACCTCCAACAGAATCACCGCATGCAAATGAGATCAACCCTGAAGCTGGACCTAGACCAGGCTCAAATCGCCCGGCCACTGGCGGACAGTCTCAGTGTCAGTCTGAAGGATTCATGGCTCACCCGCAAGACTGCAAGAAATTCATTAGATGCGTTAATGACGGGTTTGGATCTTATTCGACGTTTGAATTCACCTGCGGTGAAGGAACTGTCTGGGACTCGACGATTGAAGGGTGTAATCATGCCTGGGCGGTGAAAAGCAGTTGCGGTAGCTCAGGTGCTAGTCCAGGATCAAGTCACAGTGACGGAAACTTACCAGAACCTGGTCATCCTAGTCAAGGTCCTAATTCTAATCAACCTGGGTCTGATTCTTCGGACCCAGAGTCTGGTTATCCTAGTCAAGGTAAAGAACCTGATCAAAATCAAGACCCAGGTACTGAGCAAGGTTCTAATGGCTCTGAAGAACCTAGCACTCCGGATGAGTCGAACCCAAATGTTCCGAGCCAAGGTCAAGATTCAAACTATCCCGACAACGACAATCCGAATGAAGAATCTCCGGATCAAGAATCAAATCCAAGTGTCCCAAGTGGAGATTCCGGGTACCCTGGTCAGAATTCCCCTGGTCAAGATCCCGATAATCCAAACGAACCTGGTGAAGACTCTGACTATCCCGATTTCCGGCCATCTTCACCGTACCCTCTGTACCCTCCGGGGCCCGAACCACCCTCAGCAACAACTGAATCACTTGACGCGTCAACAGTCAGACAACCGCTGGCAACTAAACCTCCCAGCTCTGCTGCTAGTCCTGCGGAACCAAACCTCCCGGAGTCCGAAGGCCCACAAGCAGAAACGACTAACAAACCCGGAGCTGGATCTGGATCTGGAGATTGTAATGAAGAAGGATTTTTCCCAGACCCAAAAGATTGCCATAAATTTTTCCGATGTGTCAAAGCCGACTCAGCATTTACTAAATACGAGTTTGAATGTGGAGAAAGCACAGCTTGGGATCCGAGTATCCAGACATGTAATTACGAGTACGCAGTATCAAACTGTAAAAATCCGGGTTCGAGTGGGCAGACGACACCCTCCAGCGCTCCAACTGAAACGAGTTCTAAAGATGAAGAGCCAGATTCTGATAAAGATCAGAGTTCGTCTCCTCCATCTGTTGAATCTTCTACCGAGGAAGATAAACAATCTTCCCCGAGTTCAACAGACTCCAGTGATACCAGTTCTGATGAAACTCCTACCACTAGTACCACTAGTGCTAGCGCAAGTTCTAATCCCGAAGACGTAGAAACTCCCAGTTCTACAGAAGAGTCTAGTCCTCCAGATTCTAATGAAACTCCACCAGAGCCTTCTCCAGAAGAAAAGCCAACTTCGACTACCAAAGAGCCTACCGAATCTGAATCAAAACCTACGACAGAAAATACACCCTCGACAGCAGCTTCTGCAGGCGCTGATAAAAAACCAAGTGGTCCCGGAATGTCAGGATCCAGTTGCAAAGACGAAGGATTTTTCCCTAACCCTTCAGACTGCCGTAAATTCTTCCGCTGCGTTAAAGGTGATAACGGTCTTATAAAATATAACTTTGATTGCGCTCCAGGTACTGCGTGGGAGCAATCTCTGCTCACGTGTAATTACATTCACCTGGTTGCGTCCTGTGGATCAGAGACAAATCAAGTATCAAGTCCAGAAGCGGACAGCAATAAAGATAAAGACAAGGACGGAGATAAAGAAAAGGATGAAGGTAAGCCGACAGAAAAACCTAAAGATGAAGGTGAAGGTAGTTCTAGTTCTGATTCGACTACACAAGGCAGCAATAAACCCACTGATTCCAGTAATGGCAGCAATAAACCTTCTCAAGTATCTCCGTCAGGTGACTCAGATCGATCTTTGGCTGAAAGAAGCATTAAAAAAGCTGCGAGCACTTGATGTCATGTATAATGTGGCATCGGATACCGGTGTCTCTGGCTTACATACGTCCTCTGGCATATGCAAGATACATACGGATGCTCGAAGACTAAAGACACTTGATTTATTTTACTCCATAAGATTTTTTCAACAGCAGCATCTCTGCGGAAGATGTTCGAGGCCAAAGGGCCATCTGCTTTCTGAGGACACTAGACAAAGTCGTAGTTGTCTTTATCTTCGTCGCCGGAATTAACAATATTTCAATAATATATCTACACACACACACACACACATATGTTCAACATTGATATGTACGTATAAATGAAGATGAGACGCAACCACCACCCCCGTGTCGTTTCTTATTGCGTTGTCAAGTCTCCCAGCGAGACTTACCATACCAGGGCATACTCAGTTTGTAATTGGCGGTTGCTACTAGCACGTGTTGAATTGTATCGCTCTAGTTTCTTATACTCAGCAAGATATCTGAGTCTTTATCTAGTTTTTTTTTACTGTTTGACTGACGCCTGACAGTGTCCTGGTTTAGTTTCATCAAGAAATATGTCGTACAATCGACAGTTCCTCTTTTTTCTTCTCAATTTCTTCATTACTTACCAAGGTACGTTTTATTAATCCAAATTGACTTATTAATCTTTAATAAAATTTTTAACTTCCCGCTAAAAATCTCAGATTTTCAAAAATCGGGAAGTTATTGTTTTCACCCCGTTTTACAAAAATCGAGTTTTCATCAAATCTCGACGTTTTAAGGTCACAGGAAGCTTCCCTGACTATTTTTACGATGATGTCCGTACGTCTGTATGTATGTATGTGTCATTCGAAAGGGCTTCACTAAATTTAGATTTCCTAAAAATTTCAACCGATTCGGACCGGTAGATTTCGAGAAAATGCAAAAAAAGTGAAAAAAAAAAGTTGTTTTTTTTTATTTTTTTCAAATATCTCCGAATTGTTTTTTTTTTTTATTTTTTTTCAAATATCTCCGAATTGGCTGAACCGATCGGTCTCAAAAACTAATCAGCTCTTAACCTTGAAAACTCCCATCGATCGCCACCAAAAACGTTAGAATCGGTTGATGCGTTCGTGAGATATCGTTGTCGAAAAAAATCGAAAAAAAGTGTTTTTTTGTAATAACTTCGAAATTCATGGCTCGATCGATTTAAACTTGAAAATTTTCCATGGAGCTTCAAAAACTGCGTCGATTGCCGCCAACCGCGTGAAAATCGGTTCATTCATTCAAAAGTTATTGTGTCTTTAAACTGCTATTAGAGTTTTGAGCTCGAAGAGCTCAAATTGACGCAAAAATAATATTTTTGAGCTCGAAGAGCTCAAAAACGTAATGTGTAGTTTGAAGCGTTTAAGTACAAAATGAGCGGGAAGTTGCAGGGATGGCCTTTAGGGTGAACCGTTTTTCTAATTTTTCTTAGATATTTTATCTGATCACAGCGGTTGCTTTATTTAATTGTTTGATCATCAACATGTCAAATGAAAGTATGGGTAAACAATTAAATCTTCTCAGTAGCTGTAAATTAATTGGAATTCTTGATTAGATACTATCTGCCTACATGACCTTGCTCTGATTTGCGAACTAAACTAGTTGGCAAACGTTATCACTACTATCTTTTTTGATAAAATAAAAATCTAAAAATTATTCTATTTACAATTTACATTAGACGTATGTGCTACGTTTTAGGTAATTATGCGCAATCAAAGAGCGGCTCGCCGTTTAAAAAATGCTGCGATCTCGGAACTTCTTGGGCCAAAGAAGGCTTGAGGTGCGAGAAATTTGCAGGGCCTGTTGCAGATGTACCGAGAGCTCAGCAAGCACTTTGTCTTGAAGCTGTAGACATCTGCTGCAACCGCGGTAACCATGAAATAAGTTGTGACAAGGGCAAAAAAAGTGCACGTGAAGGCAAGGCTTGCGTTGATGGTAGTTCCGGTAAATCAAGGGCTGCAAGAGCGCTGGGAGATTATCAGCGAGACTGTTGTGAAGGCTGTAAACTTGGTAATTTAATTTTTATTATTAATTTTAATTTTTTGTATAAAAACTTACTTAGATTTATTATTTCATGAAAATTAAATTAGCCAACATCTAAAAATTTTTAGAATTTTTCTGTTGAAGAAATGGTTGCAAAAAAATTGAAAGAAAAAATTTCTAATGTAAAAGATTTGAAAAATTGTACGTGAAATTTTTAAAAAATATTTTTTTACTTCTAATCCAATTTATGGAAAAAATAAAAAATTATTAAACATCTGCTAATTTTAGTATTATTAATTTATGAAAATTAAGTTAGGCGACATCTAAAAATTTGTAGAATTTTTTTTATTGAAAAAATTGTTACAAAAAAATAAAAAAAAAACTTTCATTTGTAAAAAACTTGAAAAACTGTAAGTGCAATTTTTAAAAAATATTTTTTTTTCTAATTTAATTATTAAAAAAAAAAAAACATTAAAAATTTTGGCTAATTTTAGTATCATTATTATTTATAGGCATACTTACCGGGTCTATGGGAGAAGGTTGTGCGTTGAATGATTTTTCATTCGGTGATCCTTGGGATCCGGCTTTTCTTGAGTGCTGTCGTGAGACATCTACTACTACGACACCTCCCACTACAGAAAAAGAAAGTACTCCTAGTTTGGAAGTAACTTCCAAACCAACTGATGATGATAATTCTACTGATCCTACCAGCAAAACTAAAAGTACAGCAATTAGCTCATCAACAACTTCAAGTGATACTACCAGTAAAACTAAAAGTACAGCAATTAGTTCATCAACAAGTTCAAGTTCAACCATAGATATAGATTTTGACGTTATGTTTCCCGATGATAGCACTGACTTAACAGATTCTTCTTCATTGACCACGACTTCAGACGATGGAATACCTACACCTCGTAAATAAAATAAATAATTTAATTAAAATTACTTAAATTTAACGAATATTTTATTTTATTTATATTGCAGCGCTTGATGACATCTGCCAGATCCTGAAAAATCTACTCTGCTCGCATATCTGTGTCCCTACCCCAGGGTCTTATTATTGTGAATGTCCGAAAGGGTATGTTCTTCTTGAAGATCAGAAAACCTGCAGAACAGATGGTCCAATAAATCGGTAAAATTTAATTGTTTAAAATATTTTTAATTGAATAATAATAATAAATAATACATGAAAATGAAGTTAGCTGACATTTCAAAATTAAAAAAAATTTTTTTATCCAAAAAATTTCAATTAAACAATTAAAAAAAAATATCACATGTTAAAAACTCGAAAAACTATAAGTGCAATTTTTTAAAAATATTTTTTTAGTTGTAATTTAATTAAAAAAAAAATCAGAAATTTTTAGACTTCAGTGTCATAATAATATTTGTTATTTAGATAATACACAAAATTATTAATTAAAAAGCTTGTTTTTATCAGAAATTTAATCCACTTAAAATTCTTCCGGTCGTTTAAAGAGAAGAAATGTATGACGCACTGAAAATAGTTAAGAATAAGAATTAAAGAATTAAAATAACGAATCAAACGTAAATAAGAGTTTCTTACGCTTCTAAGGTTACAACCTTGACCTATACTCATGTGAAAATTTTCAGTCATCAATTTCTATTTTTATCTTACTCTCTGTGTATACAAATAGAAGCTAATTTTATAAGTAGCTTCAAAGTTTCTAAGTAACTGACGTTGCAATAACGGGATGATTAACATACTTGGCATAATTTATAAGCTAGACACTAGCTAGACAAAGTGAAATTAACTTTAAATATATACTCTCGATTTAAGGCCGGATAATTTTTTTTTTTTACAAAATATTAAATAAATATTGAATTTTTTTTGCACTTAGATGTGAATCAGACAATCCATGTGAGCATCAATGCACTGATACAGGAACAGCAGTGAAATGTGAATGTGATCCAGGGTTTGAATTAGCAAAAGATGGTCATTCATGTCAGTTAAAGCCTACGGAGGTGATTACATCCACTCCAAAATCTCGAGATAAGCCCAAGGATAAAAAGAAACCACGCTGTCCGCCTGGTTATCGATTTAATGCCAGCGCTCGTGTTTGCGATGGTAAGTAGTCTTTTGATAATCGACCTTGACCTTTGTGTGTGTCTCTTTGTCTATTTTGTCCTCTCTGTGTCTTACTTGCTCTGTGGCTTTGGTATTTGTCTCAAAGACGTCGATGAATGTCTGGAAAACCCTTGCCGCGCGAGAGAAAAATGCGAGAATGTCGTCGGGTCCTATATCTGTATATCGAAGAAGCGAAGATTTAAATCAAAGTTCAAGGGTCAAGAGGCTCAATTGGACTTTAAAGAATCGTGCCCTCCAGGTTACGTGTGGGATAAACAATTTCAAGTTTGCTCTGGTAATTTATCTATCTATATAAAAATGACATTAAATTAAATTGGTCTTTAGTTGAAGAAGATAATTTATTTTTATTTTTATTTTTCTTCGTTCAAGACATCGATGAATGTGCAGATCAAGTAAACGTACTGCCATGCCCAATTGACACTCATTTTTGCGTTAACACAGAAGGAAGTTACGCTTGTCATGAACTAACAGAATCAAAGGGTTGCCCAGCTGGATTTAAACTCAACATCACTAGAAAAACATGCCAAGGTGTTTTAATTTTTATTTTTTAAAACAGACAAAAAAAATCATGACACCCTGGATAATTTATCTTTATTTTTTTTCTAGACGTTGATGAGTGCTTGGAAAGTCTTCACGGTTGTCTTCCTGAAGTCGAAGAATGCAGAAACACCGAGGGTGCTTACGAATGTGACATACTATGTCGCAAAGGCTATACATTCAGCCGCGGCTTAGGCATTTGCGTCGGTAAGCTCATAACATAAATAAATAACTAAATAATAATAAAATAAAATTAATGTAAAGATTTAATTTAAAATCGTACAGAGCACGTGGCATGCTGGCATTAGCACGATGCATGTAAGTACTAAATTATTTTAAGTACAAACGGAATTAATAAAATACTATTTATTTCTTCTTATAGATATAAATGAGTGCGAAGAATTAAATCCTTGTCCAAGAGAAAAATCTATTTGCATAAATCTCCCGGGGACTTATCAGTGTGGAGGTCGTTTTGCCGAAGAATTTGAAGAAGAAAAAAATTTAGAAGATAATGAAGTTGCAGATGATCAGTATGAGACTGATACAATAGACGAAAGTTATCTAATAAATGATAAAAATAAATCATCGAATATTTCAGTATCGTCAGCTTTAATCGCATGTGAACCAGGCTACCAATGGATTGATAATAATTGTTACGACGTCAATGAATGTACCGACGGCCCGGGATGTCAAGAACACGAGCGTTGTGTAAATCGTCTTGGTGGTTACGATTGCTTGCCTCTTTGCAACACTGGCTGGTACTTTGACCGTACTAGTAAGCAGTGCCGTGACGTTGATGAATGTCTTCTAGGTAGACACAATTGCTCCCAGGATAGTCAAGTTTGTCGCAATACTAATGGCTCTTATGTTTGCGATGAAATTCCTCCATGCGATTCAGGATTCCGTCGAGCCTTTAATGGAACTTGTGTTGATATTGACGAGTGTATTGATAAACTACACAATTGTCCGCTGCATTTACATCAGTACTGTGTCAATCGTGTAGGTACTTTTGAGTGCGTTACTCGTCTTCCCGACTGCACCGATGGATATAGGTTTTCTATGACTAGCAAAAGATGTGAAGATATTGATGAATGCAGTACCAAGTCACCGTGCGATGCCAAACAAGAAAGATGTGTCAATTTACCCGGATCATATCGTTGCGACAGACCTAATTTACCCATTCCAAAAAGACGGCCAGCCTGTCCTGCGGGGTTTAGATATGACTCTAAATCACGTCAATGTGAAGGTTAATTTTTTTCCAATGTTTTCTTTCTTCAATTAAAATTTTTTATTTGTTTCAGCATTAAATGCTTTATGTCTAGCTTCTGTATTTTTTTTTCTTGTCATTGTTGTTTTAAATTATTAAGCAATAATTTTTATTTTATTTACTTAGTTGAATCGTTTATTTGAGAAACTCCATGAGTCATATTTTTTTCAAAATCGGGTTTATTACATTTTTCGGTTCTTTGAATTTCTCCTCACATACCAGTACCAAAAAATACTAAATCCGTGCTCAAAATTTCAAAAATAAATTTCTTTTTCAAAAAAACTTCTTTTGAGTAGAAAAAATTAAGTTCAATGCAAAATACTTAAATTTTAATAATTTTCGCAGTTTGAGTTTAAAAAAATTAAATTAAATTATTGTTATTGTTTGATGTAATTTCACTGACTTTAATTTTAAAATCATTGACTATTATATAATTGGAAACTAAATTTACTATTAAATACTTGAATTTTTTAATGAGTTTTATAAATTCTGAAATTAATGATAACCAAATAAAAATACATTATATTTAGTGTTAAATACTTTGATTTCAATAATTTTCACAATTTTAGTTTTATAAAGTTAGATTGTGATAAATTAAAATGTTGTTTTATTATTGACTCTCAGTTCACTAATTTTAATTAAAAAATAGATGATTTATTGTAATTTTCATTAATTATAGTCCTTAATAAATACGGCTGCCCAATTTTAAAACACAGTAACTGCAAAATTTTTATACCTAATTTTTTTTTTAGTATTGCTGCATTTTTTATAACTTTTAAACCTTAATTTTAAGTATTTTTTCTTAAAAATATTTATATTTGAGTATTTTCTATTCATAAATCAAATTTGTCATTAATTTTATGTTCAAACTTTTTTTTTAATAAGAAAAATTGAAAAAAATTTTTAAATATTAGTTACTGTGTTTTGAAATTGGGCAGCCGCATATTTTGTACTTTTATGTTTATAACGTTTAAACAACTCCACGGAAAAAGTATTTCCGTACATATTGATTAAAGTCAGCTGAAACATTTTTTGCAACAGTTTTTTATAAATAAAAAAAAATCGACCACAAAATTTTGCGTGCAAATTGCACCATTAGATTCCTTGAATTTTTTTGCATTTAAAAAAATAAAATAGACTCTGGCAATTACTTCAAGAAATGTTTTGTAGTGGGAACAGTAGACTATTTATTTTATAAATAACCGAGAAAAATGTTTTTTTGCTTCTCCTGAAAAATTTAGTATTTTTGACTTATGAGGTTTCTCAAATAAACAATTCAGTTGTAAAAATTTTTATTAACGTTCTTTACGTTCGTTACAGACATTGACGAATGTGCGGGTCAAGTAAATTTGTGCGGATCAGAAGTATGCTATAATCAACCGGGAGGTTACACATGTGTGCGAGCTCCTATTCCTATAACGGAGCCAACAACCCAAGACGATAGTGAAATTCAATCAACCGTAAAACCAGATGATACTAAAACCTGTTCAGAAGGTTTTAAAAACGTAAGAAATCGTGGTTGTCTGGATGTAAATGAATGCGATGAAGTTGAAGAGGCTTGTAGCAGCAATGAAGAGTGTGTTAATACCATTGGAAGTTACACATGCAACTGTCGGATAGGTTTTCGACGAGATAATTTAACTCAGGTATCTATTTCAGAGATCTTACACAATCTTTCTCTTTTTTTATTGTTACATTGAATAATTTAAATAATAAAAACTTAATGCAGGCATGTGTAGATATTAATGAATGTCAGCTGCTGGAAAATGATTGCCTGCCAACTCAGCGATGCGATAATACACTTGGTAGTTACAACTGCGTAAGATTTTTACCATGCGGAACTGGTTATACCTTGAACGCCGCTACGGAAATATGCGAAGACGACGATGAATGTCTTCTCGGAACTCACGATTGTGGTGAAGGATATCATTGTCGCAATACGCTTGGATCTTATCGTTGCGATAGAAATCTAAGAGGTCAAACTTGGACAACACGACGACCACCCGTAACTACATCAACTACTTTAGCTCCAATAAAAGCATTAACAACAACACCAACAGCGCCAACAACAACCACAACGACATCACCAAGACCAAGAGTAACTCCAACAAGAGCAATACCAACAAGAGTAACACCAACAAGATTAACACCAACACAATCCTCTGAAGTACAAGTAACAGCAGTAACATCAGTAAATACACCAGTAATTGGATCGCGCAATCAACCAGAACAGCATTCTTGTCCACGGGGATTTGAACCAGGATCAAGTGGCCAGTGTATTGATATTGACGAATGTTACGGACCATCGAACCCATGCGCCCGTTCACCTCTTCAGCGATGTATCAACACCGTAGGCTCTTACCGGTGCGTCTCTCGAGTAATTTGTGGAGCTGGATGGACCTTGGATCCTGTTACCTCAAGATGTGTAGATCTAGATGAGTGTGCTACGGGTACACATGAATGCGGACCTGATCAAACATGCGAGAACCGACAAGGTGGATATTTGTGCTCCTGCCCGGCTGGACACGCTCTCGGGCCTAATCGAGAGTGCATTGACATTGATGAATGCAGTATGCTTAGCGGCAATGTCTGCGGGAGCGGTGGACGTTGCGAAAATACCGTTGGCTCGTATCGGTGTGTCTGTGATGCGGGTTACGAGAAATCTTCCAAGGGCACTGCCTGTCAAGACACAAATGAATGCGAAAAATCTCCGGGAATATGCCAACAAAATTGTGTTAATACTTGGGGCAGCTATCGGTGCAGTTGTAAGCCAGGGTACCGGCTTCATTCTGACAATAGGTCTTGTACTGACGTCGATGAATGTACTGAGTTTAAAGAAAATAATCTTTGTGTTGGGATTTGCGATAATACACCTGGCAGTTATTCCTGTCGGTGTCCTGAGGGTTACAGACTTGGCAGTGATGCTAGAACGTGTCAAGGTAAATTTTTATTTTAATCAAAGAAGCTGTAATTTATATTATTAAGAGAATAAGAATAATTTTGTGTCCAGGGTAGTCGTATGATAAAATCGGTTTTTTATTCTCACCGATAGTCAATTTATAATGATTATTTAGACTGCATTCGAAAAAGCTCTATCTCTAGATAAATAATTAAGAAATTACCTTGCATCTTGTGAACTATTGATATTTTTAAAGATATAAGCTCATCTCGATGTTACACTCATCAAGACCTTTCATTTGAGTACCCACATCAATTTTTCATATATTTATATATATTATATATATATGTATATATGAAAAATATATCAAAATGTATGTGGGTACTCAAATGAAAGCTCTTAATGAGTGTAACATTAGGATGAGCTCATATGTTTAAAAATGTCAATAATTAAGAAATGACCTTGTATCTTGAGAACTATTGACATTTTTAAAGATTTAAGCTCACTCTGACATTACACACATCGAGACCTTTCATTTGAGTATCCACATCAATTTTTCATATATTTATATATATATATTATATATATGTATATATGAAAAATATATCAAAATCCATGTGGGTACTCAAATGAAAGCTCTTGATGAGTGTAACATCGGGATGAGCTTATATCTTTAAAAACATCAATAGTTAAAAAAGTACAGTGTAATTGAATAACAGTCATTATTCAATGAAGCAAAATTTTATTTATTTATAGTCCACAAGTCACGGCAGTCACACATTGACTGCAAGGTTGCTAGTTAAAATAATTTGAGCAGTGTGGGTAATAAATGAATATTTTGTTTTTAGATATCGATGAATGCGCAAATGGGCGTATGTGTCGTGAACCTGAAGAAATATGTCAAAATACACGTGGGAGTTTTCGATGTAACAAAATTAACTGTCCGCCTGGTTATCATCAGGATCCTTCGAGAATTAAGTAGGTGTTTGCTAAAATATATTAAAAATTTTGAATAAAAATTACAAATTTATATATTTAATTTATTTTCAGTCGATGCGTACGTTCGTTGCGCTATTGCCCAAGCGGAGATCTTGCTTGTTTCCGATCACCCGCTCATTATTCTTTTAACTTTATCACCTTCGTTAGCATGTTTCCGCTACCACCAACTGGTCAGCTAGAATTATTTACAATGCGTGGTACCCACTTACCCGGATCAGTTGTCAGATTCAGCATGGCATTCAATGAAGCCCGAGCACCACCAGGAGTTATGCGTGCTACTGAATCTTGCTTTGCTCTACGTAGACCCACTCCTTCTCAAGCAGTTCTGGTGCTTACACGCATTCTGCCTGGACCGCAAGAGATCGAGCTGGACCTCAGCATGGAAATTTATCACAATAATGCTTTTGCTGGTAGCGCAGTTGCGAAACTCTTTATTTTTGTAACAGAGTATGAATTCTAAATGTGATTTTATATTAATGAAAGGTCATATGTAATAAATAAAAACAAACAATTGACTATTTTGAGATCGTTGTAATTATAACAACAGCTTTGCTGTGTTAAAGTACACGGGTGAATTATTTTTTTCATGTACATGTGGAAAAAAATTATGTAAAAAACAAAAAAAATTAATTAACTATAAATAAATATACGTAATATACTTCATAACAATCGACGTGTACATATATCTAAATCGGTAAATTTTGTACACTTTAATAAGATTATTTTATAATCTGATATAAATTGTGCAGATAACATACCATTTTTTCACAGTATCACCATAATAATTCAATAACAAACATTATAAAATGACTTGTTAAATAATAATGAAAATAATATTAATAATAATAATAATAATCACAGCAATAACGACGTATGTTTGAAACAAAAAAATTAAAGGCCAGAGGATACAAAAATTACCCTGTCTCGAAAAAAAAAAAAAAAAAAAAAATCTTATAATTTGGTCATCAAAAAATTAAATTTCTCTTCTATCGAAATAGATAACTTGTTTTAATAAAATATAACCATCGACGAATATCGAAAAATATATGCTTTTTATCATTTTTTTTTTTCATCAAAAACAACTAGAACTTATCAACCGTTTCACTATAACTAATCTAACTGTTTTGCTAATATTATATAATGATTTATAATTTTTTATCATATTCTTTTTTTTGTTTTTTTCCTTATTTATTTTTGTTTTAATTACTTAAATAAAGAATTATTGCCCCGGAAGACATTTAATTATTGCCGAGTATTATAACTCAAGCGCGTGAATTAATACCGCGATTACTTGAAATCTCAGAATACGCGGCATTATGTTCTAAATGAACAAATTCACGTGACGCTTTGCAAACATAATTTAAACGTTCATAAAGCTCACTCGTACAACCACAATCACGTAAATCACGTAACCAATAAGAGACCGCGTGTCTGTCAGCGTCAATATACGTTACAAGATAGTCTCGGGCTCGTGCACCTTCTGATACGACGATCTTGGTATGATCAACTAAAAAATTAACTTGCAGCAGCGGAACCGTTAGCTCCATAACGATAGCCTTATCTGTACGTAGCCAACGACGCATCCTTGGAACGTTGCTAGAGTTTCTTCGCGATACTTTCGTGGTACTGTCTCCTATTTCACCACCTGTATTTACAATGTTGACCATTAACTCATAATAACAACAACAACAACAACTCCTATTTTTTACTAATTTTTTTTCTTATCCATTAAAGTATAAGAATAAAAATATAAGTTAAGAAACATACCATTAGTAAGGTGATCGTCCATGTATTCAGTGAAATGCCGAAGAAGTTCAAGCTTCTCGTGCATGAATGTAGGTATATCGCGTTCACGAGCGTAACGTGTTACTTCATCATCCGGTGTCGTGTATTCAACTCGTCTGAAACATTTAAATAATAGTAAAAATAAATATACAGTTGTACATTCAATGTAAATAAATAAATAAATAAGAACAGAAAAAAAAATGAATTATAAAAAATACGTCTCAGTTTTAATGTACCCAGCACTTGTCTACGTAGACTAAGACTGTTAGATTTACCCTCAATAAGGTCGCGATTCTCTACAAATATGCTATTGATATTGATATTTTTGGAGGACCAGCAGATAAAATAAAAATAACATTCCAAGTAGGGATTATAAACTATCAAATAGTGATTATAATTATCAGACATATTAGGTTTTTCTTATTATCGGAAATTTTTAATAATTTTTTCTTTCAAATTTAATTCTTTAATTATTTAATTTCTTAAATTTTTTTAAATTTATTTTCTCTTTGCAGATGCTATATATTGTATAAAATCATTAATTCTAAATATTCTATACATAAAAATGTAACATATTGTTGCAAACTGCCGAGAGCGTTTTTTTACAAATAAATAAATAAATAACATTCCAGGTGTACAAGTAGTGATTATAAACTATCAAATAGTGATTGTAACTATCAGATATACATATTAAGTTTTTCTTATTTTCGGAAATTTTTAATAATTTTTTCTTTCAAATTTAATTCTTTAATTATTTAATTTCTTAAATTTTTTAAAATTTATTTTCTCTTTGCAGATGCTATATATTGTATAAAATCATTAATTCTAAATATTCTATACATAAAAATGTAACATATTGTTGTAAATTGCCGAGAGCGTTTCTTTATAAATAAATAAATAAATAAATAAAGAGTAAGAAAATATTCAAATACCTTCTATCACGAGTGTAACTCATCTTGGTACTATCATTGAATAAAACACCTACTGAGCGGTCAGACAATTGAAAGCATAATCCATATTTATTAGAGTAATCAATCCACTTGGTAATAAATAGGGGAATAGCTCCATCAACCGGTAGTGGATTGCACGTTGTTCTATTGTACCGTATCTCAGCAAGACAATGTTCCAATGCGCGATGCATCATTGCACTCTCTGAAGACTTTTTACGGTCTGGATACAAGAAGCTACCGATTCTATGACGTAACTTGGTAAGTTTTGGGAATTTCCGAACGAGCCAGTGGCTGACTTTTGATTTTTTTTGGGTCTCTTTGTGGGTCTGAAGGGCGATTGGCTTGACAGTGGCGATAGCAGCAATACTCTTGGATTTATTTTCAATGTGTGGAACATTTGCGAGGACTGGTAGTGGTACGGCGCCCATGGGATTGCGTTGAAAGGTTGATGATCTAGATGAGGCGGAAGACAGTGAAGACCCGGAGGGTAAAGTTGAACAGGGTGCGAGTAATGATGACTTTCCATTGGTATCGATTACCGAGCTGTGAATTGTCGGCATTCTGTAGCAGCATGAATGAGCTAATTTTGCGGGTACATATTCCATTGTGAGATACGGATGCTCTTTGACTCGTTCCAATGACGGTCGAAGTTCCGGTAGTGGTTGAAGAAGCCAGCGAATTAAATCCTGGCCGCTTGAGCTCACTATGGAGTCATCAAGTTTCTTGTAGCTATTGTTACATATTCTCGAGTAGGTTTCCTTCAGGGTGGCGGTATCGAATGGCGGTTGACCCGCCAATAATGCGTACAAAATACATCCCAGAGCCCACACATCTGCTTCGTAACTGTGAGCTTGCTTGTACAGAACTTCCGGAGCAATATAATTTGGTGTTCCGCATACCGTTCTACAGAATGTACACAGTTATGTATTTAATGACCATTAATATAATTATTATGACTATTTCTTAGAGACTGAGATTAAGATTAAGATTGAGATATAGCCATAAAATATGTTTAACTTACACACGCCTTCTTTGACCATCAGGTCGCGTTGCCATACCAAAGTCTCCGATCTTAACAATCATCCCATCGGATAAAAACATATTTCCTGGTTTGAGATCACGATGAACAACTTTCTGAGAGTGGATGTAGGCTACACCAGTAACCATTTGTTTCATATAATAACGTGCTTCTGGTTCAGTAACTTTACCTCGGTATTTAAGCACGTGCATTAAACTCTATGAATTTATGAAAGCATAAAATTAAATTATAATTATCAAACTATTGACATTAGTGTCATCGCTTGTAAGGATGAATGATTCTGCGTGAAGAAACAAAGAGAAATTTTTCATACCTTTCTTGGACACGCTTCTAAAAGCATGTAGACATTTAAACTATCCTCGAAGTAATGATGCATTTGTACAACATTTATATGATTCAAGTCTTTGTGTATCATTATTTCACGTGCAATCTGTTTATGGCAATAAATATTTTTCATTAAATAATAAATCAGGATGCTCATACTTAATTACACTAATGTAATTGTTACATAAATTATTGTTCATACTTTTTGGATATGAATTTTCTGCATACGGTTCTTCGGAATTATTTTACAGGCATATTTTTTCCCATTGGCTATATCAGTCATCAAGTAAACTCGTGCGAAGCCGCCCTAAAAAGGAAAAAAAAAAACTAATCATATTATGCTTTATTTATTTATTGTATCTGTTGAAGATAAGCTTTGGTTTCAATTGAATTAATATTTTTTTTTTTTCTATTACAGAGACTGACATAAATAAAAATATTTTGTTCCCTTGAGACTTAAGTAATCGAATAGACACGCACATACTACTGTAAGTAGAAAAGAATATGATCCGTGAGCGTCACGCAACAAACCAAAAATAAATGAGTAGTCTGGTTTGTAAGACTTGAGACATGCCAGAAATTCGGTCACATTGTCGTGAAAAATTTGAACTTAAAGAACTAACTAACACTTTTGTACAGATCGACTGTTTGATTGAGCAATAAATTTCTTGGTGTAAAAGTTTAATATAAATAATATTAAATGATAATAATAACAACAATAAGGATAAAATAACGTAATGTGATGAATAAAGAGAAAATAAAAAGCAGCAGTAGCGACTGCCTTTAGGTATATTATTACATAGAAAGTGTACGCAGGAGATACACGATTTGAGATGATAAAAAAAAGAGTAAGAATAAGAAGACGAAGAAGAAGAAGAAGAAAAAAGGCTGAGAAGTGAGAGGGGTGTAACTTCCGTTGAGAGTCAAGGAGAAAAAAAGTGCATCGAACTGAACTTGCTTGAGTTGGTATGGTATATGGAGAGCGAGAGTAAAGTAGAGTCAACGTCTACACATTTATACTTGTGGGACTTGATTATATATATATATATATATATTTATATATACATACAGATAGAGCGAACAAGTAACATGGGACTCAGGTAGAATAAAACCCTCAGGGGAGGGGGGGGGGGTTCGTCCCCTTGTTCTCACGACGGTGAACAAGGCCGCCGCGTACGGGTGCATAACGTCAGCAGGAGCTGAACGACTAAGACATCGTCACAAGGATACCAAGTAGTAAAAGGTTCAACGACTATTATAACTTATATTAGGCGTATAAAGTATACTACCATATCTATATAAGTGTATAAATATCCTATCTATAACATATATATGTATGTATGTATGTATGTATGTATGTACATAAATGATAAACGAGTTATTTCAATGTATGAGATAATGATGTAAACGTGAAAGGCGTGTAACAACCGTATACGAACCTTTCCAAGAAATTGTCCCTTGTGATATGCATTGCCCTGTACTGGGTCCACAACGTAATCAGACTCATTCTCAGCAGAATTATTGTCCCACGATTTATTATTCACCGGTACTAGTTGATTTGCTGGAGATGCAAATGCTGAAGAAGAGCCAGTAGCATTGTCATTGCTCCTCGGTCCATTGTTAGTTGATCGACTTGTCGTATCTGAGCGAACGCCCAAGGAATCAAGTCCGTCAAGACTTGAAATTCGTACTGTCCCAGCGGCTGGTGCTGTTGATGATCTTCCTTGTGTCGTTGATGAGGACACGGTCGTTACTGTCCCTGTTGAAATGCCCATTGGATTAGTAACTGTCTTAGAGTAAGACAGGCTCCCTGGTTCGGAGCGAGCACGTCTTGCATCCCGATTAATGGGCAAGTCTCTCAGCGATGCAGGAAGTGATGATGCGGTTCGACTGGTACACGGTCGAATCGTTGATGTACACGGCGCACATGTTGAACAGGTTTTACCATCACTGGTAATCCAAACTTTTGAGTTTAAGTTATTATTATCTTTAATAACCATTAAACTTTCTTTGCTCATTTCGTACGGTATATTCATTTTTGTTAAAGAACTACTCTTTAAATCGACGTTATCTTATTTGATATTATTATTCAACGGTAATTACGAACGATGACCCAGGGTTAATATTTATCTTCTTTTTTAGTTACTCCAAATTTTTTATTGTACACTCACTCGTTGTTATCATCGTTTGAGGCACATTGGTATATATTTTTATCCTTATTTTTTTTTTTTTTTTCTTATCTAAAGGCTTGTCTATTTAAACTACAAACAAAGAAAATATTTTTTTTTAACAATAGTTCATCACCATACTATGTAACTTACAGTTGGAATTTTTTTATTTAATAATTCTTACCTTGTACAATGTCCGGTTGATTATTTAAACTATATTATCTTCAGTTAAGAAAATTCCAGCAGAAAAATAAATAATTCACGTGTCGTGGTCTTATAAAGAGGTACTGATACTAATTGATTGCTCCAAGATATCAAAATATATTTGTATTACCGTAACATGAAATAATTATGGTATATAAAATAGTTGGCAGCAAAAATAGATTTTTTTTGAGGATTGTAATAATGTCGAAGGTAATAATGAAGTAACAGGCCAAGGCTCCACCCGTGACAAGTACGAATGTCTCCCAGAGAGTTGAATTTCCTTCGACAATCGATCGTTAAGCTCCAGACGACATAAATGCAGCAGCTTTGACATCATCAACGTCACAATCTAATTATATCTCTACAATAAACAAAAATAGCATTCATTATGAAAATATTAATAATTGTAAAAATAAAAAATATGGAGCACATATAATAACGATTAATTGATCTTAAAATTAGAGCGCCGCCAATATGACGACATATCGCAGACCCGTTTGTGATATCTACCCACATTTTTTTTTTTTTTTTTTATAATTATTAAAACACATACCTGCTACTAATGTCAGCTAAATTATATTTCCAATTTATTGCTTGATAAAATAACTCCATATTACAATAGATATTTATTACATCTCAATTACAATTAACGTAAATAGTAATCCAAGTTGCATTGCCGCGTTTGATTAATATTAGTCACGGAATTCCATAAACAGGTGCAACGATGAGCTCAACTCAATTGGATAGCAAAGAGATACTCAGGTTGCGGTAGCGGATTTTAAAACATCTTGCAGGAAATAACCACTGAATTGTTGAATTCTATAAATTACAAAGCACAAGCACATAGTGTATTATTTTTAAATTGATAGATTATTACTGAAGTTTATATTATGATTATGAATGATTGTTTATAAAACAGGAGCACCTACTAAGAAAGTCAGCAAGCCACAAAAGATCTAACATACTACTTACTGATGTAAAGTAGTATAAATACTGCATAGGCATAGGATAATGGTAGGATACTGAACACTGATGAATACTAAATAAAAGTTTCAAGTCAGCAACGAGGCTGCGCGAATACCGAGCGCCAAGCGGTTCTATATCCCCACTTTAATATTTTCTTGATACCTTTCCCTACCATTCCCCGATCCTCTTGTCTCTTGTCCTTGTCCTGGTCTGATACTTGTACTTGTACTGCTCTGGTCTGGTGCTGGTGCTGGTGCTGGTTGATAGGTGGTGGTAATACTGCTGGTGAACAATCCAATAGCCAGAATCACAGTGGAATAGCATGACATCTTCCTGCCTGGCCAGTTCTACAAGTTCCCCCTAGATTCGAACGAACGGGTTTCTTTTGACTCTTACATCAATCTTTTACGGCCTTTTTTTTGTTATCCAACCTTTTATTTATTTTTTACTTAACAAATAATTTAATGACTTTGATAGAGCCAGGTCATTCACCGTGTAAACATTTTTTTATTTTTAATTTTTTAATAAAACAGCACCAGTAGCAATGTCATTAAAGTTAGCCGACGTTTTAAATTTTTTGATTTTTTTTTTTTTAATAATTAAATTAAAACAAAAAAAATTTTTTTTTTAAATTGCACTTGCAGTTTTTGAAGTTTTTTAGACGTGCAATTTTTTTTTTTATTTTTTTGTAATGATTTTTTCAATAAAAAAAAATTTTTAAATGTCGGCTAACTTAATTTTCATCCAGTAGCAGTAACAGCTGGACCAGACTTGCAATTAATTCACACTAAAAACTATATATCTATTTACTGACCTTGAGTTACTATTATTATTATTATGAAAAAAGTTGGAAATATACTTGATAAAATAATTATTGTGACTAAATTGTAGTATGCATGTAAACTCTATCAGTGTGTCAGCAATGATGACGTATTTATATGTTACTCGTCTAATCGTACGAGTATAACCTCAAAGATCATGAATTATCTAGTCAGATAATACATATTATGATTTATATGGGTACAAGTGTCTTCTTTACTTAATTATCTTTAAAAAATTACTTGTGATTAATTATGACATTTATGATTGTGCTTTTTGTTGAATAATTCTTTGTGTTTTTTTTTTTTTTTTTTTTTTTTTTTTTTTTTTCACAGTAAAATGATTATTTTATGTGTATTGATTAAACAACAACAACAATAACAACATCGACGTCAATAATAATAATTATTGATATATTTGGAGTTATGACAATGATTATAACGCCAAACAATAAATTAATGAATGTGATTAGTAATTCATCAAGATATAAAAATGAATTCACTTTTGAAATCTGTGAAATCTATCGCCAACAAAAGGCATTTCCTTGTGAAAGAGTCACTGAGGAAACAATTGAACGCAACGGTAATGGAGATTCAAGGTGTCGAGGGAATATCAGAAGGTACTGTCGGGAACTGCGAGGAAACAATGGCACTTTGTTCAGTACTAGAAGCAATATTCCTTCACGGCTTGAAGGACAGTCTTTTAAATCGAGTTACAGAGGTGCTCAGTGGACCAGACTTTGACGCGATGCCCCAGCCAAGTTTCTGGGGTCCACTGCTTGTCTTTTCGCATCGTGAGATGATCGATCAGATCCAAAATTTCCAACAAATAACCACCGAAGTTGGTTATTGTCGTGCGTGGATACGACTTGCCCTTAATGAGGGTCTTCTCTCAAGCTATCTTTCATCAATACAGCAAGAAGATTCAGCATTGAAGCCTTATTACGATAAGTCTGCGTTTATTCGCGATGCGGATCACGTAGAGGTTACCAGAAGATTGATTGAGAGCCTGGAGAGTATTACTTTCGAACTGGCCTGTAATACTAGTTTATTAAATTTCTGGTCAAGCACACCACTTCTTATGGCAGCCATCTGGTTGCCGCCCATGAAATCATGTCCAGTCTTCAGCGCAGTAGACATTGCCAAGACTATCAACAGCGATCCGATAGACTCGTCTTACAACAGTGATGATGTTGAAACAGCTAGCTCGATTGGCAGCATGGGCTCTTTTTCATCACAATCTATTTTGAATAATATCAACTCTGTCAATGAAGATGATGCTTTGAGAATAATCTTAGCTAATGGTGGAAGATCCATCAAAATTGACGACAAAATTGCTGGGAGAGACATCGGAGAGTCTAGCAGATCACAGCCAATTAAAGATGCTCCGAAAATCGATAAAGAAACTGATTCAACAAAACAAGAAACTGAACCTACGTCAACTGATGTAGCGACAGCTGAAGTTAAAATTATTGAAAATGAGGCGGCAGGTGTAGAAGAAGACAAAGAAATAGCAAAAAATGAAGTTGTTGGTAATTCTTTAATTGGCAAACTCGGTTGGTCTACTTCATTAGAAGAAGGCGAATCTTCTATGACTTCTTCAATGATATCACGAAATTCTCTGGCAGAACCACGCACTCCTGGGGATGGAGCGACTTATGACGCTTTAATTAAAAGTTATCATACCGCTGGGTATGCTACTTCACCAGATCTTTGTGAATTTCTTGATAAATATACGCCAGGAGCTACTCAAATTAAAGAAGAGCCCCAACCTGATGAAGTTAAAGCAAGTATTTTTTTTTCTTTCCTTTAAAAAAAAAATTTATTATTATGATTACTTGTCTTGATTTGGTATTTTTTAACTTAAACTGTTCCGTGGAACAGTTCTTAACATTTATGAAAATTAAGTTAGCCGACATTTAAAAATTTTTAGAAATTTTTTATTGAAAAAATTTCAATTAAACAATTAAAAAAAAAATTTTCACATGTAAAAAACTTGAAAAACTATAAGTGCAATTTATTATAATATCTTTTTAGTTGTAATTTAATTAATAAAAAGAAATTAAAAAATTTTTAAACGTCTGCTGACTTTAGTGTCATTAACATTTTTGTAAGTCACTACAAAGTAGCAAAACTGACTTGCTACTCTCCTGAGCATCATGAACTAAACTTTAATCTCATTGACAATGACAAATTTGTCAATGCAAATTGCCAAATTTGCTGATTGGGATCCTATCCTTCCACTGAACAATCCAGATAGAAACTGTAATTATTTTTTATAACAAATTAAGCTCTATAACAAGTTTTATAATATTGATAACAGTCTTGATGTTTATGAGATAAATAATGTTGATTGTTTCTCGAAATTATGTTTATTAAATAGACACTGAGTCAGAGCGCATTATGGATGTATTTACTAGTTTCATCAATTATGGACTTATTATTATTACTATTTACTTAAGCACTATTTCAAACGTTATGTAACTGTTATTTTTTTATGGAACCCGCTTATTGGCTTTGCTGTAGGGTTCAGTGTATTGTTAAAAAATAAAATAAAAATTACTTATATTTTTATCATCACTTACAGGTTGGAGATGACTTGGAAGAACAAATAGGCAGGTTACCAAATGAAAAGGGTCTAGATGTTCAAAACTACAGTTGTTTCGACTGCGGACATGCTATAGGATTGACTTTTTTGAAAGCTTATGTTTGTGGATTCTCTGGAAATTATTTTTGTACAAATTGCATGGCAACAGAAGAATTTTTAATTCCTTCACGGATAATTCACAATTGGGATTTAAAACACTATCGAGTTAGTGTAAAAGCGGCTACGTATCTTACAGATTGTGCTACTCTACTGAACCTTAAACTTCTTAATCCTAAAATTTACGCAGCGGTAGATAGCATGGCACAGTTGCGTACTTTGAGAATACAATTGAATCTTCTGCGGGCGTATTTGTTCACCTGTCGTGAGCCAATCATTGAGTCACTGCAAAAAAAAGTTACGCCACGAGATTACTTGTACGAGCATGTACATCAATACTCGGTATCAGATCTTTTGGATGTACCTTCGGGAGCTTTAGCCCAGCAACTCCAGAAAATTGTCGAGTTTGCGAGGAATCATGTTTTAAATTGCTGGCTTTGTAGTCAAAAAGGCTTCATATGTGAAGTTTGCAATAATCCAAAAGTTATTTATCCTTTTGATATGGCGTCGACATACAGAGTATGTATTTACACTTGAGATTTTATTTATAAATACAGTTATTATTATTCATATCATTTTACAAATTTTAGTGTGGAGAATGCAATGCTGTATTTCATGCTGATTGTCTAAATTCGAAAAATCCGTGCCCCAAATGTGAGCGCAAACGTAAGAGGATGGATCGACCACCAATTGATGCTCAAGAATCATCAACGTGATAAAAGAAAAATTAAATAATTATGCAGTATAATTATTAAATAAATAAATAAATAAATAAATTTCATCGCTTGATCGCAATGATTTCTAAAGAGCTTTAAAAATAAATAAAATATTGACGAAAATTTTTTATTAATTTAATATATATTTATGTACAAAAATACAAAAATTATAATTTTCTAAAGGATATATAATTAATATTATTTAATAATTGTGCGTAATACTGGTCCTTATTGTCATATTAATTATTTAAAAAATATTATTTCTAATCAATTATATATTATAACGTGTATATATAACAATAACTTTGTACTTGATATAATTCAACGTTATTTGAGAATTATTAAAAAAATAATTTTATGTATTTATAATAAATTGGCAAGTGGATGAAAAAAAAAAAATATATATATATATATGTATATGATAAAAATTCTTACGCCTATTAATGTAAAGATTTAGGAAAATACGCGGAAGGCAATAACGGTTTATAACTGTTGGCTCGTCGCAGACCGCCTTGAAAAGTCGTTGAGCCAGGAGCACTTTTTGATTTACCAACAGTCCCTATCGCCATATTATTATTATCCGGAGTTGATGTAATGCCATTGGTTGTCACTGTTGTTGTGGTAGGTGTTATTGGATTACCTGGTAATTTATTTAAAATATTTAAACGATCCATTGGTGTACTTGTACTTGTAATTTGTCCAGGTCTATTGAATGTTGTTATACCAACAGTACTATCGGTAATACCTACACCAGTTGAACGACCACCAGTAGTTGTCAGTCGTCCTGTTTGATTGGCACTTGGGTTTAATAACACCGAAGGATTACGTAGTGGTAAACCAGTCATAGGTACACTATGATTTGCTGTAGTAGTAGTTGTCGTACCAGTGATAGGTGTTCGTGTTTCAAATTTACTTGTTGAAAATTTATTCTGACGCGGTAAAGTTAATTGGAATGTTGATGGGATGCTAATAGGTACTGCCGAAGTCGTTGCACTCTGAAGTGGCGATTGTGATTCGGCTAATCGACGATTTAACCAACTGATAACTAAAATAAATAAAATATCAATAACAACATACATAAAACAAATAATTACTTATCATTATTAAGTACCAAAATTTAAATTAAAATTTCCATACCATTGTCATTATTTTTAATAATTTTTTCTTTATCTTCCAATTGAGATTGCATTATCTTTAATTGATCTTTCGAAGAATCAAGTTCAGTCTTAGTAGCTTTCAATTCCTTCGTCAGTTCATCTAGCTTGCTCTGCATTTCACAAAGTTCTTTTTGCTTTGCATCTAAAAGTCTTTCTTGCTCCAACGCAATGCCTGTACGCAATTTCAATTTCGTTTTTGTCGACTCTAAATCATTTTGTAGTTTTTTAATAATATCATTAGCTTTAATAACTTCATCACTGACATTTTTCAGTGCATTTTGTTTACGCTGCACCTGGTTCTCTTTCTGCGCTAACATTTCTTCAAGTTGCTGCTTTTGCTCTTTGCTTGTCTTCAACATCTCCAAATGCTTGCTGATTAAAATAGCTTTGTCCTTTAACTCCTGCTCCATCACTGCTACCCGAGTCTTTAATTCATTAACATACCTATCTTTTTCATGATAGTCAACATCCAACTTGGCATTTTGTTTCTTAAGTTGACTCAAATCTCGTTGCGCTAAATTTAATTCCCGCTCCAAGTTTTGTAATTGTTTAGCTTGTTCTTTATTTGTAGCTTCCAAAAATGATTGTTTGTCTTTATAAGTTATATTTTGTGATCTTAATTCTGCGTTTTCAGTATGGAGTTGTTGGAGCGTATCACTGTGTTGTCTTTCAATCTCCATTTTTTCTATTTCTGTCAATCTTTGCCATTCTAACTTAGCCTGGGCTAGTCTAAAAAAATAAATTTTTATTAATAAAAAGACCATTCGGCAGCCGAAATGGAAGTAGATTTCATAATGAATCGAATAAAAAACTACTAGGATAGTATACAAAAAAAAAAAAAAAAAAAAACAAACTAGTGCAACATCAAATTTTTAGCTCGCAGAGTTTACTGTTAAGTAAATAAAAAGAAAGGGACAGAATTATTATACTTCAGTACTTTTCAGTCAGTTTTGTATAGACAAAACGACTGCAAGAGTAAAATTTCTTAAAAATGATCCTAAGATGGATATTTTTTGCTTTAGAAAAAAATGTAAGCACATAAATTAAAGCTTAATTTCTCAGCTTTCAGATGCATTTTACAGGAATCAAATAACTTGACGCGTTCAAAAATTATTTGAAGGAGAAGTAGTGAAAGTATCAAATTTTCAAAATTTTTAAATGCTGTAATTTCTAAACTATTTGATCGATTAAGCTCATATTTGAACTTGACCTTCCTAATAGTCGATAGAATAAGTATGTTGAGTTTTATTGCGATCCCTTAAGAATTTTTGACGCTATCGTCGTGACAAGCCGCGTTATAACTGACTCAGCTCGTCGAGTTAGGTCGAAATATAGCAAAATTTATGAAAAGTTACGTCATGAGGACAAATACAATAGTTAAATTTTTATGAAATCTACTAAAAAATTATAAGCAAAAAAAATCAACTATACACACCGATCTTTTTCAATACTCAATTGATGAGTTGTTGTCATTTGTAGCTGATTTTTTTCAGCTCGAAATTTTTGCTCTAATTGCTCAAAATCCTTGGTCTTGCATTCCAACTCTTCATTAATATTATTCAGTCTCGTCTCAAGTGCATGGACTTCCCGATTTTTATTATTTAAACTTTCCTTTAACTGTTTCATCTTCATAGCCATGTGAGTCTTAATATCAGAATCACTGGCTGGTGATATATTTAAACTCAAATGGCACAGATGCTTAAAATTATTAGTTTCAACAAGCTTGAATATCCATTCACCATTGCCTTCTTCAGACAACAGTAGCAAAAACTTTGGTGGTAATTTAGAAGCACCACTCATTGATCCATGCGACTGTTCCAGCAGATGAATTAACTGAGTAGCAAAGTTATCAAAGTCCACCAGTAATCCCTGCTGAGCTTTAAGTACTTTGAAGTCATCCTCAGTGATAAGTAACGAGTATAAAAAACACGGGTCGTCATCATCAGATAAAAGAACACATAGAGTCTGTAAAAATAAAATAATTTGTTATAATGTCACTATTAGTTTAATAGAATTAATTGCAGGTTATAATAAACAATTACCTTACGACAAACGGGACTTATTCCTGAATGAATTTCAACATTAACTCTCAACTCTCGTTGACGTTCCTCTTTATATTGCGGTTTTAAATAAACTTTCTGTACTTTTGTATACAATACTTCAACATTATTTAATTGCATCGCCGCATCACCTGATTGCAATGTATTACCAGCTAAACTGTTCATAAAATTCATTATCAATCTTCTTTATTATTTTTTAATTAAATTTTAGATTAGTAATTAATAAATTATAATAAAAACTGTACATTTGTTTCACTAATTTTCGTTACTTTTCACTACAACAAATGACGCTTTCGTACTTTTAAATTGGTTATCATCAAAGCTTGTTTGTATTTCACTGTTTTTTTTTTTTTTTTTATTTTGTCGTTCATGAAAACCACCACAAACTTACGAATATATTTTTTTTTTTTTTACAAAAGTTCAAAAAGTTCAATTTACTTGACTTTTTAAAATTATTTTAAATAAATATTTATTATATAAAAAAAAAAAAATATATATTTATTTTGTAAAAAAGATCAGTTGCTGATTAAGTAGAAATTTACTTGATTAAGTTAGTATTTTTTTTACACGCTATAGTCTAGTCAGTTTTTTTGTAACAATAGTGTTGAGCGATATTTTTGTTTACATTTGATAAAAATTGAGAATATTTAACAGTAAAGAGGTTAGTTAATTTAAAAAATACCTACAATAATAAAAAATAAAAATGAGTCTGTCACCAAAAAATTTGACAAAATTAATGGGGATTCTGGATGAGGAAAATATTGACACACCGTTGGATAACCTAATAAAACAATTACATAAAGAATTCTCATCACAAGATAAATTCAAAGTTGGTTTGACGTTAGTACTTTTATTGCAACAATTAGATTTATTACCCCATCAGGTTTCACGCTTGATAGCAATGTCAATGCTGTATCATTTGTATCCAGGTGAACAATTTTCGTCAACTCCATTTGCGAGTGTCTTCAACCAAATGCTGAAACCCGGCGACACTTTGAGTACTCAAGACTCTAAATCATTGTCCTCTGGACATATTCCTGTTTTGTCACAGAGTGAATCTAAATTTGTCGCTAGTCTGATTGCTTTTCACGGAGTAGAAATGTTGAAGCAAACTCCACGGGAAATTTTAGAAGAATTGTACTTCACTCCAATATCCGTCGGTGCTGATCAGCTGACCAAGTTCCAACTAAAACTAGCTGAAAGTCATGCAGAGTTTCCTAGTATCAGTAAGTGTGGTATTCCTATAATTTTACCCGACTCGGATGCTAATAAAAAAATAGATTCTAAGAAGACGCTCCAAAAAGAGATCATAGAAAATTTAATCGATGGTGATCCACCGCTGTGCAGTCAAAATTACCGACCTGAATTTCTGCGACTCGCTCCGCCGCTTTATGATCATCCTGCTGGTGGATTAAAGTGGATGCCTGTTACAGAACTGTCTCAATTTTCACCAGAGTACGACGTCAACATGTGCGTATCGAACAGCGCCGGTGCAGAGGCTCGCAGGTTGATGCGAAAGGCGTTCACCAAAGTCCTGACTCCGCAGCAACAACAACATCTCAGCACGGAGTTGAAGAAAGATCCAAAATTAGTGTATCACATTGGTTTAACGCCAAGCAAGTTGCCGGAGTTAGTGGAAAATAATCCGCTGATTGCGATCGAAGTTCTTTTGAAATTAATGCAATCAAGTCAAATAACAGAATATTTTAGTGTCCTAGTTAATATGGAAATGTCATTACACTCTATGGAAGTTGTTAATCGTCTTACGACAACTGTGGACTTACCAACGGAATTTGTTCATCTCTATATAAGCAATTGTATATCGACTTGTGAAACAATTAAAGATCGTTATATGCAAAATCGTCTCGTAAGACTTGTTTGCGTCTTTCTTCAGTCATTAATTAGAAATAAAATAATAAATGTACAAGAATTATTTATTGAAGTGCAAGCTTTCTGTATTGAGTTTAGTAGGATTAAAGAAGCCGCTGCTTTATTCCGGTTACTTAAACAACTTGAGTCTGGAGATGTCGCCGGTCTTAATGCTTCAACGACTAAAAAGAACCTTGACGTTTCATAATTAACCATCAACACTCTATTAAATTAGATATAACTTTTTGGAATAAGTAATTAACCCTGAAACTTTGTAATTATTTTTTTTTTTCTGATTTTTGTTAAAGCCAACTTAGAAGCTAATGTCTGATGAATCCAAGGATTGAGATCTATAAATAGAAATTATTCAATAAAATTGTATAAAATTATTGAGGGTTAATTTCTATGAAATGTTTGTAAGATAATTTACATTAAATTATAATCATGTGTTCGAATATTGTATATATTATTAAAAAAATATATTTTTCATTATAAGGTAATTAAATTTATTAATAAAGAAAATTCTTGTATTTTTTTTAACCATTTAATTTGATGAAAATTGAGTTAGCCGAGATCTAAAAATTTTTAGAATTTTTTTTTATTGAAAAAGTTAGTACAAAAAAATTAAAAAAAAATTTCATTTGTAAAAAAACTTGAAAAACTATAAGTGCAATTTTTTAAAAATATTTTTTTAGTTGTAATTTAATTAATAAAAAAAATTAAAAATTTTTACAAGTCTGCTAACTTCAGTCTCATTTTATTTATTAAAAAAATTTGTTCCAAAAAATTATTTTTAAAAAATTGCATTTTTTATTTTTTAAAATTTCTACATGTCAATTTTTTTTTGCCATAGGTAATTTATTTGCTATAAAATTAAAAAAATTATTAAATATGTGCTAAATTAATTTTCATGCTAATTTTAGTATAATTTCAATTAGTCACAAACACCTGACAATTTTTAATAACAAATAATAAATAATTTAAAAATAGAAGCATGAAAATATTGAAAAGTTTTTCATACAAACTTTTAAATTAAAAATTGTTATTTGTTTACTTACTTTTATTATGTTTTTTATCTTTTCTGATTAGTTTCTGTTGCTCTATATTCCCGCCTAAAAAAAAAAAGAGACTAACGCTTTTTATTATGGTCAACAGAGTCGCTGTGAAGCTCCTCTATGACATTGAACATCCCTTTTTTTAATACTCGCCCTTATTTATACGCATTATTTACACGCACGATGGACCAGTGATGCTGTCTGACGTTACCTAGATCGAGATAGTTATATAAATAAGTTATTAGAGATTAAACTTTGAATAATGAAGGTAATAAATATTAATACGATCCTCGTGCTCATATCCTTAGGAGTATTATGTTTTAGTAATCCGCATTATAAAGGTATTTATTATCTTTTGATAAACATAAACATTAATCTAACCTACAAGTGGCCTTGAAAAATTTTTTTTGCATATTTTAATTAATAATAAATTAAATAACAGGGAATGAAAGGCGTTTTATAAGACAAGTTGACGGTACAACGACGGCAGAACCAAAGATTGGCTTAAACAATACTGCTTTGATGAGTAGTAATGACAGTGTAAGTACAACAATGAAAATAAAGACTGCTCTGCAAAAAGACAGAGAGACAACGACAACATCTCCGTACCGTGAAGCCAGTACCACCAGCAGTAAAATGACAACTCAAACCATTGATAAGTTACAATATGAACGTTATACAACAATGAATCAGAATCGTCATACAACGAGTACAACAACTGCAATGCCAATTTCACTAGATATTTCATCTTCAGTATCTTCATTTGTACCACGTCAATTTGATGTCCTGAGCTTCATAGGTTGATAATTTTTATATGATACTAAAGTTAGCCGACATTTTTAATTTTTTGATTTTTTTTTTAATAATTAAATTAGAACAAAAAAATATTTTTAAAAAATTGCACTTACTAATAGTTTTTCAAGTGTTTAACAAATGAAAAAAATTTTTTTGTAATAATTTTTTAATAAAAAAAATCAAAAATTTTTAGATGGCTAACTTTATTTTTAAATTTATTCAATTCGTTTTTTGTTTTACTTAAATATTTCATTTTTGTTGAAGGTGGATCTCTCTTTACGTTCTGCTTAGTAGGATTTGGGATTCTCTCGTGGAAGGCGTATGCACTGCACATTGAACGTAGTTATAGAACTATTTAATTAAATATAATCGTATTATATACTAAAATAAAAAATAATTATTAAAAGGTATGATCTCACGAAGATAGAGGTGAGGATTTAAAAGCACAATAAAAAATATAATAAAATATACCAAATAAAGTAAAATGAAATAAGTATTAATCTTTTTTTTTTTTTTTTTTTTTTTTTCGATTAAATATATTCTGAAGATTTTTAAAGTCATTAAATCTAATTATACATATATTATCATTTTGGCTTTAAAGAACCCGTATTCTACGTTGAATTTTTTGTAAGTTTTAGTTTTGTTAAATTATTTTTTTTTTTTAAATTTGTTTTAATCCGCGTAACTTTAAAAGTTATACGAAATTTAACTATTCCTTGCCTCTTACAATCGATTAAACTCTTTGTAATATGGCATTCAACGTTAGTTTACCGTAGTTTTAAGAGACAAAAGGTTTTATTCCTCCTCTCTTTTATGACCTTTTCAGAACTACTACCCTGCTCATCTTCCTATTTAGAGTATGAATTACATACGCCTTTTTAATTATTATCAATGTGATTGTCCAGTGACTTTATTATTTCCAACACACTGGCCTTTATTATTATTATTATTATTATTATTATTATTATAATTATTATGTTTTATTTTTATCATACTTTTAATTATTATTTTTTTTTTTTCGTTTTTAATTAAGATATGTGATGATTAAGCCAGACTATGATTTTGTCATTAGACACGGCTTAGAGCCGTAAAAAATTCAACAAATTTCTCTACACATCATACAGTAAAAATTTTTTTTCGCCATGTTCCCATTATCAGTGAACCAGAAAAGAATGTTACAATGATTTATTTCTACCATCAATTCGTTATTTAATTAATTTTTTTTTTTTTTTTTTTTTTTTTTAGAACATTTGATTGCTGTCGGTTATCCGTATTTATCAAGTATTAAATACATTATTTTGTGTCAAGAGAATAGTTTTTAAATAATATTAATTATTAATAATATTTTAAATATAATATAATAATAATTAGACTAGGAAAAAATATTCCAGTCTAATCTATATATAATATATTTTTTTTATATATATATATATATATATAATTTAATATAATATAATACATAAACAACAACAAAAATTACAGAGGTGAATTCAAACCATAAATAAGTTTGAATTTCCCGCAATATAATAATGATCCCGCCTATATCAGTTCAATTATCACGAATAATTATTTAATTAAAAATTGGAAGATTTGTTCTGATGAAGATGATCTACTTGGTGTATATTTTCATTTTAAATGTGTACTAGGCATTTTTTATTTCTAAATCATCATCATGTTATATTAAAACCAACGTGACCTGTATTGATGTAATATGTATATGTATTACATGTATGTATAAGTACGTGTGTGTGTATTAAATTTGTCAGTTTGTATGAGTGTCTTTGAAATGTAAATGTGCCATCTACTCGCGCACAAATACAAACTCATTGTAATGATTCCAGCGATTTTCTTCCGAGTCAACACCAGGTTTAAGCTGTTCTGTAGAAGCTCCAGCGGTTCCAGAACCGCAGCTCGCCACAAGCTTAAATCCCTGTTCCTGGAGCATGTCAAATGCCTGCTCGATGAAGCTGTGTTTGAGGAAGAATCTCGAGGTGTATCTATCGGATAATCCGTGATCTGGATCTCGGCTTTCATTGAGCGTTTCACCAAATACATCCCTGCAGATAGCGACGCGCCCACAGACGAGAATTCTGGAGAGCTTGCGGAATTTAACATCAGCAAGTCCATCGCGACCAAAAGCAAAGCTCCCGCGGTAGCCTACGGTAATGTATCCGACTCCGCGTCTACCACAAAGCGACCTTGTGGTAGCACATCCTTCAGCATTGGCTTCCTGTATGGCTTTCTCCAATCCAGGAAGTCCATAATAAACAGCTTCCCTTCTTAGCCGTTCACGTTCACGGAAGCCTTCAGGTAATGCCAATGCTTCATTACGCAGGAAATCCAATACATAACGAAATAGAACACCGTCACGATCAAGAAAATACTTTCCTTTAGCGTCTTTTTCAACTGGTGTCTTACCCGTAAATATTGCTGATAACTGAGAGTCACTTTCTTTGGTAAGAGTTGACAGTGATGTTGTATAAAAGACTCCACCCACATTTAATTCAACTACTGAAGGAATTTCTCCGGTTTCTTGACTCATAATGTCAATTATTACACCTCACTGATTTATTAACAACGTTATTAGCAGTCGTCAACGGGTTAAATTAGCCCGAGGGTGTTGGTACTTGGCTAATGTTTGATCAACTGGCTTACACAGGCGCGAACTTTATAATAATATACAACAACGACAACGACAACGACAAGTATATGTGGTGATGACGATGTCAGACACCCGTTACGGAACTACACGTCAAGAAGTGTCCAACTGGCCCACTGCACTGCCGTCAGGACGGCAAGTCAGTTGCTCTCGAGCTTTATCAACTTGGGTAGATGATCAACGCGCAAGCCGATGTACCAATACGCGCAGGTCCTCAGGTTTATGTGCGATTCGATCTGCATCTGCCTCCAAGAGATAGCTTGTCACTATATTTACTTTTTTTTTTTTTATATATATATTATTTTATATATGTTATTTCCTCAACAATCAATCTCTTATGTCTTTACTTTTTGCCTGTTGAATTCATATCCTCTCGAAAAATATTTTTACTACCCTAAATTTTATTGATGGGATGTGGTTATTTATTATTTATTACGTGACACGGTTATAATCAATCTTTCTCATAATATAATTCTCTCCAGTCATCAATCATTGTCTGATCAATAATCCTGTGGTCAAGTTAAGCCAACTCAATAGAATGTGCTGCGGCTCCTCACAGTATATCCTAATATTTAAAAGCTAATGCCGTTTAAGAGACATTTTACCATTAGCCCAAGGACCACTAACTCAAGTTATAATCAATAAATTGCTTTGATCGTAGACCATACTATAATTTATATGATATATTGGGTTTATTTTCTCCAATATAAATTACGACCAATTGAATGGAAAATCAATTAACTGTTTTTCGTTTGAATTTTTACAATAAATATTTAAGACTATTTTAAATATAGAGCAAGGGTAAGTTAACAAAAAACGAAAAAAATATATATATATATACATAAATCTAAAAAAAAAAAAAAGATAAAAGAGAATTATTTACATACATTTTTTATTGAAACTCAATGCATGATGCATGGATTACTACAGTGAAACACCGTGTATAATAAATCTAGTATTTTTCTCTGTATAATTTCATTTAAATTGATGTATTTAAGCTGCAGTGGAAATAATGTCTGAATATTTTTTAACTTTACTTGCGATACTCATGTCGACGTATTTGTCACCAATTGAGACAACCATACCACCAATGATTGATGGATCAACTTTTGTTGTTAGAAGAAGAGTTTGTCCCTTTGTTAAGAATAATTTCAAGGCAGACTCAAGCTTAGTTTTGCTCTCAGCGTCAAGGGGCTTGGATGTTGTTACCTCGCACACCACTTCACCTCGATTAGCCGCCATAATTAGCTTGAATGCATTTATTACTTGATTCAATAATCCCAATCGACCATTCTCGGCCAACAGGGCCAACAGATTTGCTGTTGCTGGGTTCAAGTTTATTTTTGTGCTGATTGCTTTGAATGCATCGGCCTTCAATTTACGTTTTATTGATGGATCTTTTACAAAATCAACCAGCTTGGTATCTGTTTTCAACATTCCCTGTAGAAATTAATTATTCAAATATTAATTATTATTGCTAAGTTATGAGAGCAGACACTTGACAATTTTTTGAATATTTAAAAATAAACTAGGCATAGAAAATTATTTATAAAAATCTTATTTATAATTTTTCAGAGCTTTTAAAGATTTAAAATAAAAGTTTCTGGCTATAATTTTTTTGTTAAAAAAATTCTAAAAATTATCAGATGTCTCTCAATTTCAGTATCATGTCAAGTTTATGATACTAAAGTTAGCCGACGTTTTTATTTTTTTGTTATTTTTTTAATAATTAAATTAGAAAAAAAAAAATATTTTTCAATAATTGCACTTACAGTTTTTCAAGTTTTTAACAAGTGACAATTTTTTATTCTGTTTTTTTTGTAGTCATTTTTTCAATAAAAAAAATTTTTTTTCATTTTTAAATGTCGGCTAACTTAATTTTCATGCTAAGTTTATATTAATAAATTTGATATTTTCAGTGTCATAATAAATAACAATATTTAACCTGGAATTTCAAGAGATCTTTTTCAACAGCATCCAATGATGATTGTTTGCTGGCTGCTGAAAACAAAGCAGTAGCATAACGTCCTTCAACACCAAAAACTTGAAGTGGAGGCTGTTGGAAATTATTTCATAATTATTATTTAATATCAACGAAACTGTGTTGTAAAAAAATTACATAACACAAAATAATTTTTTTTTTAATCTCAATTTACGTACCTTTACCAATTGTTGTGTGACTGGAGATGAAGAAAATGATCTTACCTGAAAATAATATTAATATTTGTTAATTAAGAATAATTATAATTGATATTTTTCAATACTGCGAGTATATTTTGTTAACTAGATTGGAGTCTAATATAATTTTACTTGTAAAAATAATATTTAAAAAATTTATTAAATAACTTACGATCATATTGAGCCTGCTTGAAGACATTATTGATAAATATATAAATTATCAATTATATATTTAAGTATTAATTTTGTAAATAATTTTCGGGCAAGTGACCCGTTCTTTTTTTCACAGATTAGCAGGTTACCAGTGAGCTAACGTGCTAACGTGAAGTTGGTTTTACACTTTACTGTCCTTTGCTGAGTACCAACATAATAAAAACAAAATTGTCTTCGTTATCTACAGTTGTCAAACTTGCGGAGTGATAACAACGAAAAATAGAAAAATAAAGACGTAAAAAACACATCAAAAGCTCAAGTGTTTTTGACTTTTATTTTAAAAGTATTTGTCGATTAACAATTAACGTGTCACGTTTCATTAATTATTATTTGAAGAAGAAGAAGATAAATTTATCTATTTAAAATGGGTAATTTATGCACATCTTGTTGCAAAGAATCTGGTTCATACGAAGATTTGACACCTGACGAGGTGAGTCATTGTGGTTACATATTTATTTAAAAAGTGTTCACCAATATGTATGACAATTATTTTATTATGAATACAAAAATTTATGGAGTTATAAAATCATTAAATATTATTGGAAAAACGTGAAATTAAAGTATTTTTATTTATTGAAATATTTGTTCTAAATAAATAATTGTTTTCTATTCAACTACCTGTTACCAAGCATGTAATCAATAGTGTTTGACACTAGAGTACGACAATTGTTTTATTTTTTTATTTATTTATTTAAATGAAAATTAATTTAGCAGACATTTAACAATTTTTAGAATTTTTCTAAATAATAAATTATGGAGAAAAAAAAATTGACAAGTAGAAATTTTAAAAAATTAAAAATGCAATTTTTTAACAATAATTTTTTAGATTTAATTGTTAAATAAAATTAAAAATTGGTCAAGTGACAGCTAACTTTAATGTCATTTATTTAAATAAATTTAATGCCATAAATAATAAATTAAAATTTTATATAAAAAGTTTCAAATATTTTTAGATTTAATTGTTAAATAAAATTAAAAATTGGTCAAGTGACAGCTAACTTTAATGTCATTTATTTAAATAAATTTAATGCCATAAATAATAAATTAAAAATTTTATATAAAAAAGTTTCAAATATTTTTTGTATATATCGACGTTCTAATTAGCAAATAACTCCATTTCAGAGAATCTCCCATTTGTATGAAAAAACAATATGACATTAAAGTTAGCAGTCACTAGAGAATTTTTTAATTTTTTTTTAACAAAAAAATTTGTTCCAAAAAATTATTTTTAAAAAATTGCATTTTTAATTTTTTAAAATTTCTACATGTCAATTTTTTTTTATATTATTTTTTTTGCCATAATTTATTTGTATAAAAAATTCTAAAAACTATTAAATATCTGCTAAATTTATCATCAAAAAAACAATTAGTTAAAAATTTATTATCACTTTAAAAAATAATTTAATATCTAATAGAGGTATAGTATTTTGGTTTGGATCATTCAAATAATTTATAATTGGATTATTGCTACATTAAAATTTTTAAAAATCACTCTAAAAATAAAGAGTTAGACCAATCGCTAATTAGACCGTCGATATTTTTTTAATAAATTTTTTATCATAATAATATATAATAATAATAATTATTATTATTATTATTATATGCGCTAAAATGTATTAATACTTATTTATTTTTTCTTTTCATTAAAGCAAACAAGAAGACAACAACAGATGGAAGCCGCTGAAAAAAGAATGAGAGAGCAGGAACAACGGGGTATCGGTAATATTAATGTGGTAAAACGTCAACAACAACAAGCTCAAGAACGAGAAAAACGTGAAAACGAACTCGCTAATGCTGAGCGAGATGCACCGTTGAAGGTATAAAATTATATTAAATATCGGTTATTACCATCTATTCATTGATATCTAATCGATAAAAATCTAATTGACTCATTCATTTTTATTACAGTGGCAAGTAAACTGAATCAACGCTATAGAATTAAAAATAAACGACTCGAAACGAGACTGGATAATAAATACATACATGCAGCAACTATATATATATATATTATAATCGATTAAGTGTAAATTATAATATCATGTGAGTATTAAATTAAAATATTAAATGGTGGATTTTAAATCCCCATGTTATTACTACTGTTTCAATTAATCGTGATTGTATACCATTAATTCGTAAATACTTATTTTATGTCTCCAATCTGTTTCTACGTGAGACTCAACCAAATTTCTTTATTTGCAAAGTTTGTTAATGCTGCTACATTCCAGTTTTTTCGAGCGTTTTTATTATTATTTAATTTTCAATTTTCACAGTTTATTTATTAAGAAAAAATAATAATTTCACTACTTTGTTATAAATTAATTCTTTAGAAGTTTCTTAATTATTATTTTAAAATCAACGAAGTTAATGGTAGCACTGCCTTAAAAAAAATTTATTTCTTACTATTTTTCACAAATAAAATTTAAACTTTAGAAAGTAATCAATATTTGTCTATTGCAATTTTTCATACTATTATTATAAAAAAAGGCGTTTATTGCATAATATATTTGTACATATCTATTTTAATTATTATTAACTAATATTTTATTAAAATATCATTAAAAATGAGTAAAGTATTAATTATTATTGTTAATGTTATAATTAATTAAAAAAAAGACACTATTGAAAATAAAACAGTATATATTGTCAATACTATGTAATTTATTTGAGATTATATAAAAATATACATACGTTAAAGGATTAAAATTATTTTATAATTATCCTATTTTTTGATTAACATTATTACAAAGTATAAATTACTTCCTTCAAAGTGTTATAATCATAATTAGCTGTCTCAATGACAAGGACAGGCAATTTTCAATTGATGGTATTTCACATTATTATCTTTGAATTTACCATAAATGAATAAGTGATGTATGAATAAGATAGAGAGTAGTCATCGAGATCAGTTCAATGATATATTGCGGTTGTCATATCATATTCATACTTATAATTTGACATCTATAGAGCAATATCACTGTCCTCCTCAAGGACTTTAATAACTCTCTTGTTAGGATATCTTTCAATATAAAATTTAATATCCGTCAATTATTTTTTTAATTAAAAAATATTTTTTTATTACTATTTCCAAATAACGCATAATTATATACAAGTTTGATTAATAATTATCTTTTCATTAAAGCGCTCAAAATTATAGTAACGTAGCAATAAATAATTGCTCCGTAAAAAAATACCCGAACCAAATAATTCCCGAATGTCTCGTACGGTTTTATCACAAATTATATCAATAATTAAATAACTCGGAAATAAAATCGTACGGAGATTCAATTATTTAATAATAAGAAGTAATATTCATAAATAAATTTTCTTTAATAAAATTTTTTTTTGATGAATTGGCGATGAAAAAAAAAAAAAAATTCATGAAAAAGGAAATGAAAGGTATTTTATATTAAATTTGTGAATCTAAAAAGCGAGCATTCGCGCAGAAAGATTGCGGTCCTCGATAGGTAACTCCCATCGATTTTCCACAGAATGTATTCGTTCATTCTCTTCGTATTTTATATGCGAGCAAGTAGGCAGCCGACTTTGCCGTTCACAGCGTCGAGATACTGACCAATACACATATTCTTTAGGACATTTGTACAAATAACCCTGTAATGCTTTCCTTGAATCTCTTTTGCATTTATAGAACGCATTGCTGCATCCTTGCTGGAATGGATAGTGACCTTCATCAGGGCATAAACTTTCTCGTTTAACTTTCATCTGCAAAAAAAACAATATCCGCAATTATTACCAATCAATTATCACTCCTAAAACCACTGGTAATTATTTACAAGTGGGGTCAAAAAATCTATCAAAATCTTTATTTTTTCCTTTCACGATATTTTTTATCATAAATGCGTCGTAAAAACACATTGATAGAAGGATTTGTTCATAGTTAAAAATATTTTTTAATATTTAACAAATCATTTATTAGAGACCACTTTTTAGTCCTTAACAAATATTTGTTAGTATTTAAAAAAATGTATTAATATTTAATAAATGAATACCAGATTTATTAAATAAAAAAAAAATTATTTTAAATACTAAGAAATATTTGTTTAATACTAAAAAGTGGTCTTTAATAAATGATTAGTTAAATATTAGCAAATATTTTAACTATGAACAAATCCTTCTATCAGTGCAAGAAGGATTAAAAAAAAAATTTGAAAATGTTAATTTTTCACCTCGTTATGGCCCAAAATGAAGTTGACTCCACTTGTAAATAATTACCTGACCAATTACCAAATTAAATAATAATTACCGGTGCTTTAGAAGTATGTTCAAGTTGTCGATAAAGTCTAGCAGAAGCCATTTCAGTATCACAAACTTGCGAACTTTCACTCTCCTCGACACACTGTATTTTCTTTTCATCAAAGATAGTCTTGTCAGGACAAGCGAGAACCAAGATCTTTATCTCCATATTGCCCTCAGACATACACTGGTAGAACATATTACAGTACTTAGGATGTCTACGGAAGCCAGTAGGACACACAAGAACAATTTGCTCATCAGTTAAATTTCCAACAATGGGACAAGGGGCAACAAATCCTGTTTCACCTTCTGCTTTAGCAGGCGTAGTACTTTCGGGCTCACTTGTTTCCCCGGCAGCGGTCGTAGTTTCTGCTCCACTCTCAGTGCTCATCTCCATCTCCGTTGTTTGCTCAGGTGATTCAGTGCTTGCCACGGTAGTCTGATCTTGAGATCCCTCTGTTGTCATTTCCGACCCCGTTACTCCTTCTTCCGTACTTTCCGCCGGCGCACCAGTAGTTGTCCCTTCACCTTCTGGAGATTCTGCCCCAGAAGCAGCGGTAGTAGCCTCCGTTCCACCGGTGGTCATTTCTCCTTCCCCTGTTGACTCTGAAGAAGATTCGGTGGTTGCCTCTCCACTTGGCGTCGTCGAAGAACTTTCAGAACTTTCAGAACTTTCAGTGCTCGAACTTGGAGGGCTTGCTGAAGAGCCAGAGCAATCGCGCGCTGGATAAACAGACTCGGGATAATTGCAGAGACTGAGACTCGGATCAAAAATAGTTCCCGGCGCACAATCAAAGTGATAAACATTGAAGCCATTGCCGTTGTCCACGCACCGATAAAATTTGTCGCATTTTGTTGGATGGCCATAAAATCCAGCACTGTTACAAACGATTCCCTTATTAGTAACCATATGTGTAAAAAAGTGGGTATTTTGTTGGGACTTCTCACGGATACTTTACATGTTTTTATTGTGTTGTACAAAATTTTATGCACTGAATGGGTCACATTCAAATTAAGCCATAAAATAATTTTGATTAAGAAACACACTATCGATAATACGATTAATTTTAATTTATTTATTTCGATAAAACATACGCCAATCGGTTATATGTATGTAAAGTTTTTTATTACAGAAATAAATTATTAAATTAGCATCATTTTTATGTATACAGGGTAAAAGACCCCATTAGTAGCGGGGACCCCATTACTGACGCTTTCTTTGATTTTGGTACTTATTCAATTAGTGAAATCATTAATTTCAATAATGAATATATTATTTCTAATCTTTAAGATTTTTAGATTAAAAAAATTTTTAATTTTTATTCCAAGTAGAATATTTTTTCATTCAAAGAAAAAGTCCCACTAATAAGGGTTAAAGGTACCACTAATTTACTTGAATATAAAGAATTATTGCCCAGAATAACACAATAGTAACAAGTTTTTTACATTAGATGTAAAGGAGGGAGAGTGAATCACCAAAGTAATCTAACTCAAGACAATGATTATTAACTAAATTGGCAAAAGTTTTTTGTTGATTTCATTGAATACAGAAGCCTTCGGGATCTTAAATCTAGTCTTGAGTAGATGAATCTGAACTGTTCCAAGATTTCAGGGGAATCAATATATTCATTAATTGTTTTGTAAAAATGGATTAAGTCAGGATTAAGACAGTACACTGTCTACGACTCTGCGGACTATTTATTCTGTACTGACTGTAAATATCATCAGCATTCCTTGAACATAGACGGTATGCAATGTATAATAATAATTAACTAGAAATAAGAGAAGAAAAGTTGTTATAGATTAAAATTACATTATTCTAACAATTTTAGAACATTTATTGAATTATTTAAGATTTAGTTATAAACTTTGTAATGTAGTTCTTGCGAGATTCAACATATTTTATAAAATAATCGATTAATGATCTGAGAAAGAAGACATTTTTTTTTTTTAGCATTATTTTATATTCTTCTAAAGCAATATTCACTAAATTGTTTTTTAAATTTAGGTACTGTAAAAGTGTAGAGAATTGGATTAATTGCTCCATTGACTGGTAGGATGAAAACAACGACCCAAGCGTGCACACAAGCTGAAATAAATAGATTTATGTTTATTAATATAATATCATTTTTCGATTTAAAGTGAAGATACATGATATGTTTATTACACTGTAACTTCAACGTCTATTATAATTTAATAATGTTATATGATGATAAAAAAGTGTAAAATGAATTTATGTAATTTTTAAATAACTTACGTAGTATTGGATACTTTTGCAAAGCTAAAATTTTCAATAATATAACCGGAGCTGAACAAAGTGCATCAGTCAACACAATAAAGAAAAATCTCAAAGCAATTTCTGAATCTCCAATAGTTAGCGGTGTATTTTGTCTTATTCGCCGAATGCTAAGAAACATCCCCAAGTAAACGGAACCGATTATTATCAAGCCAAGAAGATTTACCCCAAGGAATATAAAGGCAGAATATTGCCAACCGATCATAAATGCTTCATCAATATGTAAAGGAAAACACATTCCATTCAATCCATAAAATCTCGTGCTCTCTCTCCAGTAAATTCCTTTAAAATAAAACTAACATTAATTTTGAATTAATAAGTTGATAATTTATGAAAATATTTCTAGTTACCTGGAATTACGGATAATAAAATTCCAATTATCCAAATGATTATCATTGAAGTCGTAACACTTCGGCAAGTAAAATAACTAGGAGCTTCACTGAATGGTGCTATTACTATTACTATAAATCTTTCGATGGACATAAATGACAAAATTAATACGGAAACTTCGCATGAAATCATTGCAATCATTCCTAAGAATGTGCACTGCCAAGAAGAGATCCATTTGTTTGCTTCCTTGTTGTACATATCACGAAGATTAAAGTCTTCTAAGCCGATTGCTAACAGGTACACTCCCATTAGCATATCTGCTACTGCTAGATTTCTAATCACTATACTCAGAACTCTGTTTTCGTCCTTGTAGATAAATCGGCCCCAAAGAACTAGAGTATTGCCCACAAGCGTTACAACTGAAATTCCCCAAACCGCGACTCGCAGCAAAGGCTTGCTTAATAAATCTGATAACGACGATACTCCTAAAAATATTATTTAAATTAATTGACGTTCACATTATGAATATTTTAAAATATTTACTGTTGTAAATCACTTGCCGTTAGTTTCTGGTCGACATGTTCTAATATTAATACCGTATATCTGGCAGTACCTTAATGTTTTAAAGATTCTAAATCGGTAAAAAATTAATCATCAATATATAAAAATAAATTAGGATAAAACATCTTTTTATTAATAAATTACATGATAGATAACTCTTGGAATCGATTCAGAGCATTTTCTTCATCGTCTTCTATAGTGATATCATCAAGGTCTCTGTAAATCATACAATAATGGACTAAATGTTTCTCATAAATTATTAGTTAGTTATTAATTATTAAAATTGCTCACAAAATACGAAGATTGAGTGTTGAGTTGAGAATCTTGAATTTGAACGATTGAATGAGATTGAATCCAAGTATTCTACAAAAACAGAAATAATAAATTTATTCTAGAAAAATATTGTAAAAACTTTTGTCATTATTTTTAATGAGAGATATATATACTTACAATGTGGTGAGATGTGTAAGTGGACTAAATAATTCTTCTCGTAAATACTTCAATTTGTTGAATGATAAATTTCTATTAATGTATATTAAAATTGAATGATACATTTATCAAAAATTAATTATTAGTTTTATTTACAAAATACAAAATTCTCGCATTACATTGTTTGGTTATTATCAAAGACTATTAAGATTTTTAATTTCAGTTTTAATTTCAGAGTGAAATTTACTCACATATTTATTGAATTAAAAAAATTTTGTGGCAAAAATATAGTAATGATTTTTACAAACCATTTCGATCATTTTTTTTTTTTTTATAATTTCCATTAATATGAAATATAAATTCGTTCGAGAGTATACTTACAGTATTTGGAGTCGTAAATTATAATTGAACAAATCATCCGGTAAATCCCTCAATTTGTTGCCTGATAAGTTTCTACAATCAAAATATAATTATAGGAATTTAAAAATTTATTTGCAATAATTACGTTATTAATTACAAGTCAACGAGTTCCACGAAAGATTTAAAAGCTCCAGAGGAAATATTACTGATTTTATTTTTCTCTAAATTCCTGAAAATAAATGAACAAATTATTATCAATTAATAAATATCATTCAATGTTTAAGCTTACTTACAGAAACTTTAAGTTAGGAAAATAGTTTAAAAGTTCATGAGAAATATAATCAATCTCATTTCCACTAAAATCTCTGTAGAAAAATTTTAAATTATTCAATGTTTTTGTACAGAAGTTAAATAATAGTTATAAAAAAATAATTCTCACAAACATTGTACTCCACTATGTGACATAGTAAAATAAATAGTATGCGTTGTCAAGTCATTATAACTAAAATCACTGAAATAAATATAAATAATATTGATTATTTATTTCTATATACAATTTCAGATGATAGTGTGTACTTACAGTGCACTGAGATTAGATGATAAAAGAAATAAATCGATTGGTAAGCGCTTCAATTTGTTATATGATACATTTCTATAAAAAATTATTAATACTATTATTATTAAGTGATATTTTTGAATAATTAAAAATTTTATTACAATTCAACGAGGTTCTTAACGTTTTTGAAAACATCAGACGAGATGTAACATACATGATTTTTTTCAAGGCTCCTGAAAATAAATAATTAATTAATATTTAATTATTTATCCGATATAATTTTTAACTTACTTACAAAAATTTCAAATTCGGAAATTTACGTAAAAGTGAATCAGTCATTATGTCGATTAAATTTTTATTTAAAATTCTGTAAAGATTTATAATAGGAAATTTTATTATTCACATATTTTAAATTGTTAATTTTTGTCCTTACAACTCTTTTAGTCCAGGTTGATAAAAAAATTTCAAACTTTCATATATCAGTTTGTTGTTACTGAGATCACTAGGTAAAGATATATAGACTTATTAGGTTGCGTTATTACGCTAGATTTTTATTTAAAATAGACTAAGAATAAAATAAAACTGATAATTTACATTGTTTCAAGAGTTGTACTGTTTTCAAAATCCTGAAAATTCACTAATTGCAGTAGATTATCAATAGCTAAAAATTTTTTCAATGAGCGTAATCCGTCAAATGCTCCCGGCCATATTATGACAAGTTTATTGTTTGATATATCTCTGTAAAATTTTTTTTATTAAAATAACCAGAAAATAAATAAGCATAAAAAATAATACCTACAGACAACGTAAATTTGAGAGTCCTCTAAAAATTCCAAAATTACTGTTTATAGAACGTTTGAATTTAGAAAATCTGTAAGAATAATTAATTGACTCATTAAAATTGTGTACAGACAATATTTCTGTTGAAGAGTAAAATTGTAAGATGATTTTTTTATTAACTACATTTTTCTTCATAGTATTAAACCTTATTCCTACTCATTATTAAAATAATATTTTGAAAATTCGTACTGATTAAAAAAAAACTGTACGCTTACTGTTTGTTGTAATTATAATGAATATCCACTGTTTTTCTGACTAGAGTTGTTAACCCGTTGTGTGAAAAATTTCTACAAATAATTATTACAATTTGCAAATAAATTCACGCGATATTTTAATGAACTTTTGAATAATAAAAGTTAAAATTTATTCTTACAAGTATTCAAGTGCTTGAAGAGAAAATAAATATGTACGACCCGACATTAAATTATTGTTACTTAAATCACTGTAAAAAAAAATTAAAAAGTATTACTAAGTATAAATATGAATATAAATTTTTATAGAAAGAATGTTTAAAATTTAATCATTCACAGCCATTTTAGAGAATGGTTCGAAGTAAAATCACTGAAATCCACCATCGTTAAATAATTATTATCAGCTGATAATTTTTCCAACGATCGTAATCCTGATAATTGCCCGTGTAATATTTCTTCAAGATTGTTGTTTGACAAAATTCTAAACAAAGTTACTTTTTTTCCTTAAAAATAACAGACTTATTGATTAATAATAATATGGAAGATAGTTTATTAATACATACAGCGATTGCAGGTAACCACTATTAGCAAAAGTGTCGTTTTGAATTGATTTAATATTGTTAAACTTCAAAGACCTGTGAAATAAAAAAAGTTAATAGTAGCACAAAATTTAATCCATTATAGATAGTAACATATGCAAAGAAGAAAAGATTGATAGTTTCTTTGAAAACTTATTCACATTGATATACATACTGACATGTTTATGTATTTATAAGGAATAAAAAAAATTTTTATCTTGATGGATCATCAGTCAAACAACAATTTTTATCGATGAGTTCATCTTTCACAAATTCTGATTCGTTAGTAAATAATAAAACGGCGCTTATTTTCACACAAATGTAGGTTTGAGCAGAAAAAATTTGATGAATATACTTACAGAGTTTCCAATTTTTCATATCTTCTGAAATCATTAGTACTCAACCTTGCTAATAAATTATTATTCAATGTTCTATTTAAAGATAAAAATAATTAGCATATAAAAATTGAATGTATGTTCAATTTAAATCAATAGGTAAATTATTTTACAATTTTGTTACGTTTAGAGACAAATTATGCGGGATTGCAAAATAACTTTTACATGTAACAGCACATTTTTCACATTTACAGTTTTCTGGGCAATCAGATGACTCTAAAAATAATTTTTTCGTAATGAGTAATTTCAATATTAGAGTTCTACGAATAATGATACTTCAACTAACTGCAAATCAAACTTAGAGGTGTTTGATAGCTTGATGCGATTAAGGGCCTCTCATTATCAGAGTTATCTAAATTTGAAAATCAATGGGATGAAAATCAAACTTAGCTGAGTTTTCAAAGATAGCATAATTGATTTTTAATCTAAAAATAAATTTTATTGTACACTCACGCAAATTTCCTAAATTATCTTCATTTTTTATAAGAAGACAATTGAAATTGTCATTGATTTTCAACCACGGCGAAAAGCACGAATTAGAATACCAAAAATGTGAGGTGTTTGTTGAATATTCATCTAAATTTAAATTCAAAAATAGAAACATCAAATCAATGAATTGCTTTAATTGTTAAAATCTTTATTGCATCGTTAAAGACTATCAGATTCAATTTTTTTTTTTTATAAATTAGCATTTTAAATTAATATCAAATCATTTATAATTAAAACTTACCGTAAATGTCTTCATTACACAAGTTTTGTTGAGGAATACAAGATACGGTGTGGGTACAAAAAAAAGTTCCTTTGGGACATGCATCTGTAATCAAAATTGAAGTAATTTAAGTAACCAATTCTAACAATGTCGTTATAATAAAATTCAATAAATGATTATGTACCTTGATTATAATAGTACATTAAAAAAGCAATAATTATGACAGTTGTTATGACCGTTGTCCCAACAAAAATAATTTGTTTGAACTGCATTTTTGTAAAAAAATTTTTAGTAAGCAACGTCAACTGGTATATCAGCTACTGTTTCTTCTTACAAAGAGACAACACCGTCCCATCGGCTATCGAAGAGTAGTGATGCATTTACCTTCTATCTTTTTTTATGGAGATTTGTATTAGTGCGCATACGCATTTTAACTTATTAAAAAACTATGTGTACACAAGAATACTGAAATATGAGAAAATCATAAATAAATAGAGAACGTGGTAAAGAAAAAACTGTCAAGAAGAGTTATATTATAATTTTTTACATTAATTTATATTTTCACTGTATACTTAAGTATACAAATTTGTACACAATGGTTGGAATTTTTATTTCTCAAGTAATAAAAAAAGTTTAAATTATTTACTTGAACAAAGTTGATTATTGCATTGAAAAATAAATTTGTAGAAATATTAATAGCAATTAAATACCTAAGGCATATTTATGAGGTATTTTTATAGATATATAACTGATGATATTTTTATAGATATAAGCTCATCCTGATGTTACGCTAATGGAGATCCTTATTTGAGTGCGCACATGATTTCTTCATATATTTTATAGATATGTTTGTGAAATATACAAAATATATATGATAAATTTAGTAGATATTTAATAATTTTTAGAATTCTTTTTTAACAAATAAATTATGGCAAAAAAAAAAATATAAAAAAAAATTGACATGTAGAAATTTTTAAAAATTAAAAATGCAATTTTTTAAAAATAATTTTTTGGAGAAAATTTTTTTGTTAAAAAAAATTAAAAAATTTTCTAATGACTACTAACTTTAATTTCATAAAATATATAAAAAATTCGTGTGGGTGATATTTGTGAAAGTTCCTTTAGAACATGCATTTGTGATGAAAATTGAAATACTTAAATCAATCAATTTTACCAAAAATTTTTTATCCATAAAAATATTTAATAATAAAATTAAAAAGTTATTTTCTTCGATTATGATAAATTATTAGAAAAGCAATAATTACAACAGTTATAATGACCATTATACAAAAAAAAAATAATTTGTTTAAACAGCATTGTTATCGCAAAGATAAAATATATCGTTTAGTTTGTTACTGTATATAGATGGTTCATGAAAAATTATCATTTCTTCAAATCAACCACTTTTTGACTCCTATAAAAAAATCATTGCGCATACGCCTCTTTGTATTAAAGTAATCTTAATACTATTAAATTAACAATATATAAGAGAAATAAAGAAGAAATGATGAAACGCTGATTTGGTGGTAGTGAAAGAAAATTTATTTTCATTTTATTATTGAAAGATACATAGATTACATAGCAGTCATAAGCCCAGTTATGCCTAGTCACAAACCGTTTAAGTCATTTAAATTTTATTAATATATAAAACGAGCATTTTAATTGGTATTACGATTGACAAAAAAAAGTTTTTTGTCGATTGAAATACTTCATATCGTCATTGTAAATGTTATCCCTATTCATATTGACCAGTGATGCTGGATCGATCGACAGAAAAATTAACTTAAGTTAATTCGTAATATCATCACTACCTTAAGATTATATTATAGTAATAATAATGACTCTAATTTTTTTTTTTTTTTATTTTTAATTATCAGTTAAAATTTTTTTTTATATTTTTTGTTTTTTTGTTGATTTAATAAAGAATAAACGTCGATCGTCCGCAACATGTGAATCGATTTTTACCAATTAAAAAGTAAATATACATGTTAACGCAAAAACACCAGCGATTAGTGTTGTGTTTATACGATTATCGAGACAATACATCTCATACAAATAGTGTTGATTATAGTAATAATAATATGTACATTAAATTATAACCATAAATAGTAGTCTGGTTTTTATTATGCTGAAGAAATAATAAATTCAACAATTCAAATTTCATTCATCACTCAGGCTAAACGATTCTGGTAGTCATATCCAAAGATTATACTGCATGTCGATTCATTTAAATATATTTAATTACGTTAATAATTAAAAAAAAAAAAATCACTTGTGTCTAAATTCAATAATTTAAATATTTGTCAGTGAGTTTAATCAAATGTCATTATTATGTTAACGTGAAAGTTAATCCGTGTGAATTATGCTATAAGCCAATATTTTATCTAATTATTTATTTTCATGATTTAAATGTTAATGATCTAATATTGAAGTACTCGATTAAATTCATACGATAGATGACAATGTCGGAGTGAATATTTTAAGCTGATTATATTACACATGAATGATTGACGATAGAGATAGTACTTTCCTAAAAATGAATTCAACAATGATAAAAAAAATTTTTTTAAACTCTAAAGGATTCAAATGATTGCTTTGGAAATGACTACAAAAAAATGATAAAAAAGTAGTGATTTCAATAATAATGATTTATTTAGTCTTCAATTTCACGATTTTCCTGCACTAAATTACGTTTCTGTTAACATAAATAAAATATATGTACTTCCATATTTAAGATATTTGGAAGTAATATTAAAGTATCATATTATTAACTACATATAATAATAAAGAGTAAAAAAATCATTGTCTGTATCATGTCACTGATTTCCAAATAAAATAAAAAGAAAAAAAAATATATATAAATATATTTATATATAAATTTAAATATCAAGTAGACACTTTCACCTCAATGGATGTTTCCAGTGTCGTATTCATTAAATTGACTGTAACACCGACATGCATCACATCCCAACTTACCAGGTTGATTAAATGTGGGTCGGTCGATGAACAATCTACAATCTAATTAACTTACGTCTAAAAAAGTATTTATGTAATTTTCAAATGTATTACCATGCTATTCGTCGATTTTTTTTTTGTTTTTTTTTTTTTTTTTTTTTTAACTTTTTTGAAGAATTCATGAAGTGGGCAGTGGACAGTGGCTTGAGAGTGATGGTTTATAGTCTAAATAACCTGGACAAGAATCCGAGGATTGACGGTTTTTTTTTTCAATACGACAGTCACGCTGTGGTCAAGTACATACTTCTTGAACTACCGGCGACTTTGTTGCTGCTGGAGTTGCTGAAGATGTTGACGTAGTTGAACCAGAGTTTGATGTTTCCTGAGACATTTTAGTGGAGACAGAATACTAATAACTATAAATAATTAACATTAACAATTTCTTACATCCTTTCCTGTTGACAAACTTTGCTTATATTCATCCAAACTAAATCCAGAATTACTGTCATCACAGCCGTCAACCAGCGAGTTGCTATCATCTCCCTGGGATTTAAAAAAAAAATTAAAACCCCCCCCCAATTAATGAATTTTTTTAATTAATTTATCAATATCTTATTAATTTATCTGATAATTTTACTTGAGACATAGGTTGTTCGCCGTCGACGATACGACGTTTCTTTCCTTCCGAGTCAGCATTTGAATCAGAGCGACGTTTCCTCAAGAGCTCTTGACTTCTTGGAGATATTCCACTTATATTTCCATTCCGAGCGCCAGAGATCTGCGACAATGCCTGAATAAGTTAAAGTTTGTACCATTTTTTTTTATAGAAAAATTTTAATATAGATTGAATTTCATCTTACTTTTCGTTCACGTTTCAATAACTTGGGTGATATATAATGATGTAATTCCTTTCGCTTCACGTGTTTTGCTTCTATAAACATACCGGCTTTCAACATATTCAATTGCTCAGCTTGCTTCTCAACTAAAAATTATGAATAAATAATAAAATACTGTGTAAGCTGTGAATTTAAAAGATAATTTAATTAACAATGTATATTTACTTGAGTCAACAAATGATTTAATATCATAAGTGAGATCGACGTTGAGATTCTCCGACTTAGCGAAAAGTAATCCAATGAACCACATTGAACAATAGCGACTTTCTTCAGGATTCAAAGGTGGAAATCCTTCTGGATTAACGTGTGCCAGTGTAATGTGTTGATTTCTCTCCAATGTACCTGTTTAAAATTATTAAATATATTATTAATAAAAAAAGACACACATGGACATGTGTATAAATAAATTGAACATATAGTAATTTTTAAATAATTATTACCTATTAAATGACGAATTTTAGATTCAACAAGTCCACACCACTCGAGTTGATCTTCTGCGCTGGCACTTTTTGCCAATAGTACGATATAATGTTTGTATTTACAAAAGAAATTTGGTGGCTCGAATAATTTATCCCACGTTGCTTTTCCCATGATTATTTGTTCTGTAGCCGATAGACCAGCTTCAAATGCTTCTTGCATTATCGTTCTTGTCGACACAGATACGTTAAAAGTCGAATTTTGTTGAGGATACGCTGGAGTTATGATGGGCATCAAATGATGTCGGTCTGCTATGTTTACCTAATTATAAAAAAAAAAATATAAATAATAATTAAACAAAATTTAGCAATGTTTTTTCATGTTTAACTTACCCTTGGATCCCAAACAGGAAAACCAAAATTAACATTGTCAGGTTGCTTAAGCAATACTGGTTGCGGCCACTGCCACCGTGAAAATACTAAAAAGAATTTTTCAATAAGTGTTGCTGCTACTGCATTTGGATATAATTGACAGGTTCTGGCGACAAGCATCGCCCAAGATACACCACCAAGATATCCTAAGACATTACTGTAAATTCCATGTCCTAAAACAAAAATGTAATACACTTGTTCAAAATATATGTATTGAATTATTTAACACTTCGATCACATCGTTTGTATTATCGGTTGAACGACTACTTCTAACCAATCATCACTAGTCCCTTGAAAAGTGCAATTTTTTCTTTTTGTAATAATTACTCTCAGAAATATTGTTTTTATACTGTTACTAAGTTAAAGTTATAAAGTAAATGAAATTAATTTAATTTAATTCTAACTAGCAACCTTGCAGTCACTATGTGACTCCCGTGATTTGTGGATTATAAATAAATAAAATTTTACTTTATTAAATACAGACTTTTGTTAAATTGCACTGTACTTTCTTAATTATCGACGTTTTTAAGGGTATAAGCTTCCCGATGTTACACTCATTAAGAGCTTTCATTCGAGTACCCACAAGCATTTTTGACATATTTTTCATATATACATATATATGTAATATATTTTGAAGATATAAGCTCATCCCGATGTTAGACTCATCAAGAGCTTTCATTTGAGTACCTACATGCATTTTTTATATATTTTTCATATATACATATACATAATATATATAAATATATGAAAAATTGATGTGGGTACTCAAATAAAAGGTCTCGATGAGTGTAGCATCGGGATGAGCTTATATCTTTAAAAATGTCAATAGTTCACAAGATACAAGGTAATTTCTTAATTACGTATCTAGAGATAGAGCATTTTCAAATGTAGCCTTAATACTTATCATAATAAATTGACTATCGATGAGAATGATATGAAACCTTGAAAAGGCACAACTTCAGGTCAAGACTTTTCTAAAGATACTAAATTATACCATAAAAACCCATTTTGTCATAAAAATACACTGACCACAAAATTTTGCTTATTCTCTTAATAATATAGATTAAATTCTAACAAAATAATACTTTTTTTGCCTAAAACTGAAATTTACTTGATGTAAATCTAATGTATAAATCCGATTGGCTTTTGAATAAATAAATAAATATATTACATAATAACGATTATAGTAATTGAAGTAATAAAACTTACGTTTTGCCCATAATTTGATAGCACGAAGTGCTAATCTAAAGTTTTCTATGTTTGGAACTAGTCGCAGAATTTCATCTGTAACACGACAACCGTTAAGACTTCTTACACATTTCTGGTCTAAATTCTTCAATAACATATCATCCTTCAAATCCTATAAAAAAATTATACAATTAATAAATATTTATTTAATACTCTAAATAAATATAAATTTGCCAATGAGTCAAGAATTTTTTTGACATTAAAAAAGAAAATTCTAGTAATTAAGTAGAAATATTGATTAAATAAAAAAAAAAATATTTACCATAGTATCCGGTATTTCTTTGAGCGCCAATTTAGCAAACAACATATCGATTTCGATGCCATCAAAGTTCATTTTAATAACTGGTACAAAAGCTTCTTCTACAGCTCTTAAATCAGTAACTTCCTTCTGTTGTTTAAGTAAGTCAAAAAATGAGGTAAAATAATCTGATCTATAAATATGACGTGGTACAACACAGAGCGCATCAATATCAGCACCTTTATGGTGTACACCCAATCTATAAGACCCAAAAGTGTAAATTTTACCACCAACATTTTCAGCAATATTTGGCGGCATATTTCTAGCAACACTCGTCTCTTTGATCCATTGTTTAACCAGTGCGTTTAATTTACTCAATATTTCCATTCGATGGTGCAACTCCTCATCGGACTCGAATACATTGTAAGGTTTGAGAGCTTCTCTCAATTCATTAGTTCGCGTTAAATCACTTGGTTTAGGTTCAGCGACACTTATAGCTGATGTCATTCCAAGTGACCGCGAATTTGGCGACGTATTTGACGTAGCTGCCGTCGTGCTTGTGACTGTGTTGTTTGAACCATTATTATTTCCCTGTGTCGACCACATTTTTTATTATGCTGAATATTTGTTTATTGAAGTACTAACGATCTAACCTACAAAAAAAATACATCAATAATTTTTTAAATAATTATTTAAAAACTGTTGTACTCACAACTATAATAATAATAATAATAATAATAATAATAATAATAATACCAGTGATAATAAAATAAATAAATAAGTGAATAAGACAACAATACGTCAGTTAATAAAAAATATTCACGACATACCGAATGAGTTGAAAATATCTTGGATTTTTCATCAACCTAACAACATAATCACTGATGATCCTTTTGTTCGCGTCGTTAGGTTATACTACACAAAGGTTCTACAGGTAAATATCTAAGTAAAGATTAATTTTGTTTCAATCTTAAATTTATAACTAACCTTATACTTTAAAAATTGCACATATATAAAAAAAAAATTATTTCAAGCCCAATAATTAGCAAATAAGAAAATTTTTTATGCTACTGAGCGAAAAAATGGATAGAGCTAGTAAACAAATAAAAATCACAGAGTCTCGATGTTTCTATTTTTCAATCTCAATAATAATAAATAATAATTAAACAAAAAAAAAGAATACGCTTAGTTGAATTGTCCCGAGTTTATTTGTATCTGAAAAATATACAGTGTCTTGTAAAATATTTATTTTATTTTATTTCATTAGTCACCTTTGTTACTTACTTTATTATTTTACTTGTTTACTCGTTTTTTACCGCGAGGAATTTAATCTGGTGTTGAAATTCAACTGCTGATGAATAAATTAAAAAATAAACTGTTTAAATAAATAATATTTAATATTGTGCAATGGACAATAATTTTAAATCCAGACACAAAGCACATGAAAAATAAATAATAACGATGCAACGCGTTAAACACAGTACATCACACCATCACGGTCAACTACTCTACTCAGAATAAAGTACACTTCTCAAAACAATCTCACTCGGGTTTGAGGTAGTTCAATCAATTTTGCGCATGCGCGTTCTTTCAAGGAGCCTTTACTTCACAGATTTTACGATGCGAATGACAGACGGAAAATGCCGGTGACAAACTATTTTCGTAAGTGAATATATAACCTTGCCGACGTGCGAGTAACTTGAAAGAGGACGCTTTATGTTCATGGAGACTAGACATTGGTGGTTGAGACTATACACTGGGGGTTGCGGTCAACCAGTCAGATCGACAACATTCCGAATTTTAAAACTCAAGAAAATTTAAAATTCCGCTACATTCAAAGTTTATAAAATACATAAGCTTAAGTAGAATACCAGCTGGAAAACAATTTTGTAAATTATAAACACCGGGTTATCGAATATAAGTAAATATAAATCTTATATTCCTCAAGAGTTAAAATTAATTTGATTTCGAAAAAGGTTCATTCCGACGTATATTCATCCAAATATTCATTCATCTATCCGAATAATGATTTGGCCAAAAATTACTCATTCAAAAAATTGGAAATTTTTCTTAGATCGTTCACCTTTACAAGCATGAAATTCGAGTGTTTTCCATACATGCTTGTAAATTAAAATAAAATTAATTTTTAAAAATTTCTAATCTAAATATAAAATTATTTAGATTTTTCGGCTAAATGAGTGTTCGTCTGTTCATTCATTTTGGCGTAAAAATTTTCGTTGTTATGTTTTTTAATTTATTGAGACTTTGTGACTTTGAAAGATTCTATTAATATAGCTTTAGTTTTTTCTTCATTTAAGATTATATTTTTCGGAATTTTAAAATTTGTAAAATTAATTATTTTTTCTAAGTTCTAGTAATTTATTAATTCGGAATGTTGTCAGTCTGTCTAGTTGACTGCAACCCTGCAACCCTACACTGGTTAGGTGTCGAGTCGGTGTTTCTACATCGGTGTATAGTCTCCATAGCTCATATAATTAATTTACTTCCGGTACTTTTTTTTTCTTTTTCCGGTCACGTGGTCAGCCCAGTGTTTAAAAGCGGGAAATTTTGGATAATCTTAAATTACACAAAAGTTAAAATTTTTTTAACCTTTAATTAATCAATATTTAATAATTTATTATTTTTTCAGGTGATAAATTGTTTATTACTTTTATAAAAAGGTAATTTAAAATTTAACTTCAATGAACGAAGAGTGGGGATGATAGCAAATGAATAATTGGCCAATGGGCTTGAACATCACTGCGCATGCGCGAGAGCGTATTGCAAATAAATTTCTCTAGCAAACACGTTTTCGTCTTCGCTTCTCTACACGCTTAGCCGTCAGATAAATTTCCGATAAGTTTTAATTTTTTATCAACAGTTTTTATAAATTTAAAAGTAAACTTGAGAAATAAGAGACGATGACCATGGTGGAGAATAACCAGATACATGACTGTATCATTTATAATACAATATCACGTGAGTAAAATTGATACTTTTATTACATGAGAGGTTATGTAGTTTGTTTAATTGCATCTGTGATTATTGATAGTTTTAATTTATGAAAATAATTTATAAATTGACGACTGTAATTACTTTAGCTCTTCGGAAACATGATGTACACGTTGCTGGGTCCGTGGTATTACATGCGATTGCACACACGCGACTAACAACTAGATTCGAGAAAAATTTTATCAACAATCAGACACCAGAATCTTCTGATGACGAGGAGAAGGATTTCTGTAATCAAATCGAGGATGATCTAGATTATTTGAGATCTTTGGATCCAAAGGATTGGAAAAATCAAGATCATTATGCTGTTCTTGGAATTAAAAAATTCCGACATGAAGCCAGTGAAGAGCTCATCAAACAAGCATGTATGTATTTTGTTATTTTCTAATTATAGCTCTGATTTAATAATTTGAATTATATAATAAGTTTATGTAGAAATTTGTCCTTATTTTTATTACATGCAATTTTCTTCTATCTGTTTAGATATAATTTTTTTTAAAGTATTAAGATATCACATTAAGACATTAAAATTAGCAGACACGTGTTAATTTTTTTTTCTTCAAAAATTAGATCTAGAGAATTATTTAAAAAAAATTCATTTATAATTTTTTAGAGCTTCGAAAGATAAAATTTTTCTTGCTATAATTAATTTACTAGCAACCTTGCAGTTACTATGTGACTGCCGTGACTTGTGAACTATAAATATATAAAATTCTGCTTTATTAAATAATTACTTTTGTTAAATCGCAATGTACTTTCTTAAATATTGATGTTTTTAAAGATATAAGCTCACCCCGACATTACATTCATCGAGACCTTTCATTTGAGTACCCACATCAATTTTTCATATATTTATATATATATATATATATATATATTACATATATGTATATATGAAAAATATATCAAAAATGCATGTGGGTACTCAAATGAAAGCTCTTGATGAGAGTAACATCGGGATGAGCTTATATATTTAAAAATGTCAATAATTAAGAAATAACCTTGTATCTTGTGAACTAACAATATTTTTAAAGATATAAGCTCATCCCGATGTTACACTCTCCGAGACCTTTCATTTGAGTACCCACATCAATTTTTCATATATTTATATATATATATGTATATATGAAAAATATATCAAAAATGCATGTGGGTACTCAAATAAAAGGTCTTGACGAGTGTAATGTCGGGGTGAGCTTATATCTTTAAAAATGTCAATAGTTCACAAGATACAAGGTCATTTCTTAATTATGTATCTAGAAATAAAGCATTTTTGAATGCAGCTTAAATACTTGTCATAATAAATTGACTATCGGTAAGAATGATATGAAACCTTGAAATGACACAAGACCTTTGCAATGACACTAAATTTCTCTAAAAAAAAAAAAAAACCGATTTTATCATATGACTATCCTGGTAACAAAATTTTTCTTATTTTTTTAATAATATAGATTAAGAAAAATTCTAAAATAGGATGGCTAAAATAACAGGATTGATATTATTTTTTAGATAAACAAAAAATACTCAAACATCACCCGGATAAACGTAAAGCAATGGGCGAAGAAGTACGAGCAGATGACGATTACTTTACATGTATAACTCGTGCTTGGGAGATGTTAGGAAATTCAGCTAAAAGACGTAGTTATGACAGTGCAGATCCTGATTTTGATGACAATATTCCAGACGAAAAAGACGCAAAAAATAATTTCTTCCGTACAATGGGTCCAGCTTTTAAGTTAAATGCCCGCTGGTCTGTTAAGCAACCTGTACCTCAGCTTGGTGACCTAGACACTCCAAGAGACAAAGTAGAACATTTCTATTCATTCTGGTATGATTTTGACTCGTGGCGAGAGTACTCGTACCTTGATGAAGAAGAAAAAGAGTCTGGACAAGATCGTGATACAAGAAAGTGGATAGAAAAGAAGAACAAAGCTACGCGAGCAAAACGAAAGAAGGAAGAGATGTTGCGAATACGGTCGTTGGTTGATATTGCTTATTCACAAGACCCAAGGATCAAAAAGTTCCAGCAGGAGGATAAAGACAGAAAGACAGCGATGAAACGGGCTAAGCAGGAGGCTGCCAAAGCACGGCAACAAGAAGAAGAGAGATTGGCTAGAGAAGCGGCTGAACGTGAACGGGTTGAAAGAGAAAAGCGTGAGTCCGAAGAGAAAGCACGACAGGACATTGCTAAACAAGAGCGCGAGGCTATGAAGAAAGCTTTGAGAAAGGAGCGCAAAGCTTTGAGAGATATTTGTAAGTCGAAAGAATATTTTGCTGAAAATCCGACCGAGAGTATAAAACACATGGAAAATGTTGAAAAAATTTGTGAGTTATTTAAATTAAATCAATTGGAGGAAGCGACCAAGGAATTGCAGGCTGGTGGACGTGAAGCTTTTCTGAGGATTGTCGGATTGACTGAAAGTAAAATGGAAGCCGAACGTCGAGCCGGTATTTCTAATCAAGCGTCAGATTCGAAAAATGTTCTGGAGAAGCAGGTCAAGGCTCACTTAATACCATGGTCAGAGCACGATCTCCAGTTGTTAATTAAGGCTGTGAATCTTTTTCCCGCTGGTACAAACCAACGGTGGGAGGTAGTTGCTAACTTTATTAATCAGCACTCAAATAATGGGATCACTCGCGACGCTAAAGAGGTTTTAGCTAAGGCTAAAGATCTTCAGTCGACAGATTTCAGTAAGTCGAGTTTGAAGGAGCAGGCTAATAAAAAGGCATTTGATAATTTTATTGCTGAGAAAAAAAGTAAAGATGCCATTGACGAAAGAATGCCTGCAGTCACTGAGCGATTGGATCCACCTGTTACTAATGGTACGTCGAGTGAAGCGAAGGCTCAGGAACAAAAATCTCAGCAACCGTGGACTCCGGCTGAACAAAAACTTTTGGAGCAAGCACTTAAGACTTATTCTAACGTCGCTGGTCCTGAGAGGTGGGATCATATAGCTGGCTGTATTCCATCTAGGACTAAAAAGGACTGTATGAGACGCTATAAAGTAAGTTTTTAAATTTTATAAATTTTTTTTTTTTTTTTTTTTTTTCATTAGATTGTTTAAGATGTAATTAATATTGATAATTTTTTTTAGGAACTCGTTGAACTCATTAAGGCAAAAAAAGCAGCACAAGTTACTAAATAATGAAAAATTATCACCTAGCTTAATAAGTATTACAAAATGACAAATTGCTCTAACGTTTATGCTTGATACTGTATGGCGTCAATAATTTAAAAACCATAACTGAATTATATCATTAAGTACATCTTTGATGGTTGCGCATTTCTATTTGCGTATGTACATTGGTATGTAAAATATTAGAAATTATATTATTACCTGATAAATAAAGTTATTTCAATTTCAAAATTATTTTAATATCTTTTTTTTTTTTTAATGATAATAATTGAAGCTAACTTTGCTTATGAGTACTTACGAGAAGAGAATAAAATAAATAGTATTTAGCTATCAAGTGATACAATTAACGCAACAGCAGTGTGTACTTTAAGCAGGTGAATTTTCAACATCTAATACTTAATTTTAATTTATTTTCAATATGTAAGTAAAGTAAAATAGACAATAAAAAATTTAATTTCCGAAAACATGGTAATAGTGATGATAAAATGTCTTCATGTAATTATTAAAAATGACTGAATGCTTTTGCATTAGGTTTGTTTCTGTTTTTTAAATTTGGTGATTTATGAAAATTTGTCAAACTGTTATATATAATAAATTCAGAATTTGAATGGAAATTTTGCACAATAGACGTGGAACAAATTCCGATTCTGATTATGAAATAATAAGTAATGTAAAAGGTAAATTATATTTTTATTATATCATTTTTATTTATAAATAATTTGGATTATTTTTTTTTCTTCGATATTGCCGTGTCTCAAAACCCTTATATTTTAATTTGACACAATTTCGTTATAATAACAGCAACAATACACAACACCTCGTAATCATTCAACGAGCAGAATCTTATTAATTTATTAAAATTTTTTATTCTTAATTGCCATTCTTAAATTTAAATTATAATTATTTTTTATTTTAAAATACTCCTTTGATTTATTTGTGCAACGACACAATCTCGGAACTTTAAATTATCCATTTATTTTTTTTTTTTTTTTATTAATATTTATTTATGAACTATACTGACGATACGCCGGTTGTACAAGCGTTTATCAAATTATTAATTACCATAAATATAGTAATTTATATATTTAATATTTTTTACAGTGACAGTTACTATTCACATACTTCTGTCATTATTTATTAATTATTAATATACATTATACATGTATCGTAGAACGAATGAAAATCGCTTTAAAAGATGTTAAAAATTTTTTACACAGTCGTATCAATTATTAATTATTTACAAATTCTACTGCGCGTAGTTATTATTATTTATTAGTTATTAATGTGGTCATTTAATCTTTCATCGATTACATGCAAAACGTATCATAATTTATAAATATTTTTTTTTTTTTTAAATGTCTCTCCTTACATTCCAAGTGCATATTTTATTATTATTATCATCGTATTAATTAAATTTCACTCATCAAACTAATTCAATAATTGTCATTTTTTCATTTATCTAATTTAAAAAAACACAATTTGTAACAAACTAATAAAAATTTAATATACATAACAATATTATAAGTCCAATTAAACATGCAGTACATACACAATTAATAAATCAGTATTGTGAGATACCTGCATAAAAATTCCACGCGTAAATTTATTATCTTATTTAATTAATAAATCGCAATAATCTATAATGTTATAAATAAAATACGTGGTCGTTTGTGTTGTCGCTTGTGTGCGTAACGTTATTAAATATGTGCGGTAAACTAAAATTAAAAAATATTTTTAAAATAATTATTTCTGTTGAATTTAAATCAGGCACTCGTTATTACAGTATGTAGAAATATTTATGGCTGTATTTTATAGGATTATTTAAAAGTATTGTATAATTATCGTCATGTAGCATACATGATTAAGTACAATTAAATTATCATTGTTTAATTAATAATTAATTTGGCATTTATTAAATAGCCAAGTCACAACAAACGAGGGAACAAAATGATCAACGTAATTATCTATAACACTCGATTAAATATAAGTACATTTATAATTACCTATCTATAAATATATATATATTATTTATATGTATATATTATCAGATTACAAGTAAATCAGTCACAACGCGGTATTCAAGTAAATCAGTTCCGCTTAGCAAAGATTTTACTCGCCACTCCACAGCCCCTGATTGTTATTTATTTATTTATTTATTTATTTGTTTTATTTTTCATTTTTTAATTGGATTTCACTTTTTTTTTTACTATTTCAATTCGTCATTGTAAAGTCTACGGCAAGTGATCTACGAACGCTACCCGTGTAAACTGTAAACTCTCTTTACAATAGTATAAAAAGACATTAGACAATATAATAATATTAATAATAATAATAATAATAATAATAATAATAATAATAATAATAATAGTAATTATAATAATATCATAATACAGTAAGGATAATGTCGAAAAGCGATTACGTTAAAATCGAGTGTACAATTATGATTTATATATTTTTATTATTTTAAACCCCTATCTATTATTTTGTTTACTTTTCGACTGACAATTCTCTCGATGCGCAATAATTAAATTGGCTTTTATATGCTGGATTAATAATTATTCTCAGCTATATATTTACCGATAGTTTTTGTGTGCGTTTGCTTACAATCGAAAGTACTTTTATTTGTTGGGATTGATCTGGTCCGAAATAATTTAACTATATAAGATTACTTAGGCACTTGTTATAATTATATCCAACTTTCTTTCGTTCTATCTCTTTCTTACTATACCTTTCTCTCTCTTTTTTACTCTCTAAAATTTTTTAAATACATTCTTTCAAATTACATTCCTCATTGTAGTTTTAACTTTTAGTAATAGTAATGGACAATTGTAGAAGTTAATGATGACGACGGATTATTACAGTTGTGAAAAGACTAGTGTAAACAGTTTTTATAAATATTATTATTGTATATGAGTATACGCGTAATGTATGTTTACATTATCAATTATCCTCAGTAGTATTTTTAAAAATCCATAGAATTTTGGTTATTATTAGTTTGTTTTTTTTTTTTTTTTTAAGATCTTTAAAAAGTTTAAGTCTAAGTTGTAATTATTAGCAATGAGAGAGTAGAGTAATTTCAATCAAATGTATAGTAAATATAACCGTGATGGTTGGTAGTTTTTATGTTTCATAGGAAAAAATATTAATTGAGTCCTTATTTGTAAGTTGTATGACGTGTAACGTTCGTCAATAGAATGCAATCCTTGTCTTATTCTTGTTCTTATTTTTCTTCATCCATCATATATCATTATCTTTATACAATAAGTTAACAATAATAATATAATTAATTATTATTATTATCACTATAATATTAATAATTTGAGAAAAAATTTTTCGTTGCCGATAATTCGAGTTGCAGCAGTCTTATAACTGGACCATTGTCGCTAAGACAAAGGTGGTTGTCCTCCACGATTGTATTGCTGTTGTTGCTGCTGCTGCTGCTGCTGCTGTTGCGGTTGTTGTTGCAATTGTAAAGTTTGTGCTTGCTGTTGTTCTAGTGACGGCATTTGTTCCCGTAATTGTTCGTACACTATTTCACGTGGTCCCTGTGGCCGTGAATTCCAGTGTTGATCCATACTCTGCTGAAGTTGAAAAGTCAACGGTTGACCGCGGCGCTCTTGTAATAAAAGCTGATGAGCGGCACGATCCATCTCTTCACTTGTCATATCAAGTGCCTCTTGCATTTCTCGGGATGTGTATCTTACAAAATCTGGATCACAGTATTTACCAAGGCCTTGTTCCGCTAGTACCTTAAATATTCAATTAATTTTTCAATTTAACAATTTAATTATACTAGCAACCTTGCAGTCACTATGTGACTGCCGTGAGTTGTGAACTATAAATAAATAAAATTTTGCTTTATTAAATAATGACTTTTGTTAAATGGCAATGTACTTTCTTAAATATTGACGTTTTTAAAGATATAAGCTCATCCCGACTTTATACTAATCAAGAGCTTTTATTTGAGTACCCACATGAATTTTGATATATTTTTTATATATACATATATATAATATATATAAATATATGAAAAATTGATGTGGGTACTCAAATGAAAGGTCTTGAAGAGTGTAATGTCGGGATGAGCTTATATCTTTAAAAATGTCAATAGTTCACAAGATACAAGGTCATTTCTTAATTATTGATATTTTTAAAGATATAAGCTCATCCCGATGTTACACTCATCAAGAGCTTTCATTTGAGTACTCACATGCAATTTGATATATTTTTCATATATACATATATATAATATACATAAATATATGAATAATTGATGTGGGTACTCAAATGAAAGGTCTGGATGAGTGTAATATCGGGATGAGCTTATATCTTTAAAAATGTCAATAATTTACAAGATAACTGTTAAATTGCACTTTACTTTCTTAACTATTGCCATTTTTAAAGATATATAAACTCATCCCGATGTTACACTCATCAAGAGCTTTCATTTAAGTACCCACATGAATTTTGGTATATTTTTCATATATACATATATATAAATATATGAAAAATTGATGTGGATACTCAAATGAAAGGTCTCAATGAGTGAAATGTTGGAGTGAGCTTATATCTTTAAAAATCTCAATAGTTCACAAGATACAAGGTCATTTCTAAATTATGTATCTAGAGATAGAGCATTTTCACTAAATTTCACTAAAAAAATCGATTTTATCACATGATTATCCCGGACATAAAATTTTTCTTATTCTTTTAATAGTATAGATTATATAGTATTTTATAAAATGATATTGAAATTAAAAGACATCTGTTAATTTTTTCAATTTTTTTTAACAACTAAATTACTAAGAAAAAAAAATTAATAGAAAAATTCCACACTTAGAAATTAAAAAAAAAATTACAAGTGCAAATTTTTCAAGAATTTTTTTTTCATAATTAATTTTTAATAATATTCAATAAAATTATCAGATGTCTGGTGATTTCAGTTTTATTTTATAAAAGTAAAAGAATAAAATTTACTTACTCGACCAACGAGACTTTCAGCACTGCCAATTACCTCGAAGTTGGGCTTACGATCAGCAGGACTACCAGGTAAACTGTGCGATAGACGTTCAGATCCAACGCCTCCGTTGCTTTCATTGTTCCATGTAACTATTTACGTTAAAAAATAAAAATATATTAGGCAATTTATAACAATTACCAATGCCTCACTTTTAGTAAATTGTTAATTTTAATTAGTTTAATTATTAATTCTCAATTAACATAGCTTGAAGCCTTAGTTTTACACTTGTTAATCCACGAAGTATACTTTACAGGTACTCAAACACTAAAATAAAACGAATTAAAAAAATAAAACTCAACAAAACATTAAAAAAGGGTATAATAAATCAAAATGAAAAACAATCGCGTGCGGCCAAGCTCGAGTTAGTATTATGAGCGTCAAGTAAAGCTAACAGCATCATGCATCATGAATTATAAATTTATATAAATTTTTTATCTTGGACCCATAAAATAAAAAATTTAGGCTGCTTATTTTTTTTATATAAACATTTTTAAAATAAAATTCTCTATTCCTTATTGTCAATCGATTCTCGAATAATCATAAGTATAGTATAGACTCGAGGTTATTCCGTCACCTCTGCCGTGAAACGAAGCCCGGTGAGTCAAACAAGACTCGCAAACTCTCCAAGGCCCGGTGAGAGCCATAGTTTGGGTGGCAAGTCTCAAACCATTGGCAATACTTTTCTTCCTGTCAACAGACAGCGCTTGACTGGTCTCTTTTCCCCCTGTATTGTCATTTTCAGCAGTCTCTTTTCGTTTGGTCGAAGATGAGGTTCTCGTGAGACCTGGGTCCCCTTCTTCAGGTACATCGACACACTTTGATCTCTTCATAGACTTTTTTCTGATGGATCTTCTGGACCCACCGGCTGAGTCCTCCTCAAGCGACGTGTCGTCCAAAACTGTCCGGATAAGCAAGACAAACAGCACGTTCTTTTTTTTATTCAAGATAAGAGCAAAGTATCTGATATTGATATTGATATTCTATTAACATTTGTTCAACTGTAAATTGAGGTTCGAGGACGGTGTATTATATGTTTAGTGTGTTTTTTATTTATACTGTAAAGAAGTTTTGTGATGTTTTTGGAAGACTTTGCTCATGTTTCATGTTTGTCATAAATCATAACTGTTTAATTAAAGTGTGTATTTGCTTTAATTTTATTTTTGTTTTTTTTTTTTTAATTATTATTGAAGATGAGGCGTACCGTGCTGATGACTCCAGCCGATAATATCTACGCAGCATCCTCTAGACGCGTAGGCGTAATAACGAGCACCGTCGTTGGAAGAGGAGCCGAAACTTGGACTGGGACTTGGACTCGGTGAGATTGTTTGACTGGTTGTGGTGGTACTAGAGTCACCCTTGGTTTCCGTTGATGTTGCAAAGCTGATGGTTGCTCCACTGCTAGGAAGATTCCTTCGCGGAGGCGGTGTCGGTGGCGTCAGCTGGTGCTCGATCCCGTCTTCGAGACTGGATACGCAGGCGGCAAAAAAAAATAAAACGCACACGGGAACAAATACTTTAGTTATGTTAACATGTTAGGCAGTGCAGTCGGGAGTTAATGCTTATTTAGTTACATAGTTTATTAATTAATATATTAGTTAGTTAATTAATTAGTTAGATCTATTATTTTTTAATCTTCTTAGCCTAGGTACCAAGTCAAGCATGCGGATGGACATGCTTCTTCTGAACACTTACGCGTTCGCGGAATAAACAAGCTTCTGTTAAAAAAAAAATTTTTTTTTCATTAAATGACAATGTACAGCAATCATGATTAATGATTAATAGAATCGTCCATGCGGGCATTAAGCGAGCAAGCTGTTTCAACTACTGAGCTCTCTCAACATTATCTTACCATATTCGTTACTTGGATGGAGGTAGTTACCGCTACCCGGACCACTGAAACGTATGACAGTAAAAAAGAAGCTTGGAACAACGATATAAATTACAAAAACAATAAATTCAAAGTGTAATAATAAATATAAAATATAATTAACTACTCGCGACAATGGTTTAACAAGTATAGGATTTAAAATTATTTCAATATATACTTCTGTGTATTTTCATTTGGATTTAGTGTCTTAATTTGATTTTTTTTTTTTTAAACAAAGAAAAAATATTTGGACAAAGCATACGGCATGCACTAGGCTCAACTCGCGATTTATTTTGGTAATTATTCAAGTATTCATGTATTTTTATTTTGTGTTTATAAATATTCATAAAAACGAGCGGTCAAATACATCGATTAACTATCAACGTGTAGATGCGTTGGAGCACCGAGATAAATATTGACATCGATAAATATTTATTTTTAGTAATTTACTTACTCCAATACTTTGTAGGGATTCTGAAAGTTAGCCGGCTGCATTCCGGTGTTTGAGAACATTGCAAGAGGCCTCATTGGTATGTTCTCCTCAAATCCAACTATTCTTGGCTCTGGGGCAGCCTGAGTGTTGCCAGAGTCACTAATTACACTGTAATAGAAATATATGGTTATTATTATTAATTATTGTTATTTTTTTTTTTTTTTTTTTCAATGTCTCGCTTCAATTATTATAAAAGTTATTTTTAGATATTTTTTACAGTTCAGACAAATCCTTAAGCGAAGTTTATAGAAGGGCTTTTTTGCTGATATCGATTGACATTTAATGCATACCTAGCGACGTTTGGCACAACCTGGTGCGACCTTGCCGTGATTTGATTGCCATCCGCTCCACCAGCTCGTTGAAGTGAGGCGTACGGTACGAAATCGATCGAATTCGTTGGGGAAATCTTTGGAGCGTTATTTGAATTTGTTTTTAATGATTTAGCGCGGAAACTGTGATGGCCTCTTCGCATACTCGACCAAACGCTGCCGAAAAGCGAATGATTTCTCTGTGAAGAAAAATAATAAATTTATAAATTAGATTTTTTATGATCAAGTTGATGCGCATTTGCAAAAAATTAATTAATGATCAAATTTACTCTGTGTGTTGGTTCTGGATTATCATCAAGTAATTCTTCAAGATTACCCGAGATCGCACGTTTTAATTCCGGACCAGCTTCATGTAACGTCCTCAAACCAGCTTGAAGTGTCGCAGTATTATGACAATCCTTATCACCCTCTTTCATTTCTTGTTCTTTACGTTTTTTAAAACGACGGAAATAGTCTTGTATGAGGAAGGTCGCGTAAAATTTACCCACTGTCACTTCATCATCAACTGAAATGTAACATTACATATTAATTTATTTTTTTTTTCTATTTATATAAATTAAGAGAAAAAATTTCTTTTGAAAAAAATAAACAATATTGTAATAAAAAATTAATTTGTTAGAAATTTTCAACAATTTTATTTTTTAACTGAAAAAATAAAAATTTTTCTCCTAGTAATTTTCTTCTTAAAAAAAATTTTTCTAAATTTGGGAAAAAAAATTTTAGATGAAAATTCGCAAGTTGTCAATAAAAAATTGTTTTTATTTTTCCTAATCAAAGAAACTTTTTTTCAACAAGAAAGTTACTATAAAAAAAAATTTTTAATTTTTTCAATAAAAATTTTAAACAAATTAATTTTTTGTCACAGTAATACTCATTTTTTGTCAAAAAACATTTTTTCTCTCAATTTCAATGTCAAAAATATAATCTGCAAGTATTATTTATTAATTTATCAATTTATATACCTCCAGGTGGTGGTACAACTTGATCCAATAACTTGGGGTTGGTTCGTTTCCATATCTTTTTAATAACAGCTCGAAGCGAAGCATTTGCTTCATCAATATTACCTTCTGTTTTAATTCTCAATGATGTTCTCACCACGGCAAACAATGTCGCATTAAAGAGAACCGTACCATCGCTATTCAACGGCATATTCATTGACACCAATCTCTATACAATCCCGTAAAAAATATTAATTAAAGATCTTTGTCTGTTTAATAGCATACAAAATTAAATGACTTTACCTTGCAAGCGACACGATGAGGACACAGTTTTCCAAACCCAAGCGGGGGTGATATCTTCCGCAATAATTGTACTACATCGAGATGTTTGATGCGACCTTTTGCATCTGGGTCGTATTCAGACCACAGACGAATAAATTCATCTAAATGATGTGGACCCAGAATAGACCAATCTCTCGTCAAGTAATCAAAATTGTCCATAATAACGGCGACAAATAAATTGATAATCTAGGTGAAAAAAAAAAAAAAAAAAAAACGTGAAATAGTTCATTTTTTTTTCTCGCATCCAATTTTGTTGGTGAAAAAAATAAAACAATGAAAATAACTTACTAAAAATGAACAGAGTACATAAAACGATATAAAGTATGGAAAAGCAATATCATTGCCGCATCCATTTGAAGTACGCTCATCACTTTTCGGATCACATTTTACTTCTCCAGGACGATTTGAACAATCAAGCATTATATTTTGCCATGATTCACCTAAAAAAATAGATTTATATTAATATTATTTATTATTTACTTAATTGATAAATTTAATGTGAAAATATAAAAAATACATACCAGTAGCTGATCGGAATAAAATCAATACAGCCTGAGGAAATGTTTGGAAATTATTGTTACGATAAATCGTGGTCTCGTTGTCAAGCGCTATTTTTCCAAAGACCTGCATTCCTATCACAGCGTAGATGAAGAATAACATGACGATGAGAAGTGCGACATAAGGCAACGCTTGGAAGGATTTAATAAATGTCCATAAAAGTGTTCGTATACCCTCGCCACGACTTAGTAGTTTAACCAGTCGCATCACACGAAACAGTCGAAAGAAATTAATGGATATAATGTTTGAACCAGGCTGTAACATGTAATTTAATTGTTAATACTCAGATCTTATCAGTTAAATCGGTAACAATTAAGTAACAAGTTTTGCACGCTGTTTATCACAATCGTTTGATTATTATTTTTTGTCTCCAAGATATATTGGGGAGATTATTTTGTGGGGTGGTGGCAGGGTAGTTAGACTATTTCTACAGCGTCAGTTGATTATCCGTTTTAACAATTAGGCGTACTTTATAACACGCAATGCCTATAACTACATTTTTTTTTATTTAGATTCAAGCAAAAAAGTCCGTTGATATTCAACCAATAAATTCTTCGTCTTCTTTTTCGATTGTTTGTTTTTATTTTTGATTTGTAATAAATTTTTCGGTTGATTTATGAGTAAAATTTGTCCTCTCAGGTTTCATTTCTTTGCCAATTATGTTTTTGTTATCAAAATCTATTTTTATTCATTGCACATGGGACTTTTGAGCACGAATCCTAGATAAATGCTAATGGATGAAAGATAACTAAAGCATTCCTGCATTCACAATGTTTATATTACACAAAATAAACATTTGTATGTATAACATGTAGATTAATAAAAAATTTGAATAAAAGAATAAGATTAAAACAAATATAAAAACTGAATAAAAAAATAAAATTATACTAGGTGCATGATAGTCATATTGGGGATGATCACACAACACAGACATACACACTCGCACTCAACACATCATTCACGTAGACCCACGCCTACATACAGTTTTAACGTTGGGGAGAGGAGAAACTCCCGCCTTGACATGCAGTCTTGCCTAGAAATAAAAACAAATATGTGCCATATACATTTATAATTAAATAAAATAATGATAGTTTACGCGTAATACCTTTAAAAGGTACAACTTAAAAAATCAATACTTTAACCCAATGAAAATATCAATTTTCTACTGTTCAGTAAATAAATAAATAAATACGTAAATAAATATATAAATAAATCAATACTTAATTTACACTAGGCGTAAAAATTAAATCAATAAAATAAGGGTAAACTTACGTTTACTTCGGAGTATACTATGTCGATAAAACTTCCTAATACGATAATAAAATCAAAAACATTCCACGCATCACCAAAATAATTCTGTAAAATATAATAAATAAATTATTCTTTAATTAACTACATTGAGAGAAAAAATTGATTTTAAAAAGAATGGGTATTTTGGTGACAAGAAATTAATTTGTTGAAAATTTTATTTCTTAGCTGAAGAAATCAAAATTTTTTCACGGTAACTTTTTCTTGTTAAAAAAAAGTTTATTTAATTTGGAAAAAAAATTTTAGACAGACAACATGCGAATTTTAATCCAAAATTTTTTTTTCCCAAATTTAGAAAATTTTTTTTAAACAAGAAAGAGTTACAGTGAGAAAAATTTTGATTTATTCAGCTATGAAATAAAATTGTTAGAAATCTTCAACAAATTAATTTCTTATTATAACATTGTTATTTTTTTTTTAAATGAAATTTTTTCTCTCAGTGTACTCAATATTATTATTAAATAAATTACCTTAAAACGAAATGCGGCAAGCTTGAAAACAAATTCAAGTGCAAAAACAGCAGTAAATATCATATTCAAAACGTCAAGGGCATGAGTATAAGGGTCTGGCTGGTTGTAAAATTTCATCGCCAACGTTATTGTATTTATAATAATCAAAGTAAAAATAGTATATTCAAAAGGTTGTGACGTAACAAACCACCAAACTTTGTATTGTATCCGGTGTTTTGGTATGTAACGTCTCACTGGTTTTGCTTTAAGAGCAAATTCGATGCAATTACGCTGCAAAGAAAATAAATAATATTTAATTTTCTTTTTTAGTGAAGTAATATAACAGTTATTATTATCATAATAAATAATAAAAAATAATGCATACTTGATTTTTATCAAGTTCGCAATTTTTGTACTCTTGTTCACCTTCATTTTGAAATGTAACAATAACGAAACCGACGAATATGTTGACCATGAAGAATGCAATAATGATTATGTAAATAATGTAATAAGCTGCTACGATCGGTCGATAATTATGAATTGGTCCATAGTTTTCACGATTTGAGTCAATAGATACGTACAAAAGGCTATAAATTGTTAAGTTTTAAATAAGGTTACCAGTAATTACGAGCATTCATGCGTTATTTAATTATTATTAATCATTTGGATAGTACCTTGGCCAACCCTCGAATGTTGATACGGTAAAAAGAGTCAGCATTGCTTTGGCAACATCGTCAAAGTGAAATCGATTCCTTTTCCATGCCCTTTCCTTCATAACCGGTTGATTTATGTTCCCCTCATCAAAGACTAAATAAGTTCCCCTAAAAAACAATGAATATTAGTTCAATCAAAAATCTTATTTATCAAAAGAGATACTAAAGTAATTAATTACTCACTGACACTCTTCCTCAGTTATCTTTGATTCGTCATTGCACGAAAAGAATTTACCCTAAATAAAACAACAAATTGGATCAATAACTTATAAAATGATAAGTAAACAGCTTGTTAACATTCTTAAACAATAGTGTCAACAAAGTTGCAAAGCGTTATAATAAAAATGTTTAAAGTGCGCGCGTGCTTGTCTAATAAATTGCTTTTAATAAAATTTATAAATCGCGTGCAAACGAAATTCATTGATAAGCATTTTTTATTTTAGGTTCCTTATATAAATATTGAATAAATATATATTTTTTTTTAAATTATTGAAATATAAAAAAATGCAAGTAACAGTGTGTTTTTTTATCGCGGTGTTATTTGTAATATAAAAAAAGTTTATAAAAAATAATAGTGTAATTAAAATGAATATGATTTTTTATTCGATGAGATAAGAGGGTGTCGCGAATAAACGGAGAACTTGCCCCTTTCTCTCGACGAGTCGCACTGTTGGTTTTTTATTGTCTTGGATTAACGCATGCATATCTGCGGACATTAAAGGTAATTATACATTTATAACAATAATAAAATTTAAAAAAAAAAAATGTGACGGAATTTTTAATAAAATTTTTAATTTTAATCTAAACTAAAAAAAAAATTTACTACTTTCTATGCTAATGGTGTCTTTTACCAAACTATTTTTGCCCTGCATTAGTTGTTTGGCATTGTATTTATTTTTCATCGTGCGTGTAGAGCGTGCGTTAAAAAAAAGTTAATTGCGGAAGCGTGGAAGTGTTTTTTTGTCGTGCTTAAGGATTTTTTACCTTAAATAGCTGTACTCCAATAACAGCGAACATGAATTGTAGGAGATAGGTGACCAACATGATGTTACCAATTGTTTTAATGGCAACAATCACACATTTTACTACGTACTATTGACGTATCATTTGCATTATATGTTCAATTTAGTGTATTGCAATTAATTAATTTTGATATTTAATTAATTAATGTATTTATTAAGTTGAGGTCAGGTACGAGCAGGACGCGAGCGAGCACAGCGGGATCAGATTCAACGCAGGACGATACGAGGCAGAGTGAAACAAAAAAAAAAAAGAGATATTAGCATTAATCCGGGAGTCCTTGGATTTTTTAATTCAAATATTATGATTATTATTGTTTTTTTTTTCACTATTAAAATTGCGAGTTAGTTGGGTAGGGCAGGTGAGGGCTGAAGGGTTTGGCCACAGGGTTGGTTCTTGTTTTTGGGTACAGGTAAAAATTCACTTCCCACTTTTTTATTCATTGGGTTTTAGAGCAGTCCGAAGGCTCATTGGTAGCGATTATTATTTATAAAATTCCTCGTATTACATATATATCCCTCTCGGCAATGCACCTGTCGGCTACGCGAAGCCAACAATTTTAAGTTTCTTTAATAATTAATTATTTGATAAATATAAATATTATTTTGCCGCATCAATAGAATTTCGTTTAGCACAACAATTTTATTTATAATAATAATTATAAATTATAATCTATAATAAATGTCGTGTTAATATAGCGACACACCACTGCAATGAATAAATTTATAGAAGAAAAAAAAAAAAAAAAAGATAAATAAAGTAAAATAAGCATGCTTACTCGATATTAAATAAAGAAACTATTATCACGAGTTATATTAAAGGAAAAAAACAGTTTACTGGGTTGCATGTCTATAAATTCACAAAAAAAAATTATCAAACAAACCAGTCAATTAGGGACACAGGGTTGAGATGTACGCGACTAATTGTTTCAAACATTTAACAGAAATTTAATAAAACAATTTCAAATATACTAATTTGTTTTTACAATTGTTCTATTTTAAATAAAATAATGTACTATTGTTTTCGGGAACCGAAAGGTGCATTGGTCGGAAAGAACATGGGTTGCCTCACATTCTCTTGTATTAATAATTTAAAATTACTTAAAAAAAAGAGAAAAGAAATCAACAAACAAATATATAATTACAGTAACACACTTGAATCAATAAATTGATAATAAATTTCACAGTGATTTACGATTAGTGTGATATTTACTTTAGTGATTATTTTTAAAAATTACTAAAGTGAGTAGTAAGAGCTAAAATACAAGAGGTGAATATTTTAACAACAGTGTAAAATATAAAATGTCAAAAAGTTAAATAAAAACTTAAAAAAAACACCTTAAAATAGTTTAAATTAAAAATACAAAGGAAAGAGAAGTTAACTAATTAATTAATTGTAAGTCTTTAATAGGGTCAAGGGGGTCACCACAAAAAATATATCAAGAAGAAAACCACTCGAATTATTAGATGAAATTGATGTTGGATCATTTGTACATCAATGATCCAATTGATCATTACAGTTTGTTTTGACGTCAGCAGCCTACCTTGAAGAGTTGTACGCCAATAACGGCAAAGACGAACTGCAAGAGGCTGGTGACAAGGACAATGTTCCCGATAGTCTTTACAGCTACGATGACGCACTGTACTACGTGCTGAGTTTTAACATTAAGATATATCATGTGATTTTCAATCTTTCATTACAGTAAATTTTTATTGTTTCATCCATTACTTTATCATTATTATTTATTACTTTACTTCACTAAATCTTTGAGAATAAAATGAACAAGTTTTATCTATTATCTCCCACCCACCAGTACCCAACTAACCCGGCTAATAAATTTTTTGATTCATTTATTTATTAGTTTGTGAAGTTACTTGAAAACTTCGTTTTATATTCTAGCCTGCTAAAAATTTAATTCATAAGTAAATTTATTATTAACATCAGTTATATCTGCAGCAAATGTTAAATTAAGAATTTTTGAATGGGAATGGACATTTGCAGATTAAAATTTGAATTTAAATTAAAAAAAAATCTAAAAATAAATGTTTCTTTTTTATTATTATTATTATTATTATTATTATTATTATTATTATTATTATTATTGATGTAATTTTCGGTAAAGACGTTTAAGAAAAAAAATAATTTTAACTGATAGTTTAGAGTTAAGTGCTATTGAGAATAAGAAAGTAGAAAGATGCAGACAAAAACAAAATACCTTGAGGCCTTTGGCTCGATTGATCGCACGCAGCGGCCTGAGGACACGAAGAACTCGTAGAATTTTAATAAATGATATTGCACCGGATCTATAACAATATGATATATTAGTTTATACTTCTAGGATTTAGATAAATATTGGCTTATTCATGGTAGTATTTTTACCTCCAGGCCATCGAAATAAGAGAAACGCAGACTACCAAAAGATCTAGAAGATTAAAAGCCGAACGGCAGAACGCTCCATCGTGTAACACGAATCCGTAGGATATCATCTTCAGGCATATCTCGAACGTGAATACTGATGTGAAAAAGTAGTCGAAGTAATTTAAAATCTGTTTAAATTAAATAATATTTTACGAACAGAGTTTCATTTAAACACTGGGATAATCAATAAAGAATTAATTTTACGTTGTTGCGGTCTGATTGAGCGTTGAGGGGATCTTCGGCAGCAAGCATCCCAGATGATATCAAAATACACATGAGTATGACATTACCAAACCAGCTGTGGTTGCAGAACCAATGGCAGAATATTCGAAATCTGCTTTTTTGTGAGAATAAAAAAAATGATGAACCTTCAGGTATCGGCGGCTTCTCATTAGTCATTTTGTATTCTGACATTCTACGCGGTCTCGCTGATATTTCTTCTCCTCCCATTCCGCCATCTCAAATTAAAAAGTAAAATAACAGCAATTAAAATAAAGCATCCAAGCATTACAATTTTTTCAATGATTAAAAATTAATTGTATTTAAATGAAGTACCATCCATTTCAGTATGATCATCTTCTTCTTCTTCTTCTTCTTCTTCTTCTTCACCGTGCTCAAAATTCTCATCATCTGATTCAATAGTTATCCGTATTTTTCCCCGACGATCGCTGTCTTCCTCGTCTTTGGATCTGACACAACCAATCACTCATTAATCATCTAGTAAATTAAATTAAGCCATGTCTTCTCAAAACAACAAAAATAAATAAATTAATCATTACCCCTCAGTATCTAACGCCGCTTCATAATCATCCATTGTTTCATTAGGATCATGCTCTAAGTCGGTTCCGCCTCCTTCTTCTTCCTCTTCTCCACCAGTTAAATCACCACCGTCATCTGGGCCAATTAGTTCATCGTGTGCCAAAGAACCACTTCGAGATTTATTTTTTTCTGCTTCTTCTTCAGCTTCTTTTTCAATGGCAGTTAACGATTCTGCGTCCGCGAGATTATCCACGGCAATGGCCAAGAAGACGTTCAGAAGAATGTCTATTTTTTAAACAATTGTTAGGAAAAATAAAACTAACTTTTAAAATCTACATCTAGATTAAAATATAATAATAATAATTAGTGAGTTTTTTTCAAAGGATACAATTTCCGCAAATGAATAAAATTATAAAATAAACACAGGCGAGAATTCCATGACTGGCGACCCCGCCGTATGCCATTATACCCACATACATAACTGCATTCCAATCTTCACCCGTTAATATTTGAAATACTGTCAGTAAACTTTGCCAGAAGCTATCAAAGTTACTGCGAGGTTTGTCTTGCAAATCATCATAGTTAAATTTACCTCCAAAAACCTGGGGATTTGAAATAATTTATTAACAAAACAAATTAATAAATAAAATTGGATAATAATTATATTAAATAAATTATTATTATTATATAATACCTGCATGCCTAAAAGAGCAAATATAACGATGAAAAGGAAGAGCAAAAGCAACAGGGAAGCAATTGACTGGATTGAATTTAACAAGGAAGCCACGAGATTTGATAAAGACCTCCAGTATCTAAATAAATATAATAAATTTATTAAAAATCATATTAATTAACACAATGGTTCAAATTAATAATACTTACTTAGTTACTTTAAACACTCTTAAAAGCCTAACACAACGAAGGACTGAAACTCCCAAGGGTGGCATTACTTCTGTGCGTGTTAGAACCATTTCACTGATGGAACCCACCACGACAAAGCAATCAAAACGATTGAAAAGTGAGACAAAGTAACCCTGTATTTGTATTAATATTATCATTATTATTATTAATCTGCAGTATTAATAAATTTACGGAATAAATATAAGTATTATTAATGATATATATATATATATAGTTGATACATTACTTGAAATCCCAAACTATACATTTTCAGCATCATTTCCATACTGAAGAGGCCAATAAAAAACATATTTGTGACCTCTTGAAATTGATCAAGCCAGTCTGGTTGTCTGTAATGTTCAGTAGCCAATACACCGGTGTTTAAAAATACCAATACTATGATTAACCAGTAAAAGACTTGAGATTTAACAGCTTTACGGCACGCTCTTCTCATACGCCTGTTCACTCTGTAAATTAATTATAAATATTTTTAATTATAAATAATTCATTTATTCAATCAATTATTTTATTATATTATATGCAGATGTGTCTGATAATCAGATAGTAACCTATCAAAGTCTCGTCGCTTGCGTTTCCACACCGATTCCTGTTGAACCCCTTCTTCATCACCCTCCAGTCTATCGGTACTCTCCATTTCATTTTGCTGTTTCTCTGTACAAATTATTAAATCATTAATGCAATTAATTACTGTTATACAAAATAAATTAAATAGATAAAATACGATAATAAATTGTTATATTATACGTTTGCCATCCTGTGTTTGTGGCATTTCATCAGCTTCCGGTTCAATATCTTCCGCTTGAGTTATCCAATCTAAATATCCCCGAAGGTCATCTTCAATTTGCTGTTTCTCTCTCAGCTTTTGAAAGTCTCCTCGTGATTTAGCCTTTTCTCTCTCTTTAGAAAATTCTCTGAATATTAAAAGAAAAAAAAAAACATAAATAAGTTACTGGATTACAAACATAAAAAAAAAAAACTTAAAATTAGAATTAGTTTATGAAATATTCTAACCCGGATAATACTCCGAGAATTAGATTCATAACAAAAAAAGCTCCGAGAATAACCATTGAGATAAAGTACAACCATTGCCATGTGCTTCCCATAGCATCTTCAATCTACAAAAATAGATATAATAGTTTTACATGGCCTAGTTATGTAATTTGTTCATCTATTTAAGCTATATAAATTAGTCACTAAAAGCAAGTATTTACGTCGTATAAAACATCAGTCCATCCTTCAAGAGTGATACACTGGAAGACAGTCAACATAGCCAGGCCAAAATTATCGAAGTTTGTAATACCATCGTTCGGTCCTTCCCAGTATTGACGACTGCAGAAGTATTCTGGACCTAAACTACTACATTGAAATCCACTTTCTCCACAGGGATGCGGATTTTCCATAATTTTATCTGGAAAGTAATGTAACATACATTTAATAGAATGAAAAAAAAAAAAGGATATTATTTCTTTTGATGAACTAACAAGTTCCATAACATGATCTACATCCTCATTAATGCAGTGTTTGTTTGATATAACGTTACCTGTAATATTACTTCTACATGTTTTGTGCATTTTCCCCGAGAAAAGCTCGAGTCCGATAATAGCGTAGATTATGATAACAAAGAGTACCAGCAACGCGATGTGTAACAACGGTATCATAGCCCTCAGAATAGAATTGAGAACAACTTGAAGACTTGGAACTCCGGAAACCAGCCGAAGTGGTCGCAAGACTCGAAAAGCCCTCAAGGCTTTTACGTCAAATCCTTCTTTCATCAGGTGTTGCAATACCGTACTGATCATACTGATAATCATAATTACAAATTTTAAATATGTTATATTCTTTCCATATACTTAAAAATAAATAAAAATGATCTCCAAACAAGGATTTTTTGATTCAACAATTTAATCTATTGATTTTTCGAAAATAGAATATTTATATCTGTTTTTATCGTTATAAGGAAATAGCTTTACTTGAATAATATAAAAATTATTTTAATCAATTTTTCAGAAAAAAATTACTTTGTTGGCATTTTTGAAGAATATACGTTCTTGTGTCAAGAACATAAATTCCCAAAATAAATGTTTGTTTTTCTCAGTGTAGTAATTATAAAAATATCTATTTATAATGTAATTATTGCTTTATCAATTTGTGACACTTTTTTAAAAAACATTTTAAGCTTTACAAATAGTGAGTAAAAATAAAAATCGGTCAATATAAATTTAAGAATGGGTTTTTCCATAAACTTAACGTTATTTTTTAACTTTTCCAGATACGATAATAAGTAATAATAGTCGATCACTTTATAACTATATTAGTAACATTCTGTGTCATAAAAATAAACTTACCCGATGACAACAATTGTAAAATCCAACATATTCCATCCATTACGAAGATAAGATCCTTGGTGCAATGCAAAACCGTATGCAATAATCTTCATAACACATTCAGCTGTAAAAATTACAAGAAACACATATTCCACTTTTTCCAAGAACATATTCGTTGAATTGGAATCCCCGCATGGATAAGGAGTGTAAACTGCTAACGCTACGCAATTCGCAAATATCGTTATCAAGATGAGCCATTCAAAAGGTCTGTAATAAAATTAGTTAAGGTTCGATAGAAATAAAAAATTCTAAAAAAATATAATGAAAATTTAGCAAATATTTAATAATTTTGGTGACAAATAAATTATTGCAAAAAAAAATTTAAAAAAAAAAATATAATACTAAAGTTAGCCGACGATTTTAATTTTTTGATTTTTTTTTTTTTTTTTTCAATAATTAAATTAGAACAAAAAAATATTTTTTTAAAATTGCACTTTCAATTTTTCAAGTTTTTTACAAATGAATTTTTTTTTTAATTTTTTTATAATTTTTTTAATAAAAAAAAATTATAAAAATTTTTAAATGTCAGCTAACTTAATTTTCATAAAAAAAATTGACGTGTAGAAATTAAAACAAATTAAAAATGTAATTTTTTATAAATAATTTTCCGGAACAAATTTTTTTGTTAAATCAAATTAAAAAATAATCAAGCGACTGCTAATTTAAATGTCAAAAATATTTTGATAATAATAATACATAAAAAGGATACTTCCATTCGACAACTTCGATACACATTTTCCTTAAAGGATTTTTAAGGGTTAAGCAAAATAACGCTCGAACAGGTCGATCAGGCGGTGGTTTGCCACCCCGTCGGGCGGGTCTTTTAGGCGCCGCAGGAGTTATGGAGGTACCACCAGCTCCTGGAGCAGCACCTCCAGCAGGTGCTACCGCCTTGGTGGAGCCCATATTGTCTTGTGGCGCGGTGACACTCGCCGTACCACTCGGCTGGGTCGCCGGGTAGCTGAGCGAGGTGACACGGGCCCCGCTGTCGACGCCGGGACCCGAGGACGCGACGCCATCGCCTGTGCTCATCGGTTCTTCGTGTCAAGATCTCCAACGACCGTGGTCGTTCGGTAACCGTTGTCACGTTCTCTATTCGTATCCTCGTCGTCCTCGTGGAAACGTCTTTTCCTTCTTCCACGCTTTTTGTTCCACGTATCAACAGAACTTGGCCTGACTGACTGCTGTTGCGATCGACGCGGGATCACAGTCACGTTCCTCTGACCGCTCCTTGGCATGCTACGGCGAGATTTTCACCACTAGCTTCTTTCCAGGGCTACAATGTCAATACTCTCTATTATTAAACTGTTTGTAAACATTTTTATTTTAAATAATTTTATTTTTATTTTCGTTAATTAGACACCCGATTTTTTTTTTTTTTTTTTTATATTTTTAATAATAATATTTAAAATTACAACTAAAAAATCAAAAAGAACAAAAATGACATGTAATTTAAAATACAGCCAAGTGAAGCTAAGTAAAGTAGTATAGGCGTTTCAAAAGAGAGACACGGGCAAGTAAAGCTTTACTAAACGAATCACGTTTGCTATATTTAGTGGCTTCAAAATACTAGTGTAGCAAAGCCTCACACGACGCCTCTAGCCCGGGATTGAATCTTTCGTTTTTCATCTTATCCTCTACTCTGCTCTATCTTACGTCGTAATTTAACGTCCAAATTCTCTTTACAACGGCCTATAATAATAAGTTAAGATGATAGAGATTGTTGTGCGTTAACGTAACACATAATACCCCCGAGTTTTCTTCAACCTGTTGCACTCTGCTAAAGTGACCTTGTACGAATTTTTGCTTTTAATTTACTCTCTTTTTATTACTTTATTTTATTCCAATTCTATTCAATTTTATTTCACTCTTATTTTCTTCCTTCAAAAGACCATGAAAATTAAAAGAGAGTGAGGCAATCGGTGATCGACAGGTTTAATGTTGGAATGAGTCCAATCCTGTGAAAGAATTTTTCAGTATTATTGACGAGAATTATATGAACTTGATATACTTTTAAACAATAAATTATTATTTATTATTGAGCTTTTATCTTCTCCATGTAATACATAATAGTATTTTGATTGACACAACGACCTTACTAAATACCAATACTAATAAACTATTATATAGTTATAGTTATAGTTTATACAGTGAAAAGTTCAATTATATCCGGTTGGTCGATCGCGCCCACAGGTGAATACACCCAGCAAGGTATACACTCTCTAACACCCTTATACCGTCTATCATCACATTCTATCTCCCAGTACACTCTTTACTCTCTTTACTCTCTTGTCTATGATGTGCAATTTTTTCATCATCCCTTATACCTTCGGTGTTTATTTAAAGAACTCAATAGGGGTTGAACGATTTAACCTCGTTTGAGAGTAGTCTTTTACCCTATATAATATATGTATCTATTAAAGTATGTCACGTTCCTGTTTATTTATTCTTTTATTCATTAAATCACTTTTTTATTATTACATATTTACACTAAGAAAAAAAAAAAAAAAAAAAAAAACTAAATTATTACTTTTTTTTTTAATTTTTTCTTATCTTACGTTTATGTTTATAGATGAACCAAGTCGAAGGAGAGATGAAGAGCTCAACTAAAAATTATATAGCTATGGCTTGGATTTATTTTTACGCGTCTCCACTTGCTCGGGTCGAGTTTAAACGAGGGAGAGAGTAGTGACCTACTGGCATACGATATTTGAGAAATTATGGTAAGAGCTAAGATTTTATCTGTGTGACATTTTCATTTTTATTTTTTAATCACCCTCATCTTTGCTTTTTAAAATCTGTTTAATTATCCGTTAAAAGGGCGATTAAAAAAAATTATTTTCAATTTACACGTTTATTATTTATTAATTTAAATATTAATACTTAAAATTAACTTAATAAAAAATTTTTTTAGTGTACTATTAAAGATAACTAAGGACTTACCGCATTCTCTGATTCGAACGTGAGGACGAACAAGGATCCCCGAGTATCAGGTAAACTGATAATAGAATCCACGCGTCATATTTACACTTGTGTCCTAGTTGAGTGTTGCATCCACCACTCACACATTCACAAGCTGATTACTCTTGTGTGTCGTCTTTACTCGACGAGGGTCGCGTGTCACACGTACCACAATATGTACGACTAGAATACGCGAGGGTGATGTACACACACACACACACACACACACACACACACACACACACTCCCGCTCTATCTCTTTATTGTAAATATGTATATAATATACATATATTATATATGAGTATGCATTGTAGTTACATGTATGACTTGTCTATTCTTCAGCCGTAATACTTTTCAACACAATAATTGTTGTTGCTATTTATTTCCAGCTGCAAAAAGATGAGGGAAAATTATTAAAGAATCATCAATAAAATGTTACACGTGGGTTGATTATTTAGGGGCGGGGCTGACATACAAATAAAATAAAGTACAATGTTTAACATTCAATTGTTAACTGGATCCAGTTTACTGCATATATGTATCCAATAATCACAGAAATAGTTATACAATAATTTATTGAAAAATATAATAAACCGGATCTGTTAATTTAAACAATTGAGTTTAAGTTGTACTTGTAAAAATGCATAGACACGTAGATACTAGCTAAGCGTTGATTCACTTGTTCAATTAAAAATAGAACATCCGGATTCAGTCGATCGCCTCGGCTGACTACATTAGTGTGTGGTAATTGCCTTGCTCATCATTTTTTTTTTTGGTTTTTATACTGTACTTAACAATACAATTATTATTGGAGCCAATAATTGGAAAACCGCATGTATAATTTTATTATTCGCGGAAAAAAATCATTATACAGAAAAACCCGATGAGTCAAGATGTAAAAAAAATTATGATCAAGAAATAATAGTAGTATAATGTAAGATGTTACAATGAATTTGTGGCATGCGGGTTCATTGACTAGTGAGTCCTTTTTTTAATAATTTAGTTTTAATTATTTGAGACGACTGAACTACTTGTGGTGATTATTTTTTTTTTTATTATCTATGATCGCGTCAAATTCACCCCCATCACTCAGGAAGATGACCACTTGAAAAAATCCACGAGTGGTAAAATACAAAACACCCACCGATTAACACTACGTAGTTATTATATTATTCATAAGCTCGACGTTTGGGAGCTTTCCTCTTGCGTTTATTTACATTTGAATGGCGATGGTGTAATATATCAATTGATTTTATAAATTTATAAATTTATTGAATATATAATAAAAAACTTGTTCGTTATTTTTATTAAATACTTATTTTTAGTTTAGCTTATTTTTAATTATAAATTTAACGCGGTAATTTTGATTTTTAATTTTTATTATTATTATTATTATTATTATTACTGGATTATTACTATAACTATTATTATTTATATATTTTTATTGTTACGTGCCACCCTCACTGTTGTCTTTACCCTCGCGGAGCACTAACGTACACACGGACCACTTTTTAACATCTGAACGAACGACCGAACGACACGACGATATAAGCGACGCCTGGCGTCGCGACGCCTGTCTGAACCAAGTCATCCATTTTCACTTGATTCACGGAGCTTGCGCTAAAATGAAACAATACTGTGCTTATTTTATTGCTAAATGCTACGTTTCATTAACCGCTGTGTTAAATTTTAATAGCGCCTCTGATACTTTATTTATTTATTTATTTATTTATTTACTTTTTACTACTTATTTTCTATTAAAAGTTTACGGATCTATTGTTACAAACTATAAATAAAAAATAGATTTGTGGGAGTTACCGAGCTTACGCGCATGCGAGCTTTAGATTTCATTTTTTAACCCCTGTTTGATGTGAGCTTTTTTATTTTTTGATATTTTATGGACTATCGGTAAGCGACGATAAATTGCCGACGATAAAAAAATTGGTATCCGCGAATAATAAAATAAATTTTTTTTTTTTAATAACCATTTGCTGGATGTTCATTTTTTCTCCCGAAAAATTGAATTCGGACAATTTTACTTTCCATCAAACTTTTTTTTTTAAATTTCAATTTAAATTTACTAGATAAAGTTTATTAACTTATATTAGGGAAATTATTTTTTTATCATGTTAGTGGAATAAGCTCAGTTTTCCTTTGATATTTTTTAATCAATTTTAAATTTAGAGGAAAATAATTTTGATTACATTATCAACTTTTTATAGTTTTTACTATCAAATACTAAAATTTAAGTAAAAAAAACTTTTTTTTAAGTTTCGCAAGAAATTTTTATAGTTTTTCTGAAAGAAGAGGACTACCCTGTTTAAAAATATTCGTTGAAAAAAATTAAAAAAGTTCACTCTAGGGTAAAACCTGCCGGTGAATTCATTAATGACCGATTTGTTGCCGGTACTGATAATTTAGCTTATTGTAGTCATAATTAACTTAAAGACTTAACTTAACCATTTTAATTGTATATTCATAAATTATTTTTATTTCGATTTTTATAATAATATTGTCTTCTTTATCTTCGTACATTTAACAAATTTAATAAAATGAGTAAGTTAAATTATATCCATCATAGATCAATTTTAATATTAGTTTATCTACACAAATGTCTATAAATTTTGTATTTTGGACAAAAAGTAATTATTTATAACTAAAATTCATAGTTTTCTAAGCAGCCGTTTTCACAGAGTTTTGTCAAAATTTTATATTTTTCTAGAAGTTCTCGGATTCTCGATATAATTTTTATGAATTTTGAAAATACACTTTTAAATTATTTTAATTCGTGAAAATTAAATATTGAAAAATATATGTAAGATTACAATTATGATTGAGCATTGACAGTTAACTAAATTTTTGGATTTTTATAATCATTATTTTATATATATGTATATACTTAGATATATACTTAGAAATTGGAATTATTGAAAAAAAATTTATCTCTAGAAAAGATATATCTCTAGAAAAAATAGTAATTTAACCTTTTAATTGAATAATAAAACGAAATTGACTTTCTCATTTAATAAAAATTTGGAGGTGAAAGTAATTTTTTGTTAAATTAAAGTGTT